ATTATAAATTATAATTTATAGAAAATTAATAAATTACAATTATAATCGAATTTGAAAAATAGTAATAATATATTGCTATAGATATTATGAATGAATCTCATCCAAATCTAATTATTCTTCTAATTAAATATCCGATTTCCGAATTACCTATTCAACATATATAATATTAATATCTACGCATTCGATAATAGATCATTCTTCCTACGCATATTCAAAATATATCGCCCTCTCCCTCCCCGATTTCCGTATCAAATTAAACGATACCCGATCGTTAATTTCAATATCAAAGAGAAGAAAGATATCTTCTTAGGTGATATCATGATCATCTCATATGAAATCCCTCCCATCTTCCTCCATATCGATATCATAAAAAATCCAAATAATGAACACAAACGGCAGCCACCCAGACAATATGTAGATAATACGACAAATATTTCCTGTCCCGATATAATATATATATATATATATATATATATATAAAATCGATTCTCAATAAACTAAATCAATCCCCTAGTACCAAAAAGTATCAATAAATTTCGAACCCGACAATTCATCTAATTCCAAGAATATTGGACAACTACCTCTCATCTTTCCGGAAATATTTGAGACTACCCTATACAGGGCTTACGAAAGAGCTTGCCGCAAGGCCAAAACGCACCCTGACATGCACCCAATTATAGGGATATTCATATACCTGTATATATATATATATATATACAAAGAAAGAACTTTTCCTTTCTATATTGAATAATTCGATGAGCTGTTCATTAGAATCTATACTTTGAAATATTGAAACATGTCATTATTAAGTTAGAATAGAGCATGTCTCTAAAACAGGTCTATCTTAAATCGAAAAGTCTCGATTAATCTAGTTGCAAGTCTCAATAGTCAGTGATTCCAAACAGTCCTGTATAGCAAAGATCAGCATGCACAGGTCCCACCCGCAGAGGTCACATGCCAAAAGCACCAGCAGGCGGTTCGATCTTCGAAGGATGCCTTGCGTGTGAAAGAAAGGGGTTTTTGAGTTCCAGGCGATTGGGCTTGAGGTTTCAGCGGTGTCTAAGGCAACGTCTGACAAGGATCGGATCGGGGATCTATGATCTACGCCTCATGAATCTAAGCTTGCACCATGACGGTCATGCAGAGTCCCTCAACAACCAGAAAGTAAACGTACAAGAACAAGAGTTTGATGCTACAAAACAAGAACACTCCCCTCAAAAGGGTGCCGAGCATTGTCCAACAGCGAAGGCGCAATGTCGTAGATGCTAAACAGCCCGGCTTTCGAGCTCGATACCCTGAAGCAAACACCGGAAGCTAGACCAAGACATGGCGGCCAAAGCCTCCCCCCAATCCGAGTTTGCGCGGCCTTTTTGCCATTTGCCAATAAATCCTGAAGTGACGATAGCAACAAAAAGCCGGAACCGCAAGGTCTGAGCGCCAACGACCTCATGGAATCACTGCTGAACCCGAGGTCCACGAAGGAAGGGAAGACGAAAAGATCTGATGATTGCGGGACCAGATGACACTAAGCAGAGGCTGTAACCCCATATAAACCCCACTGTTTTGGGGGAGTTCGAACCCCAATATTCAATAACTCCTTAGCCACGCTCCTACAATGCAACCTGTAGACTCCACACCCCTGGAAACATAAATCCTATCAAATTCTGAACCATTCAGGTCTGAAGAAACTAGGAGTTAGGTCTGAAGCCCATCTTCGAGAAATCCTACACACATCACCCTCCGACTTTGGACTCTTGCCAAAACTGCTCCTTGACCCCACCCTCAAGCCTAAACCCACAACGCTGTAGCAAAGCACATGAAGTCTGAGGGATTGAATGTGGCGGGGTGGGCTTGAATATGTGGGAGTATACATTGGGAGTATACTACAGTAGAACAGTGTAGATATCATGGGGGACCCTACTCAGGAATAGCAGTGCTAAGTATTCAGTCGTCTTTGTTGCCCCGAGAAGACTGGGGCCGAAAGCAAGAAGCACACAACTGCTAAACCCGCTGGTTTTCGGGAGTTTAGGGATTTGGGGCTTACGGACTTTAGGGTTTAGGGCTTACTGTAGTTTCGGGTGTAAGGAGTTTAGGGTTTAAGGGCCCTCACTACTTGAGTGAAGCTCACGTGGGGTTCGAAAGCAGACCCGGTCCCCCAAATATGCCGTAGGTCCGAGGCCACTCTTCGGAATCTCTCGTTTTTCGCCCCGGCCCTCGGCCCTACTTGAGAGCAGCCCCGCTTGCCATGTGATGTCTGGTGCTTCGTAGGGAATGGTTCCTTATAGTAGTCCCTTGTTGATCCTTTAAAGAGGACTGTAAGGGCTACTGTAAAGGGATCTATAGAGTCCCCCAGTAGTAGTCTCCATCTTCCATTACATCCCATTACCTACTAAGCACCAGACAGTAGAATAGCTGACCAGCCCCTGCCATCCCGAGAACTCCTGCAGGCTGTGAAAAGAAGCCTAGGGTTCAAGAATCTCCCTTCGATCCGGGGTGCGGAGTGTGGCCTAGCCGAGCACACCAAAGGTGGTGCTCCAGAAAGACACCTGGGCTCCAACTGCTTGCTCCGAGATACTGCTCTCGGAAGGACGCCACTAAAACTCCTCCGTAGGTAATGTCCTCTAGGATTCTACGTAGGCCATGCAGAATAACACAAATTCTGCCCCAACTACCAAGCACGAGTTTTCTCGAGCTTGTTACCACTCGAAGAAGCCGATATGCAACACCCTCAACTCTGACAAAGCCTGAAGTCTACCAGCACACCTTTAGGCCGTAGTAAAGCATCCTCCGTAGTTACACAAACCCCTGAACCCTAAGCCCCAAAGTGCCAATCACCCTAAGCCAGCCTGCACCCAAAGCATTCGACCCTACACAATCTCTTATACCCTGTACAGGCGAGACATGATGATTGGGTTTCTAGACAAGCTCCTAGAGTGAAGACCCCAGCATATTAAGTAGCCTTAAACCCTAAGACTCCACAACACCCAAGCAAGGAAGCCCACCCTGTTTGAGAGCTAAGCACCGTAATCGAAACTCCGGGAGTCTGCAAAGAAACCCTGAACCCAAGAATGACATGCGAAGAGATGCACGGGAAATGCCGAAGATTTGCAGGTTGAATGTGCCACTAATTCCCTTATTGTTCAAGGGTAGGGAATGTAGAGTATGGTTTCGGAAACTCAGGGCCCCGAAAGCTTCTGAATGGTCTGCCTAAACATCTCTCCATCCCATGCATCCAGTCTGACGGAACGCTGAGATGGCGGCTAGATCTCTATCTCCTTCTTCGGAACCGGGAGCTGGTCAAACAAAGCTCGCGCTGCGGCTTCGTCGCCTCGGGTCTCACGGCTCAGCTTGGTGTTCAGCTTCGGGACACGACCGCAGATGCGAGGGCTTGTGGTTCGATAACGAAACAGCAGCACCAGGTGCTCGGATTTTGATGCGCCTCCTGTCCCGTCGACTCAATTGCAGAGCTGCGCCTGTTGGATCTTCGAAGAGAGTTCTCGCCTCCAACTGCGGCTCCCGAGTTGGGCTGCTGTCACTTGTCAACAACGAAACCCATGAAATGTTGGTAAGTTTTGGCCATGCCTGAGCAGGCCCGAGCTCTCCGAGCCGGAGCTTGCAGCACAAAATCCCCAAATGGCCCCTTCAAGGGAAGAGTGCGCGCAATCAGCCCATGCCTCAGGGTTTTCTCTCACTGGGCCCTCGGGCCGATTGTGTTCTCGGACAGAAACAGCGTGAGCTCCTCCAGCTTCTCCATCTTCGACAATCCTTCGGAGAGCTGCTGGCAGCCGTCATCACCTCGGCGATGTTCAGATGGGAAGACGTTTCTCACGGAAGCCGCTGCTGCCTTTGCCTTTCCAGCTCCTGCAACCCTTTACCGTGTACGCATGATGGGAGGCCGGCCAGCCAGTTCATACCCGCAGACCGGAAGCATCCGGAGGCCTAAAAAAAGTCTATCAGCCTTCACCCCATGATTCCATACCAGCTATTGTTCCAGTGCGCGCGATGGGAAGCGCAACCAAGAGGGTTATGGAAAAGTGTTATCTGGCATCGCGTTTTTTGCCAACCCCCGCGTGCTTTCGTAGAACTCTGAAGTTTCCACACGTTATAAGTTTTCAGTGGAGACTCGCATGGATGACACTGCAGTGCGAATAACTAGCCGACTCTGGCCGCTACGAGGCAGCCCCTACATTCCGATGCTCAGCATGTGCCGGCAGCAACACTCCGATCTCCGGGGCACCGGGCCATGTATACCAAGACAGTGAATGATGCCTGCTTCTTGAAACGGTGGGGGGTTGACGAATTCAGAGCTCCGTCTCAGCCTTGTCCGGGGCTCCTAAGCCTGCGGCCGGCAGAAGATTCTGCACCGAACACAACTCTACAACCCCCAGCTCCGATCCATTCGTAAGCCCTCTGAGAGGATCAGGGAAGCTCACCTTGGCCCTCCGAATCTGCATCGGACTGGGCAGCGGCATTGCAGCCGCAAGGTTTGACAAGTCTTCTTGTGCTGATCCCGGCTCCAAAACACTTCTTGCCTCCAGCCACGGCTTCCGAGCTGACCCCTATACAGCTATGGCTAGAGTCTAGAGCTGGCCCAACTTTAAACCTGCATGCCCGAAGTGACGAACAGCCGGGAGATCCCCTCGAACTGCAGCTTGCCCTCACGAACAGCCAACATGCCCCCTTCCAGGCAAGAGCGGGCCTTGCTCTCACTGGGCCCCCGAGCCGATTGAGTTTCCTTGCAGGTACAGCGTGAGCTCCTCGAGCTTCTCCAGCTTCACCAATCCTTCGGAGAGCTGCTGGCAGCCGTCTGCGCCTCAGCGATGTTCGGATGGGGACAACACTTTCTCTGCCATTCTGGAAGCTCCCACAGCCCTTGTATGAGGATGCCAAGACGGCCTAATTCGGATACTCGGTTTATACTCGCAGACCAATAGCCTCAGAGGCCCAACACAGTCCTTCAGATTCCACCTCCTGACTCCATTCCACGTACTGCTCCAGCGCGGGAGATGGGAAACGGTACCATAAGAGTTGCGTTTTTGAACAGTGCGACCCATGCGCCCCCTCTCGTACTGATTTCTTAGAACTCTTCAGTTTCTATGCACGAAAGTCATTCGTTGCAAAGCTGCATGGGTGACTTTGGAGTGCCAAAGGCCAGCTCTGCCCGCTACGAGGCAGCCCCCTACATTCCGATGCTCGGCATGTGCCGGCAGCAAACATCTGATCTCCGGTGCAGGAGCTGGGGCGCCGGGCCAATTCCATTGCTGTTTAACCAGAGCCCCAACTTCTTCATCTTCTGCATTTGCGCCAGACACACCGCCAGGCCGCTGCAGCCTTTGTCGCCTCGGCGCAATTCTCCGGGCTGGTATCCTATCCAAGCAGCCCAGAATATTGTAGCATAGAAACACAAACATGAAACAAGATTTTCAGACTCGGACCGAACCGACCAAACACGAATGTATCGATTCTTACCAGTATAGCCAGATCTTTTCGATTTTATGCCTACTTCTCCAGATCGGGAGCGAAATTCAGAGGGCTCCGCCTCAGCCTTGCGAAGACTCCGAAACTCCTACGCCTGCGGCCCTCAGAAAAACTCTGCACCGAGGACAAGCGTACAAAACCCGAGGACACCTCTACAAGTTGAACCCTCAAGCTGCGAAAAAGCCTTTTGAGAGGATCAGGGAAGCTCACCCTGGCCCTCCGCATCTGCATCGGGCTGAGCAGCAGCATTGCAGCCGCAAGGTGGGAACAGAAGCCTCAAAATCCCCAAGACCCCAAGTCTTCTTTGGCTTTTCACGCCTCCAAAACACTCCTTGCCTCCAGCCACAGCTCCCAATCTAACCTACACCTTTGGCAAAACTTCTTAAAGCCCCATACAGCCTATACAGCCGTAGGTGACCCTACGTTACACCTGCAGGCCTGAAGCGGCGAACAGCCGAGAGATACCCTCGAACTGGAGCTTCCCCTCACGAACAGCCAACATGCCCCCGTCAAGGGAGGAGCGGCCTTTCTGTCACTGGGCCCCCGAGCCGATTGAGTTGTTGTACAGGTTCAGCGTGAGCTCCTCCAGCTTCTGCATCTTCGTCAATCCTTCGGAGAGCTGCTGGCAGCCGCCATCACCTCAGCGATGTTCAAATGGGGACAACACTTTCTCTGCCATTCTAGAAGCTCCCACAGCCCTTGTATGAGGATGCCAAGACGGCCTAATTCGGATACTCAGTTTACACTCGCAGACCAATAGCCTCAGAGGCCCAACACAGTCCTTCAGATTCCACCTCCTGACTCCATTCCACGTACTGCTCCAGCGCGGGAGATGGGAAGCGATACCATAAGAGTTACGCTTTTGAACAGTGCGACCCATGCCAACCCTCGCGCTGATTTCTTAGAACTCTTCAGTTTCTATGCACGAAAGTCATTCGTTGCAAAGCTGCATGGGTGACTTTGGAGTGCCAAAGGCCAGCTTTACCCGCTACGAGGCAGCCCCCTACATTCCGATGCTCGGCATGTGCCGGCAGCAAACATCTGATCTCCGGGCGCAGGAGCTGGGGCGCCGGGCCAACTCCGTTGCTGCGTAAGTCGAGCTCCATCTTTTGGATCTTCTGCATTTGCGCCAGACACACCGCCAGGCCGCTGCAGCCTTTGTCGCCTCGGCGCAATTCTCCGGACTGGTATCCTACCCAAGCAGCCCAGAAAGTTGTATCATAGAAATTTGCAAGATGAAACAAGATTTTCAGACTCCCGACCACACGCGGATGTATCGATTCTTACCAGATCTTACCAGCATACCCAGATCTTCGATTTTCTGCCTACTTTTCCAGATCTGGAGCGAAATTCAGAGGGCTCCGCCTCAGCCTTGCGAAGACTCCGGGGCTCCTACGCCTGCGGCCCTCAGAAAAACTCTGCACCGAGGACAAGCGTACAAAACCCGAGGACACCTCTACAAGTTGAACCCTCAAGCTGCGAAAAAGCCTTTTGAGAGGATCAGGGAAGCTCAGCCATTGCAGCCGCAAAGTGGGAAAAGAAGTCTGAAACATCCCCAAGACCCATTTTTTCTTTGCTTCTCCCGCCTCCAAAACAGTCCTTGCCTCCAGCCGCAGCTCCCAATCTAACCTACACCTTCAGCCCCATACAGCCTATACAGCCGTAGGTGACCCTACGTTACACCTGCAGGCCTGAAGCGGCGAACAGCCGAGAGATACCCCCGAACTGGAGCTTCCCCTAACGAACAGCCAACATGCCCCCTTACAGGGAAGAGTGGGCCTTTATCACTGAGCCCCCGGGCGGATGTAGTTGTCGCCCAGGTCCAGCTTGAGCTCCTCCAGCTTCTGCATCTTCGTCAATCCTTCGGAGAGCTGCTGGCAGCCGCCTTCGCCTCAGCGATGTTCGGATGGGGACAACACTTTCTCTGCCAGTCTAGAAGCTCCCACAGCCCTTGTATGAGGATGCCAAGACGGCATAATTCGGATACTCAGTTTATACACGCAGACCAAAAGCCTCGGAAGCCCAACAAAGTCTTTCAGATTCCACCTCCTGACTCCATTCCACGTGTTGCTCCAGCGCAGGAGATGGGAAACGATACCCTAAGAGTTACGCTTTTGAACAGTGCGACCCATGCGCCCCCTCTCGTACTGATTTCTTAGAACTCTTCAGTTTTTATGCACGAAAGTCTTTCGTTGCAAAGTTGAACGTTGAACGGGTGACCTTGGAGTGCAAAAGGCCAGCTCTGCCCGCTACGAGGCAGCCCCCGACATTCCGATGCTCGGCAAGTGCCGGCAGCAACACTCTGATCTCCGGTGCAGGAGCTGGGGCGCCGGGCCGATTATTTCGTTGACCGCTAAGCCGAGCTCCAACTTCTTCATCTCCTGCATTTGCGCCAGACACACCGCCAGGCCGCTGCAGCCTTTCTCGCCTGGGCGCGATTCTCCGGGCTGGCCTCCAGCCCAAGCAACCCAGAAAGTTGTATCATAGAAACTTGCAAGATGAAACAAGATTTTCAGACTCGGAGCGAGCCGACCACACGCGGATGTATCGATTCTTACCAGATCTTACCAGCATACCCAGATCTTCGATTTTCTGCCTACTTTTCCAGATCTGGAGCGAAATTCAGAGGGCTCCGCCTCAGCCTTGCGAAGACTCCGGGGCTCCTACGCCTGCGGCCCTCAGAAAAAACTCTGCACCGAGGACAAGCGTACAAAACCCGAGGACACCTCTACAAGTTGAACCCTCAAGCTGCGAAAAAGCCTTTTGAGAGGATCAGGGAAGCTCACCCTGGCCCTCCGCATCTGCATCGGGCTGAGCAGCAGCATTGCAGCCGCAAAGTGGGAAAAGAAGTCTGAAACTCCCCAAGGCCCGAGGCTTCTTTTGCTTTTCCTGCCTCCAAAACAGTCCTTGCCTCCAGCCGCAGCTCCCAATCTAACCTACACCTTCAGCCCCATACAGCCTATACAGCCGTAGGTGACCCTACGTTACACCTGCAGGCCTGAAGCGGCGAACAGCCGAGAGATACCCTCGAACTGGAGCTTCCCCTCACGAACAGCCAACATGCCCCCGTCAAGGGAGGAGCGGCCTTTCTGTCACTGGGCCCCCGAGCCGATTGAGTTGTTGTACAGGTACAGCGTGAGCTCCTCCAGCTTCTGCATCTTCGTCAATCCTTCGGAGAGCTGCTGGCAGCCGCCATCACCTCAGCGATGTTCAAATGGGGACAACACTTTCTCTGCCATTCTAGAAGCTCCCACAGCCCTTGTATGAGGATGCCAAGACGGCCTAATTCGGATACTCAGTTTACACTCGCAGACCAATAGCCTCGGAAGCCCAACAAGGCCTTTCAGATTCCACCTCCTGACTCCATTCCACGTACTGCTCCAGCGCGGGAGATGGGAAGCGATACCATAAGAGTTACGCTTTTGAACAGTGCGACCCATGCCAACCCTCGCGCTGATTTCTTAGAACTCTTCAGTTTCTATGCACGAAAGTCATTCGTTGCAAAGTTGCATGGGTGACTTTGGAGTGCAAAAGGCCAGCTCTGCCCGCTACGAGGCAGCCCCCTACATTCCGATGCTCGGCATGTGCCGGAAGCAACAATCTGATCTCCGGTGCAGGAGCTGGGGCGCCGGGCCAATTCCGTTGCTGCTTAACCAGAGCCCCAACTTCTTCATCTTCTGCATTTGCGCCAGACACACCGCCAGGCCGCTGCAGCCTTTGTCGCCTCGGCGCAATTCTCCGGGCTGGTATCCTACCCAAGCAGCCCAGAAAGTTGTATCATAGAAATTTGCAAGATGAAACAAGATTTTCAGACTCCCGACCACACGCGGATGTATCGATTCTTACCAGATCTTACCAGTATACCCAGATGTTCGATGATGCCTACTTCTCCAGATCGGGAGCGAAATTCAGAGGGCTCCGCCTCAGCCTTGCGAAGACTCCGGGGCTCCTACGCCTGCGGCCCTCAGAAAAACCCGAGGACACCTCTACAAGTTGGACCCTCAAGCTGTGAAAAAGCCTTTTGAGAGGATCAGGGAAGCTCAGCCATTGCAGCCGCAAAGTGGGAAAAGAAGTCTGAAACATCCCCAAGACCCATTTTTTCTTTGCTTCTCCCGCCTCCAAAACAGTCCTTGCCTCCAGCCGCAGCTCCCAATCTAACCTACACCTTCAGCCCCATACAGCCTATACAGCCGTAGGTGACCCTACGTTACACCTGCAGGCCTGAAGCGGCGAACAGCCGAGAGATACCCTCGAACTGGAGCTTCCCCTCACGAACAGCCAACATGCCCCCGTCAAGGGAGGAGTGGCCTTTCTGTCACTGGGCCCCCGGACCGATTGAGTTGTTGTACAGGTTCAGCGTGAGCTCCTCCAGCTTCTGCATCTTCGTCAATCCTTCGGAGAGCTGCTGCCAGCCGTCATCACCTCAGCGATGTTCAAATGGGGACAACACTTTCTCTGCCATTCTAGAAGCTCCCACAGCCCTTGTACGAGGATGTCAGGACAGCCTAATTCGGATACTGCCGCCAGCAACAATCTGATCTCCGGTGCAGGAGCTGGGGCGCCGGGCCAATTCCGTTGCTGCTTAACCAGAGCCCCAACTTCTTCATCTTCTGCATTTGCGCCAGACACACCGCCAGGCCGCTGCAGCCTTTGTCGCCTCGGCGCAATTCTCCGGACTGGTATCCTACCCAAGCAGCCCAGAATATTGTAGCATAGAAACTTGCAAGATGAAGCAAGATTTTTAGACTCCCGACCACACGCGGATGTATCGATTCTTACCAGATCTTACCAGTATACCCAGATGTTCGATGATGCCTACTTCTCCAGATCGGGAGCGAAATTCAGAGGGCTCCGCCTCAGCCTTGCGAAGACTCCGGGGCTCCTACGCCTGCGGCCCTCAGAAAAACTCTGCACCGAGGACAAGCGTAAAAAACCCGAGGACACCTCTACAAGTTGGACCCTCAAGCTGCGAAAAAGCCTTTTGAGAGGATCAGGGAAGCTCACCCTGGCCCTCCGCATCTGCATCGGGCTGAGCAGCAGCATTGCCGCCGCAAAGTGGGAAAAGAAGTCTGAAACATCCCCAAGACCCATTTTTTCTTTGCTTCTCCCGCCTCCAAAACAGTCCTTGCCTCCAGCCGCAGCTCCCAATCTAACCTACACCTTCAGCCCCATACAGCCTATACAGCCATAGGTGACCCTACGTTACACCTGCAGGCCTGAAGCGGCTCGAACTGGAGCTTCCCCTCACGAACAGCCAACATGCCCCCGTCAAGGGAGGAGCGGCCTTTCTGTCACTGGGCCCCCGGACCGATTGAGTTGTTGTACAGGTCCAGCGTGAGCTCCTCCAGCTTCTCCAGCTTCGTCAATCCTTCGGAGAGCTGCTGGCAGCCGCCTGCGCCTCGGCGATGTTCAGATGGGGACACATTCTAGAAGCTCCCACAGCTCCTGTATGAGGATGTCAGGACGGCCTCATTCGGATGATCAGTTTATACTCGCAGACCAAAAGCCTCGGAAGCCCAAAAAGTCTTTCAGATTCCACCTCCTGACTCCATTCCACGTATTTCTCCAGCGCTGGAGATGGGAAGCGATGCCATAAGAGCTACGTGTTTTGAGCACTGCGACCCATGCCAACCCTCGTGCTGATTTCTTAGAACTCTTCAGTTTCTATGCGCGAAAGTCATTCGTTGCAAAGCTGCATGGGTGACTTTGGAGTGCCAAAGGCCAGCTTTACCCGCTACGAGGCAGCCCCCCACATTCCGATGCTCGGCATGTGCCGGCAGCAACAATCTGATCTCCGGGCGCAGGAGCTGGGGCGCCGGGCCGATTTTGTTGCTGCATAAGTCGAGCTCCATCTTTTGGATCTTCTGCATTTGCGCCAGACACACCGCCAGGCCGCTGCAGCCTTTGTCGCCTCGGCGCAATTCTCCGGACTGGTATCCTACCCAAGCAGCCCAGAATATTGTAGCATAGAAACACAAACATGAAACAAGATTTTCAGACTCGGACCGAACCGACCAAACACGAATGTATCGATTCTTACCAGTATAGCCAGATCTTTTCGATTTTATGCCTACTTCTCCCCGATCGGGAGCGAAATTCAGAGGGCTCCGCCTCAGCTTGCGAAGACTCCGAAACTCCTACGCCTGCGGCCCTCAGAAAAAACTCTGCACCGAGGACAAGCGTGAAGAAACCGAGGACACCTCTACAAGTTGAACCCTGCCGCTGCGAAAAGCCTTTTGAGAGGATCAGGGAAGCTCACCCTGGCCCTCCGCATCTGCATCGGGCTGAGCAGCAGCATTGCAGCCGCAAGGTCGGAAAAGAAGTCTGAAACATCCCCAAGACCCCAAGTCTTCTTTGGCTTTTCCCGCCTCCAAAATACTCCTTGCCTCCAGCCACAGCTCCCAATCTAACCTACACCTTCGGCAAAACTTCTCAAAACCCCATACAGCCTATACAGCCGCAACTGCTCCTGCGTTACACCTGCAAGCCTGAAGGGGCGACCAGCCGAGAGATACCCTCGAACTGCAGCTTGCCCATCAGGAACAGCCAACATGCCCCCGTCAAGGGAGGAGCGGCCTTTCTGTCACTGGGCCCCCGAGCCGATTGAGTTCTCGGCCAGGTACAGCACGAGCTCCTCCAGCTTCGCCATCTTCGTCAATGCTTCGGAGAGCTGCTTGCAGCCGCCTGCGCCTCAGCGATGTTCGGATGGGGACAACACTTTCTCTGCCATTCTAGAAGCTCCCACAGCCCTTGTATGAGGATGCCAAGACGGCCTAATTCGGATACTCAGTTTACACTCGCAGACCAATAGCCTCGGAAGCCCAACAAGGCCTTTCAGATTCCACCTGCTGACTCCATTCCACGTACTGCTCCAGCGCGGGAGATGGGAAGCGATACCATAAGAGTTACGCTTTTGAACAGTGCGACCCATGCCAACCCTCGCGCTGATTTCTTAGAACTCTTCAGTTTCTATGCACGAAAGTCATTCGTTGCAAAGTTACATGGGTGACTTTGGAGTGCAAAAGGCCAGCTCTGCCCGCTACGAGGCAGCCCCCTACATTCCGATGCTCGGCATGTGCCGGAAGCAACAATCTGATCTCCGGGCGCAGGAGCTGGGGCGCCGGGCCGATTTTGTTGCTGCGTAAGTCGAGCTCCATCTTTTGGATCTTCTGCATTTGCGCTAGACACACCGCCAGGCCGCTGCAGCCTTTGTCGCCTCAGCACAACTCTCCGGGCTGGCCTCCAGCCCAAGCAACCCAGAAAGCTGTATCATAGAAACTTGCAAGATAAAACAGGATTTTCAGACTCGGACCGAGCCGACTAAACACGGATGCATCGATTCTTACCAGATCTTACCAGTATACCCAGATATTCGATGATGCCTACTTCTCCAGATCGGGAGCGATATTCAGAGGGCTCCGCCTCAGCCTGGCGAAGACTCCGAAACTCCTAAGCCTGCGGCCCTCAGAAAAACTCTGCACCGAGGACAAGCGTGAAAAACCGAGGACACCTCTACAAGTTGAATCCTGCCGCTGCGAAAAGCCTTTTGAGAGGATCAGGGAAGCTCACCCTGGCCCTCCGCATCTGCATCGGGCTGAGCAGCAGCATTGCAGCCGCAAGGTGGGAAAAGAAGCCTGAAAAGCCCCCTACTTCTTGCCTCCAGCCAGCCAAACCTCTCAAAACCCTATACAGCTACCTCACGAACAGCCACCATGCCCCCTTACAGGGAAGAGCGGGCCTTTCTGTCACTGGGCCCCCGGACCGATTGAGTTGTTGTACAGGTACAGCGAGAGCTTCTCCAGTGTCTCCATCTTCGCTTGAGCTTCGGAGAGCTGCTGGCAGACGTCATCACCTCAGCGATGTTCAGATGGGGACAACGTTTCTCACGGAAGCTGCCGCTATATACACGCTCCCACAGCCATTTTCAGTGTACGGACACAGCCTTGCAGCCTTTCAAGACTTCTTCAGCATGAGAGATCGATCCGGAGCCTCATCCCCGAAATCCAAACTGACCTAAACCCTGCAACTACTTACCTCCTCCGCCCGTCCCGAGGCATCAATGGACGGATATACGTCCATGCAAGAGGCAAAACTCGGAAGGGTCACGCCCAGCCGACCCGAGAGCTGTGGAACCGCCTCTGAGCCTCTCAAGCTTGGGCCCCGGCCGATCTTGCTTCCTTCAAGCTGCAAGCCCAGTTCATCGAGGTAAGGCATGGCTGCAATCGCAGCCGAGGCCTCTTGAGCCGTGGCAGCTCTCAACTCGCCCGAGAAGCGAAGCTCGAAGGGCTGTTGGCCCTGTTGCGCTCGGGCCCGAGCCGCCCGTCTGGCGGCCTCCGCCTCTGGCACAGTCAGCTTCGGGTTCCGCAGCACCAGCCTGGAGGCCGGAGCCCTGAGCAGCCACTGGAGGTCTGTGGGAGTGGCTTCCTTCACCATGATCTCCGCTTCAGACTCTTCCATCAGATCCACACTCTGCCCCTCAACTTCGGTGCGATAGGTGACATGCATTTCCTGGCCGTCGGCCCTGGCCTTCTGGAGTGCCTCCACGGCTCTTCGCACAACCCTGGGGCGTAGGGCGGCCTCCACCTGGTCCAGGTCGGGAGGTTTGATCTCCAGCGCCGTCGCTCGGAGCTTGACGGGCCCCAGCCGAGCCAGGCCCAGCAGAGTGCTTGCGCGCAGGTTGGCCCCCGCGAAGCTGATCTCGATTGGGTTCTCGTTGGGTTGGACCCGGCGGAGGCTTTCGTTGAGCTCTTGCTGCGTGTCCGAATCCTTGCTTTCGACAGACAGCGAATGCAGTGCCGGAAGGACACCAAGCACCGTCTTCGTAGTATTGCACGACGAGGCTTGGGGCCTCTGGGGCCAACTTGCTGATGGCCTCCCCCAATAATTTCCATGCTTTCCAGCTAAGGCTGTTCGAGCTGCTGAAGCCCAGACGTGTCAGCTGCACGCACCTGAGAAGCAAAACGGGGTGAGGAGACAAGCCCACAACTTCCTTGCTCAAAGCCGTCACGGACCGCATCCCGCCTAGGCAACATCTGGCAGATCTGCTCCACATGGTCCTCCGTCAATGCGCCTGAAGTAGTCAAAGGCAGCTACGCACCTTCTCAGGACCTGCCCCACCTTCGCTGCCGTAGTCAACTTCCGGCTTGATCTTGAGCACGTGGAGTAGCGGTGCCTGTGCGGAAGGCGGAAACTTTGCGGACAGTTGAGACGCCATGGATGCAGGCAAAAGTTTCGAAAGCCGGCGATTTGGGATGCTGTAATTTTGGAGCTCCTACGCAGCTACCAGCCATCTGCTGTGACAGTGCACGTGGCTCTAAACCCCAGCAATTGGACAACCGGAAGATGCAAATCCCAACTGCGCAATTCGCACCGATGAGACGTCAAACCAGACGCGGTGGCAAACATGCTGGCGCGCCCTGCGGTTCAGGCCCACCAAGAGGAGATCCAGCAGGCATTCGCCAAAAGTCATCTCTTGGGCTCCTGTCTAAGCACTGTGGAAGTTCCAGGAATGTTTGGCGTACAGACCTTCAGTCGAGCTCGATCGGGAGTCATACTTCGCCTAGGATTCCAATTCTGCAGAGCTTCCTGATGGGGGTTTTGCTGAGACAAGCTCTGACCACTCTGAAAGTTCGATTTCCAAACGACAAGTAGCCTCGATCCTGGCACAGCTTACGTTCAGTGTTTGGCTTGGATCATAAGCTTACACCCGAACAGCGTACGAACACCCATACGGCTCGGGCTGAAAACATCCAGCCCTCAGAACGGCGCACCTGCCGTGTCGGCGATGTCTTTGAGAGTCAGGCCCAGGCACAGCACGGAGGTGCTGATCGAGAAGGCCAGCGTGGCCAACTTACGTGTGCTGAAGTCGGTCCTTCCAGACGAGGGGAGTAGAGGCAGAAGAGGTGGCTGCCAAGGCGGCTGACGAGAAGCGAGGAAGGCTACAATAGAAAGCTTAACGATCTTAATGGGCCTTCTGCCGATCTGCATCAAGAGACAGCAGGTGGGCCCTTTCTCAGATCTGGTCCTGTGGGTTGCGACCTTCACATAGAGGATACGGCTCTGCAGCAAAGCCTGGGCCGGTGACCTCGGCATAGCGACACACGCCCGACAAACGCACCCCATGCAGTGTCGTGGCCTACGGTCGGAATCTACAGCCATCTACAGCCGCCCAAGCACCAAACATGTTGAATCCTCTATAAGACTATAAGACGGAAGTTTCGAAGGATGGCGCCTTCCCTTGCACGGAGACCTTTACACCATTGCACAATGCCCGATGTGACAATCCGACCTGAGCCGCAACCTCCCGAGCCCTTTCTGATTGAGCAGGTCCAAGTGGCTCCAGCATGGTCTCCGTGACGATTCGAAGCCTCTGCAAGCGGGTAAAGCCCGGGTCTGTTGAGGCGCATTGGCTTGGCACAACACAAAGCTTCGAGCGCATTATCCAAGAGATCTCCCTCTAGGCCACCATCCGATGCCTCTGCAGGTTCATCAGCCACCCCTGCCGCGGCTGTGAGCAAGGCCAGATGACGATGAACGCCGGATCCGCGAGAACCAAGGCCGGGAGGCCTGGCCGCAAGCTTTTGTTTTGGCAAAGGGATGATAGGAGCACAACCGGCGGGCCACCCACCAAAGACCACAGAATCGTCGTCAGGATGCCAGCGCCCGGAAATTTCGCTTGGAGCGCCTTAGGGAGCGGCGAAGGCAGGTCTTGAGGGTGGCAGTTTTGGGAGCTTCAGGCTTCAAAAGCTTCAAACGCACCTGGGTCATGATGGGGAAGGAGAGGCAAAACCAGAGCACGTAGGTGGCGGTGATGATGCTCACGCTAATCCGCCCCCACCACACATCGGAGCTCCAGACGAGCCTTGCTGGCAGGGTCTCAGTCCCAGGGCCCCTCGAGGATCATAAGATGCTGCACTTGTGTTACAGACCTCATGCACAGATGCATGCCATGCTGCAGCCTGGAACCTGCCTCAAAACACACTGGGGGCCGACTTGGGTCGCGGCCCGTCTTCGGAGCAAAGTGGCCAGCCTTCCTTCCCGAAGGCCACTAGCAGATCCAGTCCTGTGTCTTGAATGGGAAGCCACCTCTCCATCAGCAAAATGCCCGGAGGGGACATCTTGAAGCTTCGGTAGAGCTCAGATGCCGAAGTGGCGGTTTGAGTCATGCATTGGCCGACCCTTGAGTTTTTGGCCGACTTCAGGCAGGAGCGCAAACATTTCAGCAGCATTTCGCAAGTCTCTCCGTCGTCTACTGGCGCTTCTTCCCACTGAGGCTTTGCCTGCACTGGCTCCTTCAGCGATGCATCCGAGAGAAGGGCGGCTTCTTCCCCCACATCGTAGAGGCTTTTTAAGCCTTGCTCAGGGTCTGTGCTTTCATCCTGTGGCTCTAGCAGAGGCTGTATCTCGTAGTCTGAGGGAGGCTCGGTCTCGGCGGCGATGACTTTGATCAGCGCACGAGACTTCGATAGGCAACACCCCATGGCGCTCCGGAAAGCCGGAGTCAGCTACACGCCGTTCGACAGGTCTTGAACTTCTCGACTCGCCTAAACCTTTTTGAACCCAAAACTGTGACCTAAACCCCAAACTTTAATCCGAATCGACCCCCTAAACTCTGGACATGAGCCCTAACCCCAAACCCGGGAACTTCTGACTGCGGAGGTCTTCTCCGCTCGCTCGCAGGGGCGACTCGCCTAGGGCGAGGGACCCCTTGAGGCTGTCAGAGCTTCACTCCTGGAAGCGTGAGGCTCCTTGAACTTAAGGCTTCGGAGGGGTCAGGAGCTCGGCTGTGGAGTTGGTGCGGAGTTGTTTCAGAGGGAAGTCGTAGTCTTCCCTAGTCGCCATGTCCTTTCATGCCCCTCGTGAATACGGCTAGGCTGGGACGCCGGCCTCGTGTCCTAGCCGGAGGCCTCCTCGCTTCTTTGTAAGGCCTTGCCTTCCCTCCCCCCTTCGCCTTCCGTAGTTTGGGGCCCTAATCTTCCATCCACGGATCCGGGTGGGAGAGTCGGCGTGCAAGCTAATTAAATTGTGCGAGGCGCAGTTCTCAGGACAGTCCTTTAAATTAAAGGCCCCTCAGGGTGCTCGATGGGTTACTTCGCGAGGCCCGGGCGGATTCCACCAACTTTGCCAGAAGTCACATCCGATTATTCCTTGGTGGCCTTGTAGCTATGTTTGTACAAGAGCACCTAATCCCTCTGCGTAGATCAGAAGGAACCCCATCCTCACTCACCACCGTAGATGCACTGGCCCAGCTTCGACCGTATGGGCTCGATTTAATGCAACATCATGTCTTCATACCGTTGTTGCTGCAAGAAACATAGCGACGCACTTGGCAATCCGCAGGCGACGGCTGTTTTTCTCTCACAGTGTCTCACAGGCACGGCTGCAACGACTCGGCAGGAAGATCGAATCGCGAAGCGTAGAGCCTTCAGCAGGCTTGCAACTTGCAACAGTGGGATTCTGTCCTGTGCGGTTCCAGATTCGTGCCAGCGGATCCTCGACATTGAAGAAACCAGAACTCTCCAGCACTTCGTGCTTTCCAACACAATTTTTATGAAGGCAAAGCCCTAAAAGAAACGGGAGTGAGCGCCGCTGCAAACCAGGATCCCATGGAAATCCGAAGCCGAAGCCCGGTCTCCTTCCGAAAGATGCGGAAAAAACCCTGAGGAGATTCTGAAGGACCTGAAGCCCCGGATGCTCCCTCCTACTTGGTGGTTCATGGGTAGTTATACGTAGGGTTATAAGTAGGGTAACTATACTTATAACCCACTTATAACTACCCTGAACCTGCAAGTATGGTTTAAGCTCCCCAAACAGCAGCAAAGCTCCGACCAGACCTCATCGTGACCACCGAAACCCCAAAATGATTTCAAGCCCTCAAACTGTAAGCTTGCGCCGAAGCTTAAACGCAAGTAAAACCAGCCTCGATCTCGTGATCCTCCACTCTCTACCAACACAGACACCAAAATTGCGCAGTGGAGATGACATAAGACTACGAACAACAATAGCAGTAATAGTCGCAATAATAACCGTAATAATCGTAAGAGCAATAAAAGTAATTAATAACAGTAGCTATGCTGGTGGGAAGTCGTGCACTAAACCCTAAACCGCATCAGTTCCAGCCTCATGCTTCTCCTTGGTAGCGGCGCTTCTGCCAGCTTTGGTGCAGCTCCTGGAGGCTCCATGCGTGTGGAACTTCGATCTTCTACGTCAAGAGCTGTAATAAAGTTTTGGGTTTTGGGGTTTTGGGGTTAGGAATTCGGGGGAGTAGCTGAATAGACCGTCGAGTTTTTGGTTTAGGGACATCTCCCCGTCACGGCCAGAAGGCAAAGCTGGCTTGCATTGAAACTCACTTTACCCGAAAGAGTGTAGGGTTTAGGGTTTAGGTGTTTAGGGTTCAGGGTTCAGGCGATAAGAATTTAGGGTTTAGGACTTCTTAGGTTCACTGTTCTGGTTGGTGCAGGCGCGAGACACGGGCATCTCGAGGTGATTGGTACATGCACCAATTAGCACCGATCATTTTTAGTATTATTCTTATCACTAGTACTATTCTTCCTCTTCTTCTTGTTCTCATTCGTGTTGCTTAAAACACCACGCGCTGTCTTTGTGCGGGCCATGCAGAGCCTGAAGGCCCCCCGAGCCCTCGGAGAGGTCCCCCGTCCCTGTAAGGTTTAGGGGTTCTTGCAATGCTTCGGGCTGAAAGCGAACATGTAAGCAGATTTACGAAGCAAGCCGGAGGTTCACCTTAAGAGAATCCCAACCTGTGCCCCTAATAATGTACCAAGTAGCCACGTACCCTTTCACCCTGTTTATTTCGAGCCTTTAACATGGTCTAGAGAAACCCCATCAGCCTTAACCCTCAACCCTGAATCCCGAGCCCTCACGCTGCAGTCCTTGAACATGGATCTTAGCGGCTCCCGGAGAGTGGCGTAAAGGCCCTGGAGGACTCACCACATATGAGACCCTTTCAGGGTTCAGGGGCTCAAGAGTACCTAGTTCCAGATCCGAACTTCGGGGTTCGAAGCTTCAGGGGTTTTTGGACCCGGGTTCGATAATTTTTGATTTAAATCACTTAAGGGAGGTTTGGGGTTTGATGCTGAAGCGTGAGGCTTTCGAGCGATTCCTTTCGCGACACATCCTCCGAAAGTCCAAAAACTCAAACGCTTGAGGGCAAAAACATGCGAGCAAAGGGGGTTTAGGGCTTGGGTACCGAGGTATCGTTGTAAGTTTCAAGAAAATGGAGCGGCGGCCCGCTGCGAGAGAAACGAAGAACAAGTGATTAGAGTCCCATGTCCTCGGAAGAGTACGACAATCTGATGATAGCCCAACGCCCCATACCCCGAAAAGCACCGACCCCCTTTCTTCAGATCCCCAAAATCACCAGCAGGCAGGGCCTGCAGGAGGTTCTCGGCACCTTTGACCGAGTTCCTTGGGCCACTCTGGCGGTAAAGGGTTAAAGTTCTGGGTGTCCAAAAAAACGGCGAAGCCGCATGCCTCCAAACTAAGACGTGCTTGAGTGTTGCGCTCTGCAGACGTGGCCAAACCTGCTTCAATCCTGTACATGCTCCACACCCAGAACCCTCAAAATTGACCCAAACCCTAAATCCTGAGCCTCAAATCAGAAACCCCTGTACCTGAAGCAGCTCCAGTTTCGCAACGAAAACTCGCCGAGCCACAGCAAAGAGCTTTGGCCCTCCTGAAGAATAGATACCTGGGCTGTGATCGAGCTGTTTCTGTTGCGGGACGGCTTCAGGAGCATTTGAAAGACTTTGGGGTTCTCGGTCGGCCTACGGTTTCTTCTTGAAAGTCTGAAGCTTTGCGATGCCAGGGCTTCAGGTGCAGGTTTCAGGAAGTTGGGTTGTGGGCTGTGGATCAAGAGGCTTGGGGCTTCGGGGGATGTTGTGCAATGTAAGTATAGCAACCATGACTTGCAGCCCAAGCTTTTGTACTTATCACCCTGCCTTGTTCTATGCATGAGCGAAAGCTGCAAGCCCAAAAAAGCCCGCGGTCCGAAATCGCAAACCCAACCGTTCGAAAGATGCTCCTAAACCCTGCGGCCTACATGCCACGCCCTAAATCCTCAGCGCCACAGATAATGAAAATAGCGTGGTTTGGAATGCCAATTTTTAGACCCCGACCTCAAAACCACTTGACTTGCTTTCTAACGAACTGGGAACCTTAGACTGGCCTCAGGAGTCTCAGTCTTAAGCCAGTGCCATCTCCGTAGGACCCACCCCAAGTCAGTAGACAACTCCGGCATCTTCGAGGCTTAATACTTCGATCGTGACGGTCTCAACCACAAAAACTCGAAGCTCGCTGTGCTGCAGGGCCTACTGCAACCCGACAAGCTTTGCATACTCCATGACCACACCTGCTCCCCATATCCCAAATACATCTTAAATTTAAATACTGCGCCACTCCCTACATTACGCAAACTGCAAACTCAAACCCTGAAGCTCCCCAGTCCAGCGCCCTCCAATCCGAGTCCTCAAAACCCCACTGCCACAAAACGCTGGAAGTTCCTAGCCCAAGTCCGACCTTAACCCTGAAGAACCTACCTTTTCAGGGTTCCTTATTATGATTTCTTTATATAAGTCCTTAAAAAGGTAGGTTCTTCAGGGTTAAGGGAAACCCTGAGCCCTCAGCCCTAACCCTAAAGTACCATACTCGGCAAGGCTGCTGCTTCCTTCCACTTTGCGGCTTCCTCGTCACCTGGAGAGCATGCTGCAGCTTAGGCAAGCCCTGAGCCGTAAACTCTGAGCCCTGAGCCCTTGACTCTGCCTTCAGCGCGAAAGACATATGTTTTTTTGGGTATTCTGAATTCTGTAAAGGTCTTGCAGGTTGTGGTAGGGTTTCATAAGGGTTCTACAAAGCAGTCATGAGGGTTCTACCTGTGATGAAGGATTTGACGGAAACCGCTCTGGTAGGGTGTCTTCAACGTTATGGGAGCCGAAATCTTAGATGCTTGAGGACTGAACTGTGTGGTTCAGTTCGGACTACAAGAGCAAAGGGGAAAGAAGGCCCGGCTTCGGGGCCATGGCTGCAACACATGAAGTCTTGCATAAATGAACTTTGGATTCAAGGCTGAGTGCAGGAATCTCAAACCCAGGCAAGGGCATGAACCGGTCAAACGGTCAGAATCATACCAAATTACCGGCACACCTCAAGATTGACTGAGGCCACCCGCGAGCAGCACCGACGCGTCGCGCTGCAGCCTGAAAACTCGAGGTGGGCACTGGGATACAGGCGAGGGCTTTATTTGCCAAAGCCTCGCAAGATTTGCATGGGGTTTTGGGCTAGAAGGATATGGGGATGCAAAGCATGTTCACGGTTTTGGCTTGGGTTGTCCTGCCCATCGCGCGGTAACCATATAACTATCAAGTTGCAGCGTGTTGCTGGTGCAACACTTGCTACCGGAGGAGAGCGTAGCCAACGACAGAGATTTTTCTGACAACGACACCTGGCGCCCACAGGTAAAGACACGCCGCAATGGTTGCGGTCAAACCCAGCATAGCTGCCACGTCTGCGAAATGGGATAGAGTAAGTGTGAGTTTGTGGGGGCTGTGGAGTGAGTTTTGGGTGAACTGGTATAAACATGACATGTAGATCTGTCTCTTCAACACGGAACTGCAATCCTTCGTCAAGCCCCTCCGAAGCTGCACACATGCAACTCCCGTTTGGAGTAAGGTCTGTATGCAAACGCATGGAAGTCCCGAAACAAGAATCAAACACATAACTTCAGCTAGCTCTTCTGATCCTAGCATCCTGGAGCCTAAACCCAGAACCCCAGAGACCAATATCCCAAAGCCCTGCACCGACACAGCTGCTTTGATCCGCAGCCTCCACACCGGCAAAGTGACGCTCGCAGGAAAGTGCATGTGCGATCAAGGGCAATGCGAAGCCTGGACGGCAGGCTTCGGTTTGGGGTAGTCGCTTTTCGCGTTCAAGCGTCTTTTCATTTCAGTTTCGGGCTTGCGCCTCGGAGCTGTAAAGCTTGAGGGTCTGTTGTCGAGAGGACGCAGCGTGTATCGTGGGCACCAAACTGCGGCGGGACTGCACTGACTACACTGCAGGCATCCGTGACCTGACATAACGCAGAAGAGTAAATGCCGAAGCCCCTTGGTTGCTTTGTCCCTCTGTCTACGTGCATTGTCGTAGCGCCTGGAACGCACTAAGTGCCGGGCCCATGGTGGCTCGCTGCACTCGCGCCTGGAAGGTGGTATGGCCTCTGCGTGCAGAGCTCAACCGGGGTGGGCCCTCTGCACCCTAAGCAGATCCTAAACCCCAACCGCTAAACCCGAAGCCCTAGACACATCGCAGCCGAAAAAGGAATCGGTATCGAGTCATGCGAGCTGGCTAAGGTCCCGGAGCCACAGTGCATGGGCTATTGCCCCTATCGAGCACATACTTGCGCGGGCTCGGGAACCTTTACGCGGGAGCACCCTTGTTGCAATTTGTTCGAGTGCCACTCTTCCGCCTTCAACACGTCCTGGCGCGGCAGCTCCAAGCGGTGCGATGCTGGCGCTGCCTTCGCCATGGCCCAAACCAGTTCCTGCAACTCTTAAGTGCCTCCAAACCCCAAACCCTTAAATCACGACCACTGAGACCCCCAAGGCCCTAAATTCCTCAATCTCCGCATCCACACCGCCGGACCCCTGAACAACTGAACCCGACCGAACCCCGAAGCCCCAAACCCCCTAAGCCCCTGCAGCTCCATAACCAAAATCCCCAAAACCCTGACCCTTAAACCTTTACAAAACCCTGAACCCGCCCGAAACTCTAAACCCCAAACCCTAAACCCTACAGAACCCCAAGCCCCTAAAATCTACACCCCTGAACCCAAAACCCTTTAAGCAACCCTAAACCCTTTAACAACCCCTAAACCCTCAACCCTCTAAGAAACCCTAAACCCTAAACCCTTTAAGAAACCTTACTAACCGTCTAAGAAATCCTAAACCCTGGAAACCCTAAGCTGCAAAACCCAAAAGCCCGCCCCAAGGCCCAAGGCCTGATCGCCCAGCAGAGGCCGCTGTGGAGCGACTTCCGCCCTCCCGGAGCTCAGAGCTCGCGATGGGGCTTCGGGCATTTATGGTCCTAGTTTAGGGTTTTTACGGTTTCTTAAAGGGTCTGGGGCTTTGGGGGTTTTAGGGATTTTGTTTTTTGAAGGCCTTTTCTAGGGCTTTAGGGTTTCTTGAAGATTTTATGGTGTCTTAAAGGGTTTAGGGTATCTCTGGGGTTCCAGGGTTTAGGCTTTACCAAGGATTAGGGTTTAGGTTCTTTTGTATCTTTAGGGCCTGGCTCAATAGGTTCAGGGTTCAGTGGTTTGGGGCTCAGATTGGTGTGTATTTCAGGCTTTCGGGTCCCATCCTCTGAATACCTGTGTGGCAAGGTCGAGGGTTCAGTGCCTGAAGGCTCGGAACAAGGGGGTTTCACTCTTCAAACGAGTTTAGCGCTTACGGAGTGTATGTTCTGGGGGCTTGAAATGGGCTGCGAGTTTAGGAGCATTCGCCGGCCGCAGTCAACTCAACGCTGAAACTTGATTGGAATCTTGTAGAAGCCTTGTAGAACCCCTATAAACCCCATAAAGGGCCCTGTACAATAATGAAGCCATATCGTTTTAAAGATTTGAATCAGTCTTCCACGAAACTGTGCAGCCGCGGTTTAGGGTCTGAAGGTGGGGGTGCAGGAGGTAGGGCTTAGGTTGCAGGGTCAAGCAATCGATTTCCAGATTAGGGATACCCAACTTCTGCATGTGCGATGCAGCGGTGCAAGAAAAACTCCAACTTGCCCACCTGACTCAGAACCTCCCAAAGTCGGGTCACATCCCCGGCGGCTTGCACAGCAGCCGTGCCTTAAGAGGCTTTTCACAGAGGGTTTCGACCGCGTTGCAGGGGCTAATGAAGGGTTTTGGGAGGGTGTCGGATTTGGCTTTGAGTGGTTCTGAGTCTTTGGGTTTGGGGTCTTATGCCTTCGACTGTTGCGTTTTTGGCTTACAGGTCGGTTTGTGTATTTGGGGAGGAGAACCTGCAATTCAGGCTCAGGTTGGCTCCGACATCCGAAACTGAATCTCTCTTAGAATCCTAAACACCCTTTCGTTGAGACCTAGGGTCTAGGGTGCAGAGGTTTGCGCCTTCATCCGTCGAAGCACAGAACCCAAGCAAGAAGCCCACGGGCCATATGGGAGTTTCCGAAAATTCGGGGTACCGTATTTTGGGGTCCGTAGAATAAGGATCCTACTATTTAGGGTGCTGTTTTAGGGTCCCCATTTTCGGAAACTCCCATATGGTAGTTTCCGAAGATAGGGGACCCTAACATAATACCCCAAATAGTAGGATCCTTATTATAAGGACCCCAAATAAGGTACCCCTAATTTTCGGAAACTCCCAAAAACATGGCAGGTACCGACTTTCCGGGCCGCATCGGAAGCCTTTGAGTGAATCCCAAGTCCTTCATTCTGCCTTTAAGGTAAAAGCCAGAAAGTTGAAATATGATTATCCTAAACCCTTTATAAGGTATCCTACCCTGAAACCATATTCCAACTTTCTGGAGTTCCCTTTAGGTGTCTAGGGAATCGCTGTTCAGGGTTTAGGGCCCTTCATTCTGCTCTCGAGGGATCCGCTTGTAGGCCCGAGGCCGCACCTGAAATCAGCTTCAAGCAGCTTGGAACCAAAGACCCTGAACATATGCCGTCAAGGAGCCGTTGGGTGCAGCGTAAACTGCTTCCAACATTGGCCTCACGACTTCGGCATCATGAGCTATGTATGCATCCTAAACCATGCCGTAAGCTCCCTGGACTCTGCGCCAAAATCCTAAACGGGCGAAGAATTTTGGTTCGGTAGGGCAGGTATTGTGGATGAAACATTTATTGGCTCCGGCATTCCGAGTGCTGCCTCAATCCAAGCTGCGGGGAAGGAGTTTGGGGCCTGCAGGAAACTCAACTTCACTGCGCTGGAGTGGTTATGTGCCTGTGTAAGCACGTATGCGTGCATGCACGTTTGCAAGTGAGCATAAGTAAGGACATACATACACTTGTTGGGGTTGCACGGCTTACGGGAATCACGATTCCGATCGTAAGGGTTCCACCAGGGACGTAGGGGAAACAACTTATCCTTCTGCATCATCTCGCCAGGCCTTCTGCGACAGTACTATTAAGTGCTTTTCTGGATCCCTACACCCCGAAAAGTGCGATGTGAAATTCATGGAGTACTCCTCAGAGGGCAGATACGCCCTAAACGCTACACCAAACTCCAAGTGCACGTTGACCATGCGAAAAGGTTTAGGCCCTCAGCCTTTTCTTATGGTCAGGCTGCTTCGCGATTACGTCTTGCCCTGTGCAAATGGTCATGGCTACGGCTCGCCTAAGGATTTGGAACAGGTTTTCGTGGTATACCTGTAATAATCTCTGTATTGCGAGGATTATACATGGAACGTCTGTAAGGGGATATTATCTTTGTTGTCCAAGCTTCAAGAGGCTTCGATAGTAGGCCAGCGAAACGCCCAGAACCACCCCCGAAAGCCTAGACCGTAGACCCGCCCGGAGACCCCAAAACTTTACAGCTTGAAAACGCCAAAACCCAACACTCCCAACACCCAAACCACCGGCCAAAACCTCCAAATCACCAGATCGCCAACCCTACATGGGTAGTTGTCAAAATTAAGGTCCCACCCTAAATATTAGGTGCCGTATTATGTTAGAGACTCAAAAAGGGACCATAATTTCGACAACCACCCACATGATGAAAACCCAGAACATGCGATCCTGAAGGCTTCCGCAAGCAAATGCGGCCTCTCCTCGGAATGAAGGTTGCAGATGTCGGGGGTGTGAAGGTTTGGGTTGCGCTAGTTTTTAAAGCTCCTGAGCAAGGCCTTATAGGTTTAGGGTTTAGGGTTTAGGGAGGCTTCGTAGAACCCTATGGAACCTCAAGAGAACCCTCATAGAACCGTTACAGAAGCTTTGTTCCTTAGTAGAACCTTGATAAAGCCCTTATAGAACCTTATCAGCCCTCTGAAACGACTTACCCAACTCCGACTTTCTGAGGCGTCAAGGAACCAATTAACAGGTATGCCTTAAGGGTGTAGGCGTTTGGGGGTTTAGGGCTTAAAGGTTCGAGCTTCGGGGTTTAGATTTTGGATCTTACAGCTTGTAGGGTGTAGTGTAGGATTTTAGAAGTTTCGATCAGGTCGCTTGAGTCATTCTTCGGTTGTTTCGGAGATTGTTTTCGAACATGCCCGACTCAGGAAACCTGCGTAGTTCAGACAAAATTATTCGCCTATGTCGGGTTCAAAGCGGAACGTTCAGCTTTAAAACTTCATGGTTTGCGGTGCAGCTCAAAAGCTAGAGTGTGGGCTTACGGATTTTCCGGTTGCGGGCTCATTTCCCAGCTTGAAACGTCAAGGTCAAAGATCACGCAGCCTAGACCCTAAACGGTGTGGACTCCAACAGAGGAGGCTCAGTCCCACACCTAAATCCTGAAGTGCTGATCTTCAAGCAACCCGCTCGCAATTCTTGAGAAACCTGTATCTAGCTTGTCCATGGATGCCAAGGGGCCGTCCATGCGGGGAGGCGCACCCCCTGAGAACAACACTGTGCCTTAAAACCACAAAAGGGCTCCTGAATTGAAACTAGAAGCCGTCTGCAACTGAAGTTCGGGGCCTCATTCTGAGAACAGGGTTTGGGGACATATTATATTCTAACTATACTAGTGTCTTAATATGGGGGCACCTATTGCTACGTCTTCAGACCCAGATACTATTATGCGACCGGGCTTGGGGTTGGGCCTTCGCTTGTGGTTTTACGGTTTAGGGCCTAGGATTCGTCAGTTGCTGATTAGGGTCCCGTGCCTCATGTTGTCGCTTTGCTCTTGTGGGAAGAGAAACCCGAAACCTGACAAGCAACAAGCCTCTGAGTTACACAGCCCTGGCGATCCTAATCTTCCATGCGAACCCCGCTAGCCGTTCTTGCAGTCAGCCCTTTCAAAAAGTCGCAAGCTCCCCCAACGCGCAATCCTCACAGCCTGAGCCCTAAACCCCAGCTCTGTGAGCTCAAAATAATGCTGTGCAGTGTTTGGTAAATGAAAAGGAGCCACAATAAAACTTCGAAGCCCGAGACCCTGCACTCCAAACCCTGCCAGCCCTAAGCCCTGTGCCCTCAACCCTAAACCCCAAGCCCAAAACCTGAGTGCACAAACGCAGCAGCAAAAGCACTCGAGGAGCTTGGCCTCTGAAGGAACAGCCGCGAAGATGGCCTGTCGAGCATCGCCACGAAAGCTTAGAGGCAGTTTTCGGTTCAAGGGGTTTAGGGGTTAGGGTTTGGGGATTAGACTTTCGGGGTTTGTTGTTTAGGATTTTAGGGTTCGGATTTTGCTTAAGGGCTCAGAAATTGAAGAAATTCCCATATCATGGCATCCTCAAACATTGCCAAGCTCTACGCGCCTTACAAGGAAAGACCCGGATGAAAGCAACCCGTCGCCCAAGAAAGGAACAAACTAAACGACGTACCCAAGAGCTGTGTAAGAGACCCGTAGGAAGCCACAATGTAGGGGCCTTGGTCATGGGAACAGGGTTTGGGGGGCTCATTATACTATAAATATAATATGGAACCCCCGCAAGACGAGGGGTTAGAACTAAGGCCACTACATTACAGAAACGCTAAGCCCAAAATCTTCATTATTAGAGCCCCGATAGTAGAAAGCCAAATTCCAGGCAGCCCGGGCCTTGAGGAGAGAGTTGGCTGCAACTTGCAGGACCGCAAAGGCACTGGCCCTGGGCCGTCTTCGAGGTTGGGCTTGCTATTTAGATACTGCTTTTAGGGTAGTTTGAAACATCAGGGACCGGGAAGGTAAGCAGTACTTCGAACAAAGGTCTTGGGTTTGGGTTCCGTATTCCTCAAATCCAGCCCAAGAGCTCTAAACCCTACACACACTCCAAGAAAAGCCCTAGAATCCCTTCCCCAATGGCCATGCCAGTGGCCAACGGTTCGAGTTTAACACAGGAGCCATGAGAATAATGCAGGGGCCTTATTAATTAGAATAGCATTATTTTACAAGTGAAACAAGGAATACCCAAAAAGCATTGGTAATTCTTCAGGCCCCTAGAATACCTGCTCTTCGGGCAGCCGGTACATGGTGGAGGGCTGCAAGGACTTGGGCTGCAGATTCTTTCTGCTTCGGGGCCTCGGGCGGCCAGGGGTTTCGTGCATGGTCTAGGGCCCCCGGAGAATGTGTTGAGAGTTGGAAGTTTTCTGCGAAAAGCTTCCTATAAAATTTGCTAAACCGCGAAGACTTCCTCATTCCTCCAGGGATACCAAGAAGCCCTCGAACTGCAAGCAAGCTGAACCGCGAACCCTGCTGCCAGCGTCGGGGAGTTGTCCCAAAGCAGTTGTACATGGGTTGTACACATTGGGGTTCCCAAAATGCCTCTGGTTTCAATCATTTCAGCTGATCCGAGGATGCCCAACATGATAAAACACCAGATGGAAACTCCACGAGCGCACTGCTTGGGGTTTAGGGCTTTAGGGGTTTAGGGCTTTAGGGCTTAGGGCTTTAGGGCTTTAGGGTTTAGGGCTTAGGGCTTTAGGGCTTTAGGGTTTAGGGCTTTAGGGCTTAGGGCCTCAGGGTTTAGGGACCTCAGGCCAGCACCCGGCCGGCGTGGAGTCTGCAGGGAAACCTGCAGGCTCCAGGCAGGTATGTGGGGGCTGCTATACTGTAAGAAGACTATGAGTTCTGGTGGCAATAATAGAAAGTCTACCAGTACTAGTACCATAATGCCATAATATGACTCATACTGACAAGAACTAAATGACTAAAAGATGTGTTTTTACATATTTACAGACACACAAATAATTTTCTAGCAGTTAAAGTTACAGTCATGACATGGATGATAATAGCCACTTGTGGAGCTAGTGTTGTTTTCGACTCTTTTGGTTTGGGACGTGGTTTGGGCTTTCAGCTGTCTGTAGAGGGTTGCGAAAACTCTGTGGAGGCCCAATGTGGGCTGAGAGCTCAAACCCTCAACTGAGCGGGGAACCCCAAGTAATAGTAATTATTTTTAGAACCCTGAACCCCTAAACCCCTAAACCCTAACCTCTAAACCCCTAAACCCCCTAACCCCTAAACCCTCTTAGTCGACGTCGAAACGAAGACTACTTGACTCCTTGGTTTCCCAGGCTTTTGGGTTTAGGGTTTCAGTTTTCATCGTCGGTCCTGCATCCTACACCTCTGGCGAAGGCTTTCGATCGTGAGGACCAGGGTTTAAGCCCTCCAAACCGGGCTCCCTATAGCGCCTTGATAATTAAAACCGAGTTCTGGGATCTATATATATATATATATATATATATATATATATATATATATATATATATATATATATATATATATATATATATATATACATATATATATATATATATATATACCGTGGCTGTGGTTTAACTCATATTAAACCTTGAAGATTTGTTCTTGCCCTACAGTAGAGATTGCACGGCTTGCCCCGATGCTCCGACCTCGTGCGACTGCAGCCCGCGCGGTGCATGCGGCGGTCTGCAGAGACGGGTTTTCGGTGAGGGGCTCAGGGAATTTGCTCATATTGACCGCTACAGTTGTTTTGACAAACCTGAACCCTAAACCCCAAACCCTCAGCCCAAACGGCCGCTACAGTTCTTGTGACGGCTCCGTCGACAAGTGTGTACCGCGAAGATCATGACTCTTAGCCCTCCATGCCTTCTCACAGGTGCAGGACTTGCTGGTGGCATCACTGTGGGTTTAGGGTTCAGGGGTTTACGGGATTACGGGTTGAGGGTTTAAGGGTTTACGATTTGGGGTTTGGGGGTTTAGCAAATACCGAGATACGGTGGGGTATTGATGTGAAGCACGCCGGTGTCTTCGGGTGCAGGTGATGCTCGGATACTACCGACGTTTACTGATATAGCTCTGCGCACTCAGCTTTAAACACTAAACGAGGCATGTTACCAAATACGGAGCCCCCGTCCTTCTACAGCCACATGGAGAGCAACACACTGCTAACCGGAACTACTTGCAAACCAATCTATTATGGTCTAAGCTAGTCTCAATATTATTGTTGTCCATGCTGTTCTCGTTTTCTTGTTAGTCTCATTGGAACACTCGGCGACATTGCTACACTGTTAACACATTCATGTTCTCCTCACTCCTAACTAAACCCTAAACCTTAAACCCTAAACCCTAACCCCTAAACCCCAAACCCCACTGCTAGTTTGCTTGTTGCTTGTACTCTGGGGCGGGCCTCCAGAAGTTGTCCTTCCAGATCGGCCAAATGCCTCTGCCATGACAGGGTTTAGGGCTTAGGGTAGAGGGTTTAGGGCAGAGGGTTTAGGGTTTACGGGTTTAGGGCTTAGGGTAGAGGGTTAGGGTGTAGGGATTAGGGTTTAGGGATTAGGGTGTAGGGATTAGGGTTTAGGGTGTCGGGATGAGGGTCAGGAGTCAGGTTTTGTAGGGTCGTTAAGGGCTCGGTAAGGGCTCTACTAGTTCTACTGCAAGCTCTATAGGGGCTGCATTCCGGGTTAGGGCTTTAAGGTTGAAGGCTTCTTGGGCCGAGGGTCGCAGGTTTTTGGGCCTTTGAAGGGTTCAAGAAGGGCCTAGGGTTCGGCGTAGTCGAAGAGCTTTAGCAAAGCTGGAACATGGCCAAAGATGATTGGGTGATGGGATGCTTTCAAGCTTAACTTGAGGGAGGGAGGATAATCCTGCTCCAACTTTCTGGCTACTTTCAGTAGAGTTGGGGCTTGAGTGTGTTAGGGTTTAGATGCGAAGGGCATCTAGGAGCCTCAACCCTACATAGTAGGATCCTAGGGCCCTAGGAGAAATCTCGAGCTACGTCTTGGCATTCCTTTTTATAGAAGGCGCCGGTTGGCCCGGAACGGACATGAGTCTTGGCATGAAGTTCAGCGTGACTGTGGTGTTCAAGGCGAGCAATGTGATGAAGACCCAAAAGCTAAGGACGGGATCGCATGAAAGGCTTGATTTGATCGATATGAAGCCTGAACCCCGAGCCCCTCACACTAGAAGCTCTAAGCCCCTCAAACCCCAATCGCTTTCTAAACCCTGGAACCCGTGAAGGCCCAAACCCTTAAGTCCCTGAGCCGCTGTGCCATGGTTGAGCGAGAGCTTGCTGCCGAGGAACTTGTGCGGAAGTCGGCGGTGACCTGTCTGAGGCTCGCAGTACCCAGAGAGATCCGAAAAAGCCCATACCGTAAATCACAAGGCTTATTTCGATATGAAGTAGAATGCAGGTTTGAAGCTCTGCGCTCTTCGAGTACACATCTTCACAAGGTTTCTTTACCAAGGATCTCTCTGTTAAAGGAGGAGATGTGGAGGGTCAGTGAGTCTTCGGTTTGCACGGTTTGCAGGTTTCCCTCCGCGTTCAGCGCTCCAAGTCCACCTGTGCCCTGCCCTGCTGGCTTGAGCCGTCCGCAACGGCCTTTTGGGTTCCGAGTCGTGTCACTCCACGAAAGGGAAGGGCGGGTGAACTATAGCATTGCCAGAGGGGTAGGGGGAAGAGGGGAAGGGGGAGGGGGCACCGTGTGAATGCTTGCACATGTATCAGGGTTGAAAATTCTTTGAAAGTCCAACTTCTGTCGCAGTGCCATCAAACTCTTGTATGGGTATCTGGAAAGCCGGGCTCAAGTAGGCCCCTTCAACCTTTTACCAGGGTTAAAGGTTTCGGTTCTGAGAGGTTTTTAGGTTTTAGGGTTCGGGCTTGGGTTGAAGGCTCTGGGTTGGTGGCGGAAGACTTCTCACTTAGCATCCAAGGTTCAAGTCATACTAGTACTCCTGCTATGAACCCAGGAAGATAATGGGATCCTTGCTGTCAGGACGCCTAAGTAACCCTAAACCCTAAACCCTCAAGCAAGCTACCCCGAATACAAGAAATCTCCACGACTTTGGACCCGAGCATCGAAGATTGAAACCTGGAGACGGAACTGGGCTCCACACGCCCCGAAGCCATCAAAGGGGACGCCAAATGAACGTAAAGTGCCTGAGGGTCGGTTTCGGGCCGGTAGGGCTTTGGGCTTGGGGACTAGAGTGTTTTTTTGAGCTCCTTTTTACACCCGCACAAGGTGCCAGCTAGAAGGGGGCTAGAGTTTCAAGTTTCGGGGTTATAGCAGTAACAACGCTAAAAAATGCCCTTTGAACTGCCTGCCCTGAATCCTCCAGCTCTCACGCCTGGACCCTGTGTGGATGCCGCCCCAAGCTTCGTTTAGGGTTTAGTAGCCGACAGAAACAGGTCCCCGAACTCAGAACAACCCTGCACCGTGAACTCTTACCCTCTAGCCCTGAACGCACCAGTGCAGCGGACGTCAAGATCTGATGGGCTTAGGTGTACAGTTCAGGTGCTGCTTACCCTAGTCTGCAAGAGGCCTTTCCGAGGCTCGCCTCTGGGGTGTAGACACGAGGCTTGGGTTTCGGGCATTGCGCTCAGGCTTGTGGGGTCTAGTTTGCTGGTCCAAGACAAAACCTGGCCAAAACATCGCATGCCGAGCCCCTTCCAAAGCCTCAGGCACCCACTTCTGGGCCCTTGGTCTGCGCAGCTTCGAACAGCCCCTGAACTTTAAAGAAGTTCCCTGTAACCTACGGGGCGGTTTATCCAGTGTCAAGAATCCTCCCTCCTCCATTCAGAACTACTACATTCACCTCATGTTGGACATGACGACCACTGACTCGCATACCCATGCTACTGCGAGCACTGTCATGACGGGCCAAAGTACATGAACACAATCGGGTTTCTGTTTCTCATACGCTGATCTCATGGCTGTATTGCTCATCCAGACCCCGGATCATCGAGTCTCGAGGTTTCGGACCTGTCCCTCAACCTGAAAGCCCAAACCAAAATCTTGAGATACAAACCTTAAGTGGCACTCCAAACCCTGGAACTCCAAAGCCCCAACCCGAACCCGATATTGAAACCCTCGCAGGTCCTTTCTGGGCACCCCGGCTCGCGTCATCTTCGAGGCAGAGACATGGAGAGCGGTGCAGTGCCTTTCGCATGAATGCGTGTTGCGGGGATGTAAGAACGGTCTAATCTTGTGGCTCAGAGTGTGGGGTAATACTTCCCGTATAAGTTGTTCTGAAACTTTGAGATTGAGGGGTTAGGGCATTAATACGTACGTTAATGCCATATGTTACAATAGAGTATAATGTGCCAATGTGCTGTACTGTGATACAACGTATGACAGCATAAACTGGTGCAAGACGATGCAATACACCATTGTACTACATCATATTGTGTGCTAGATCATACGATGTATTGTATAGTATCATGGTACATGGTATTGCATTGTATGCTATAACATGACTATGATCGGCTGTTTCGCTTTACTACGCTACGGTATAGCGTATTACTTTACCTGGAAACTTTGGGAGAACCCAGCGAGGAGAGACAGTTGTGGTATGCAGCTGATATAATGAGGGCCTTAATAACTAGAATAGGGTTCCTTTGAAGGGCTCCTTTAAAACTGGTTTATAAGGGATCTAGAAGAAGGGTCTATGATATAGAACAGGGTGTTGGGGCCCATTCTACTATAACTACAATAAAGAAACCCCCCCCCCCCCCCCCCCGTGCACCCCCCCGCCAAACAAAAATAGTACAGGTAATTATTGAGGCCTCTATAGTGTCCCTGCTCATGCAGCGGGCTATGCGATCCGAAACCCTAAACTCTTAACGGCTCCCGACAAAGAGCTTTTCAATGTACATTCAACTGTTACCTGCTTCGACGTATGCCATTCCTTGCAGTGCCGAACAGGACTGCCGCTGCTCCGACGATGAGTACTATTCGGCACATTCTTGCTCCTTCTGCTTACTTGGTCTGTGGTTCTGTGGTCAGCGTCGCATTGGCTGCTGTTTTGTTTCACTGTTTCACTGCGACCACTATCAATCAGAATCAAGTGCCAGCCAAGAGACGCTTTTGGCACGAACTGCTAAACTGTCAAGGTCAGATGCCAGATGCGGGTCACTACCTACAATTTCCTGCTGCGCAGCCTCATCAGACGGAGTGATGCGTGTCCCCATCTGAGTGCTACAATCACAGATTAGGGTTTGGGGTTTAGGGTTTCCAATGATCAGAACTTGCAGCAATAAGTTGCTCGAAATTACGAGGTGGAACTGAAAGGGAGTAGTGACTGCTTAAAGCCTTTGGCGATGAGCGCCTTAGCCCAAAACAGGTTAAGCTTTTCAATTATGTTAGGATTATGTACACCCAAAAGGTTAAAGGTTACCTACAGTACCCTAAACCCTAAACCCCAAAAAGGTTAAAGGTTACCTACCCAGCTACTAAGATGCAGCTTAGTCACTCTGCTGGCGCACCCGGCTCCTTCATCGAAGGAGCTTTGGCTTGAGTTTCGTCTTCTGTAGGTCTCCGCACCCCTACAGGGTTCAGGGTGTGGGGTTTAGGGGTTTAGGGTTTACGGTTTAGGGGTGAAGGGTTTACACGAGGGTTTACGGTTTTGGGGTTTAGGTTCAGGGTCTACCCTCAACTGCCGAAACCCCGACAACGTTTTGAGTTCTTTGTACTCGAAAGCTACCAGGATTCCCTTCTCATAGCAACCTCACTAGCTAATACTGTGCGCTGCTCGAAGAATAGTCATGAAACCCAATGCCAACCTCTCGAGCACGACCCGGTAAATAGCACCCTTACGGAAGCCTCAAACAGGAACCTTACTATAGGGGTAGAATTAAGGTGGGTTTTTGGGGTGTGTTCTACCACAATTAGAAATAAGGAACCCCCAGACTAGTACAGGCAATTCTTAAGGCCCTTATACTACGTTTAAGGCTTCGGGGCCACTGAGAGTGAAGCCTCAGCGGAGCCCAGGAGACGCCGCGCCGCGGCGGCCGCATCCCCGATCACGGCGTCCGGGAGAGCTGGCGTCCTCCAGTCTTTCAAGGGGCTGAATACATGTTGAGAGCGGTGCAGGGGTTGCTATAAGGGTACTGTGGCTCTAGGGCCGGTAAGGATTTTGGATGGTTGGCAAAGGGGGCTGTAACTAAGGTTGAGGGTGTGCTTGATGCTTTCAAAGGGATAGAAAGGGGTCCCTTCACAGTAAGGAGGGCGATCCTAAGGGTTCCATGGGGATTCTATATAGGTACTGTCAGGCTACTACAAAGCTACCATAAGGTTGGACGCCGTTGATTAGGTAATGGGGTGTAGGATCCAGAGGCCTTCGGGAATTTCAGCAGATACCAGGGACCCAAATGTTGATCTCTATAGAAAGACCGCAGATTAAGATGTCAAGAAACCGTAAAAACCCAAAGCCCTAAGCCCTAAGTCATGAGGACCCGCAGACTGGATGTGCCTGACAGCCCAAAGTGCTGTACCTTCTGTGGTCTGGCGGGATTTGGGATGTAGGCTCCACACCCTATATGTGTGCAGGTGCGAATGGCCCTCTACTTGGAGGTTCAGGGGTAGTTACAAGTAGGGTTATAAAAGTAGGGTAAGCAATGTAGCTTTTTGTATAACCCATATTTATCGGACTTGTAACCTCACTTATAACTACCCCTGAACCTCCAAGCAGGTTGTAGCTGTGCACTTAGGGTTGAAGTTTGGTGGGGCTCTCGTTTCCTACAAGATCTGCAACGCGTGCTCTCAGGCTTACGGTTTGAGGTAACCCCAATAAGCCTCTATAGAGCCAGTATGAAAGTCCTGATCAAACCCCCCTAAACCTTCAAAAACTTATGAAATTGGGACTAAGCCGTAAACCCTTAACTCCTAAGCCCTTGAACCGAAACCTAAAACCTCAAGCCCAGCCCACCCCAACCCCACCGGAAACCCCTAAACTGCCCTGCCTCGGCAGCCCAGAGAGAAGTGCAGCGGCTGCAGAGCCCAGGGTGGCCAGGGCGGGGCCCTCTTTGGCAGACCGAGAACTGATACGAAAGCAGATCCTGGCCGGCTTTCGGGGGTTTAGGGTTTAGGACTAGATCCTAGAAGTCCTTCAACTTAATATAGGGGCCGAAATAATTACCAATACTATTTTGGGGGTTCCTTATTGCAATTGGAGTATAACATACACCCAAACCCTGTTCTAATTATTAAGGCTCCTACAGTAGATATCCGAAATTGTGAGAGTTTCAAGCTGCCCTCAAAGTAGCGTAAGCAAACATGTAGAACCCTGAGAAGGAGCACTTACGACAGTTCGACCCCAACCCCTAAACCCCTAACCCCTAAACCATCCTAAACCCCCAAGCCCTAAACCATCCTAAACCCGCTTCTAGCCAGCAGAGTCAGCAGCGATTTCGGCAGGCGACATCTCTCGGAATCTGTCGAAATCTGGCGAAACCCTCCCCTCTCTCGTCTGGCGAAATCTCTCGGAATCTGGCGAAATCTGGCGATCCCCTCCCCTCTCTCGTCTGGCGAAATCTGGCGAAATCTAGCGAGCCCCTCCTCTCTGTCTGCCAAATCTGGCGAAGTCTGGCGAAACCCTCCCCTCCATCTGTCGAAGTCACGAGTCTGGCGAAATCTGGCGGAGTCTGGCGAAAATCTGTCACGAGTCTAGCGAAATCTGTCACGAATCTGGCGAGTCTGGCGAACCTCCCCCCACTCATCTGCCGAAATCCCTCCCCACTCGTCTGCTGAGTCTGCTGGTGAACCGCCCCCCATTCGTCTGCCGAAATCTGGCGAAGTCTGGCGACAATCTGTCACAGCCTGGCGAGTTTGGCGCGAACCCCAGCAACCACGTGTTTTGTACTTCCTGGCCTGGACGTCGAAGTCCCTCACGTCACGGAGTCGCAGAAACTCCGGGTGTACGGGAAGCAGGTCCAAATCCAGTAAGGATTTCAACTGGCCAGGCATGAGGAGTCGGCCCCCTGGGATGTCATCGAACTGCCGTAGTTGCTGTTCGATCGCCGTCGGCAGTCGAACCATGTCCGAGGCTGCCACTTGCCCGTAGGTAGGCGAGCTCTTCCCTAAACTTATGGCTGAGCACCTTAGCCCCAAACAGGCTAACCTTTTCAATTATGTTAGGGTTGTATAAGCCCGAAAACAAGGTAAAGGTTACCTACCCAGCTACGAAGTAAACCCTAAACCTCCAGTTTGATGATGTGCGGAAGATGCAGCATGGCCAATGCCTTCCCCACAACGATTCCTCCCTGATGCCTGAGCAATCCCCAACCAACAGCTCCGTAGAGAACCCCAAGAACCTGCACAGGACCTGGAGGGCGTGAACAAATGACTAAACTGGGGGCGTTGGTACTCCGAGTATGTTCAGGGCACCATCAGAAGCGCGATTCAATAAGTATCAAGCCTGAACAAGCCGCCGGAGAAAGTAATAAAACCCTGCGAAACACGGTTAAAGGAACTTCTCACGAACTCTGCACGCCAGACTCTGACCCTGAACCTCTAATATCCCCTAAACCCTGCACCCCCAAAGGAAATTTAACCAGCCCTGCACGCCAGAATTTCCACCTATTAAAGTGCCACAGGAAATTCACAGAATTCCTAAACCCTAAGCTTAAACCCGGAACCCTTTCAGGAACCCTACAAACTTCCCTTCATGGCCGCCTCTGCAGCAAATCCTCGGCAGACCCCCCCGGCGCCTGTCGGACGTATCAGAAAGGGCCTCAACCCTGAAGAAAGGGCTCTACAGTAGGGCTCCTGCAGGGTGCTATGCGTTTTTTCTTTAGGGGCTCAGGGTGCTGAGTGTGTTGAAGGTTTTTCGTGCTTTGGGGTTGCTGAGTTGTCCTTGCTTGCAGGGTTTCAGTGCATTACAGTGAGCACTATGCCAGTGGAAGGTTTGAAAAGTAATCCTAGGCCGTACGACCTCAACTAGGTTTTAAGGCTTTTGGCCCGTCGCCACACGATGTTCGCCCAATAGGCTCTTTATCATGTTAAAAGCTTTGGCTTTGCTGTATCCCCAAACCGTACAACCTCAGCAAGGGTTGAACAGTATCAAGTTTCAGGCCATTCATAATGCTTTTGATCACAGTGTGGCGGATGACCTTACAACCCTTACTCGTTCATCGTGCCCTAGACTTCTTGTGCAGTACCCTGCCGTCTGCCGTGTGAATTCAAAACTCAAGTTTCACCAGGCCTCGCACAAAGCCCGCCAAAAGGAGTTGAGAAACTGAGTGGCAACATAAACAGACTTATGTCTTGTTGCCTACCATAGAAAACCATCACAGAACACTCTTTAACCCGAAGCCAATCTCATTCCTCGTGATCTGTCATGCCACAGGCCTTGGCAAGTGCTTTGAAGCTCTCAGCACCTTTCGTGGTGCACCAACCCAGCTTCCCAAACGTCAAATGGTGGTTTGGGGTTCGGGACTCAGGATCTGGGAAACCAAGACATCCAACATATAGAAGGTTGCGATGTGGGAGTTTCCGAAAATAGGAGACCCTAATATAGTACCCTATATAGTAGGATCTTTATTGTATATAAGGACCCCAAAATAAGGTACCCCTAATTTCCCGAAACTCCCATGTAGGTGACTATGCTTGAATTTTTTCGTTTCGGCACTTCTTGCAACATGTGAGATATTGAAACATGTGGTTTTGGTGTTTCAACAGGAGGCGTGCTGGTGCCGACATCGCACATGCTTACAGCCCCACACGCAAAATTCCAACCCTGCCAAGGTTTCACCGTTGGTGTTGTGACTGAATCTCAGAGTCCAGCAGCAAACTAGTTCTAGCCCTTTACTATCTGCACCCGGATGCCGGGCATTTCGACCAAAGTTTTGGCCCAGCGCCTGTTGGCTTGAAGATTGTGTAGCAGGGTTTCTATTTGGCAAGAGGGGGCACCCAACAGCTTGACCCACAGAATATTAGTTCATCTCAACACTCGAAGCTTAAAGATTTGCAATTGCCATAAACCCAATCTGATGTTACCTGCGATGGTCATGTCCCTGTGCACGCCTCCGGCAAGCCCCTCGTCTTCGAAGACCGCCGCTACATCAGCCTCCAAAAACCCTGCTGCGACAACCAATTTAGAGTTCCAAAAGAGGATCCTGAGATTTTTCGAAAACCCCCATGCAAAGCCGTGGCTGGAGACACTTCCTATTAGCGCTGAAACAATGGCGTGCCCCAAACACCATCAATGCACAAAAAATGAGCCTGAGAATTCGACTTCTGCGTTCTATCGCAACATTCAACGGTGTTTCGGGTCCCACTGCTCCTGTTCTCACATGTACTGGAAAATCACGGCACAAGGACGGGCATGGGTGGAACATGACTTTCACGGGCGCTCATCATCTCCGTGCTGGTCTTAAACTGCAATACAACATCCTTTCGCGAGCCCACCCACGACCCAATGCTATGTTTCGCGACGTTCGAGTGGGTTTCACATGTCATGCGATTGTGTTGGTTGGTGCATGCGCAGGCACAGCATCATCAAGGTACTGGCATACTGCATAGTTGACGGCAAAACAACACAAGCCACCGGGAATGAGTGGCTTCGTAACGATGGGGCGTTCCGAAGACTAGGAGCAAACCTCTGTGGGTCCGTGGACTTGTGATTAGGATTTAGCTGGTTTGGCTGTTCAAAGTCTGCTGGGGTCTTAGTGCAACTAACGTTTTTGCGTTACTCTCTCGGGAGGATTGCACAGAGCAGACAGGACTGCGGCACATCGTTTCCCCAGTAAATGCCACTTTGTGGTTTTCATTGTAGACCTCAAGCTCCCAGATAGCACAAACGCGGCGTTGCTCCGCCGTGGCCTCCTCGTGCAGGGCGCATTAACTTGACGGAGTTTCTCTCCCAGTTCCTTGACGCAACACAGTGAGTAGCGTTAGCATAATGTGGGGCATATAGGTTTGAAGGCAATGCTGCTTAACAGAACAGCAGTGATGAACTTGTCCAACCTTGAACTTTGTAGTACTGTGTAGCAGATACAACCACACTGTTATGTATGCACATACGTCTGTATGCATGCTTGTATGTATGAGTGAATTCATGAAGGTGTGTATGCATGTAAGGTCCATAGCCTGGACCCTTGTTCCCTCGTCCCTGCGGCGGGGTGCCTGCGATGGTCGCAGTTGGTTCGGGAGGGTAGGTTCGAACACCGGCCCTTTTGCCAAACTTAATTAGCATGTGTTGTAGCCGAACAGAAGTTGTGATCGTGGCAGTCTCATCGCATGCTTTAACAATTACACGCCCACCCGCTCTGGCTGCGGAGCAGCTAGCAAACTAGGGCAGGAGAGCACTGCGTTCGACAGACTGAAGTCTGGTTGCAGCTGCTTCTACACAGTTCTCTGCTACACGAGAGATGGTGTTGTTCCTCTTTTGGATGGTGCCCCTGTCCCTGCGGAGTAGCCTTCGCTGGCGCGGTCTCCTTCGCGCAGAACCAGTCACGTGGATAATTGCATTCCTACCCGGGCCTGGTCCAAAACCTGCGTGGTTTGGGTGGCGGGTTCTGTTTCGGTGTGAACCATATCCGCAACCTGGGCTAGCAGAAGCAACAATCATTCAAATCGCGACTACCTGCCTCTAATCACTGTTGCCATATTCGATATGCGAAGCTGTGACACCAACAGTTCCAATCCCAGGGACTCCTGGCATGTTTCTATCGAGGTGACCATCACATCCTTCGAGAACGATCATGATCGATCATGATCACGAGAATCGTGCACCCAACGGGCTCGATCCTTGTGATTGTTGTCGGCTGAGGACACGGGGATCATGCACGTACGTCTGTATGCACGGATGCACGAAATGACGGACGGAAGGAGGGAGGGAGGGATGCATGTATTGATACACAACAAGACGAAATAACACCATACAATTCATGTTACATGGCATGGGATTCCGGTTCATTCGGTAACTTGCAGTGGATCCCACACAAAGCTACTGCTGCACTTTCGATGACAACGACACTGCTAACTGCAACAATTTGTGGCAATCGTACTCCTAAGCAAATGAACTGCTGATATCTACGAACAAATCGAAATCCCCTCAATAGTAGCCCATGACCGACCGTTTGGCCACTTCGGGGTATAGGTACAAACACCCTAAACCCTAAACCGTAGGGATTACACCAAGTCCGAACATTTTGCGGACCTGCACGAAGGTGAAACAGCTCCTGAAACTGCCTAATAAACATATATGGGAGCTTCCGAAAATTAGGGGTACCTTAGGGGTCCTTGAAAGGGCTACTATCGAAGTTAGTATACGGGTTCCTTTAAAGGGCTCTATAAGGGTCTTGAGTTTCCGAAAACTAGGGGTATCTTATTTTGGGGTCCTTATAATGAGGATCCTACTATTCAGGGTACTATGTTAGGGTCCCCTATTTTCGGAAACTCCCATATCTCACCCTGTCGTGTTAGGTTGAGGGTGTCTGAGGTTGGCGTATAAACACCCTAAGCCCCGAACACCCAACATGGCGGAAGGATGCCGAATAGACGCCTAAACTGGCCCTATACACCCTCTGTGCTTTCAATCGCCTCTTGTTATATATTCTTTATACCATACTGTAGGGGCCTTAGGTCATCTTATACTATAACTATAATGAAGCACCCCCACAATAGTATAGGTATTTATTTCGGTCCCTACAATACACCAAAGCTTGTTGAAATTCTTAAAGCCTTGCAGGCTTGGCAGCCCAACGTCAGCGTCAACGTCTTGAACCCTCCTCGACCCCTGGGTTTAGGGTTTAGGTGGCTCAAGGAAAGGACAAAGGGTCTGAAGTAATCATACATACGGGTCTAGTTTAGGGTGAGGAAGCTTTTAAAGCTTACCCTTGCCCCGAGACCCACAACTCGCATCCGAAAAAGGCCTGAACCTCCAGCCCTAAACTTACGGCTTCAATGAGATTTTGGGCTTCAGGGCTTCAGGGTTATGGTTAATGTACGGGCCTGGATTATCAGAATAGGGTTTTGGGGCCCATATACGAAAATTATGATAAGGAACCCCCAAAACCCTATTCTAATTATTGAGGCCCATATATCAGAGAGCCTATTCTAGATCCGTTGTAGAGCCCTTTAGAGAACCCTTAGAGGAACCCAATTCTAATAATGAAAGCCGACATCCTATTATAGGCCCCTTTTAGAACCCTTTAACGACGAACTCTTAAAGGAACCCTATTCATATTATGAAGGCACCTACACTATAGTACACTTCTACATCCCTTTTGGTAGCCCCTGTAGACCCCTTTAAACAGGAACCCTATTCTAATTATTGTGGCCCTTAAATTATGTTTTATTGCTTAAAAACCCAAACCCTATTCCCAAACCCCTAAACCCGAAAACCCTAAGACCCTAAACCCTAAAACCCCCTCACTAAACCCTAAACCTCTTATTGTCTTGCCTAGGTTCAGGTTCTTGAGACCAACTCCCGGCCTGCCCTGCGAGGTACTCTGTCCATGAAAGCAGCAGTGCCGCCGTGTGGTCCCAAAGCTCGCGGTCGTCCCCCTGACATCGGTTTAGGGTTGAGGGTTTCGGTGGTTTGGGGAAAAGGGTAAAGGTTTTTAAGATTACCTACCCAGCTACTAAGTGTTAGGTTTCCATCCCCGGACCACAAATTGTACACGCCGGATCCAAAACCTCTTTACTGCTGGACTCGCAGAGACCCTCAATTCCAAACTCTAAGCTTAAATCTCAAGCCTACCAAAACCCATCCTAAAGATGCAAAAGACCAAATCCTTCAAGCCCCCAACCCTTACCCCTTGCAGAGCCCATAGAGAGCCCTTTGCTCGAACCCTGATGGAGCCCTTTGCAAAGTCTTAACCCCTCCTTTCTATGAAACCCTACACCCCCCGGCTCCACCCTGCACACCCCACATCCGATACCCTAAATTCTTAAATCCTAAACCCCAAACCCCTAAATTCTTAAATCCTAAACCCCAAACCCCTAAATCCTTAAATCCTAAACCCTAACCCCCCTAAACCTTAAACCCTAAACCCCAAACCCCAAACCCCTAAATTCTTAAATCCTAAACCCCAAACCCCTAAATCCTTAAATCCTAAACCCCAAACCCCTAAATCCTTAAATCCTAAACCCTAAACCCCCTAAACCTTAAACCCTAAACCCCAAACCCCAAGCCCCTAAATTCTTAAATCCTAAACCCCAAACCCCTAAATCCTTAAATCCTAAACCCTAAACCCCCTAAACCTTAAACCCTAAACCCCAAACCCCAAGCCCCTAAATTCTTAAATCCTAAACCCCAAACCCCTAAATTCTTAAATCCTAAACCCCAAACCCCTAAATTCTTAAATCCTAAACCCCAAACCCCTAAATTCTTAAATCCTAAACCCTAAACCCCTAAATTCTTAAACCCTAAACCCCAAACCCCCTGAACCTTAAACCCTAAACCCTAAACTCCTAAATTCTTAAATCCTAAACCCTAAACCACGTTTCCCCGCGTCGCCTGGCCGAAGGCATCGCAAAGACGGCGAAGCAGCCGGGATGCCGCGAGCCGAAGCCGCAGCGTCGTCCCTAAAAAGGGGATTAGGGTTTAGGGGTTTTAGGGGTTTAGGGTTTAGGGTTTTAGGGTTTTAGGGGTTTAGGGTTTAGGGTTTTAGGGGTTTAGGGTTTAGGGTTTAGGGGTTTAGGGTTTAGGGTTTAGGGTTCAGAAGAGGACGCTGTGGGAACCTATGATCCCTAGGGTTTAGGGGTTTAGGGTTTAGGTTTTTTGTTGTTTTTTGAGCTCCTTTTTGATGTCTGCCAGGCAGTGGGTTTAGGGTTCAGGGTTTGGGTTTGTTGATTCCTAATTATTTGGGGTTTAGGGTTTATATAGGGTTTGAGTGCTAGGGATTTTATATGCCTATGCGCCTGGATGATTGGATCAGGGCATGAGGTGGGGGACATTGCACTGCAAATTTGCGCGGATTCGAAAGAACTTACCTTTGGTTAATACGGAATGGATGAATGGGGTACAATTATAACTACAATTACTACCATTTTTCCATTCCCTACTGACCAACGGTACGAGTAAGAGAAAAGTTATGACTCTGTATTCCGATCCGCTACACCAGCTCCAAAAGTTCGGGGAAAAAGGTTGTGTGGCTTCGAGTGAACGGGAGGGCTAAGAAGAATCCTGTCTAAATTCTATTTCCGACTGTTTGCGGGCTTTATATGGGAGTTTCCGAACACTAGGGGTACCTGATTTTGGGGTCCTGATAATATGGATTCTACTATTAAGGGTACTATATTAGGGTCCCCTATCTTACCTTAAACCCCAAAACCCAAAACCCTAAACTTCAAAACTCGGCCCGAGGACATCCTCTCCGGCTTGGGAATCGTCGCAGAGGTAACGGCAATTCTCCACAACAAGCCCAGAGGCTCCATATACTCCGTGTATATATACATATATATACATATGTATATGTATATATATATATATATATATAGTGCCATTACGGAGTTAAGCCCCAAACAACCATCCATACTATGGCTTTGGGTTCCATACTTGTACTGTATATGGAGCCTCTGGGACAATACTGGCAACCAGAATCATGGTCATGATGCTATTGATGATGATGCTCTTACTACTGGTGGTGATGTTGACGACGACATACAACGACTGTCACTATCATCACGATGATCTTCCTTGACTTCTCCAAGCCGATTGGAACTCTGACATACATTTTGACATTCAGCTGCGATTGTTCAAGCCGTTCCACTCCCAAAACCGTGTAAGCTGTACACAGTCTTGAGGTTTGGGCAACGGTGCAGGGCACCTTGATGTGGAAGAACTTGCTCCAAAGCGACGAGGATGGCCCTGAGGGAAGTATTTGAAGCCTAATACTTGTCCAGTCTTGTCGGTGCAGTTTGGGGCAGCGAAGCGTGCGATGTTGCGAGCCGAGTAAGCTTGAATACCGCATCCAAGATTCGAAATCCACACACAACAACAATTTGCAAGCACAGTGCCCTACTGTATACTCCAACAGCCAAATCCCTAAGCCCTAAATCCTAAACCCTGCAGCCATAAGCTCCTCAAGCCCCTTAAATGAAGGAAACCCCACTATAACATCGAAAAGCCTATATTTTTGATGACTTATATAGGGAAGTCATGTAAAGGAACCCTAAACAGGTAGGTAGGTAGGGCCCTAGACTCCTGACAACTTCTTTCCAACTTCCTCGAGTGTGGGCGTTCTCCAGAATAGGATCTTCTGCTAGGTTTCAGGGCGCTAAGGTTTGGTGTTCGGGTTTAGGGTTTAGGGCTTAGGTGGTTTCTTCCAGAAAGTATGCTGCACTCTTTTGGGGATGAAAACCTACAGGTCGCGATCCAGAGCACTACCCTAGTGTAGAAGCCGCTGTACTTGCAAACCCTGCTCTCTGAAGGGCTCTTAGGCTTTAGGCTTTCGAAGTTTATGGCTGTAGGGTTTAGTAGAGTTTCAGGGTTTAGAGTTTAGGGTGCAGGCTGTTGGAATGTTGGACAAAGGTTTTGAATCCGCCCCCCCCAACAGCCCGCTATGCCCCCCTCCCCCGTGTCGCTTGGAAAAACAAGCATAAAAAGCAAACCTGACGCCTCCGCTTCGAAGCGCTATCGGCTGCATGACGACCCAACCGCGTCAATCGGGACACCTCCTGCACGAAGGGTTAGGGGTGAGGATGCAGGAGCTCTTCAAGGCTTAAGCCGCCAGATTGAGGTTTTGTGATGGTTGTAGGATTTCTGCCGGGTTACATGGCGAGTCTTGTGCAAAAGGCTGCAGACGAAGGCGTTGCTGGCTTTCATTATGATTCTGGGTCTATCTGCAGGCTTACGATTCAAAGGTTGGGGATTCGGGCTATCATCTGTGGGGGGGGGGGGAAATGGGCTTTGCGGCGAATGTGCGTGAATCTGTCTAATCAGAATACCACCTGGGTTCGCTCTACTGATGTCGCGTGCTATTCCCAAAGCTGCCACTGATGCCGCTACGACAACTTCTCCTACTTGTCGGGTATCATGGGAACTAAATTTTGGTTATGTAGGGATCATATAGGGACTAGACTACTCAAAAACGGTTAAAGGTTACCTACTCTACTAATTACTCGGGTTCTACTGTTGCTTGAAGTCTGAGTACACCTTTGACTGTCTTACGAGAGGTCGAAACCCTAGACCGACACCCTCCACACCTAAACCCTACCTTTACCCTGAAGAACCTACCTTTTTAAGGACTTATATAAGGAAATCATAATAGGGAACCCTAAAAAGGTATGTTATTCAGGGTTACGGTAAACCCTAAACCCTTAAACCCCAAATTCCCTAACCCCCTAATTAAAGTCTAAAAATCCCTAAACCCAAAGGCCAACGCCCATGGGTCATGGAGCCTCTGCTAGAAGGGCCAGGGCCATCTCCAATCCCGACTTTGCATCTCCGCGCTCTGCATCCTCCCGGCTTCGGTATGCTTAGGGGCCTTCATTATTTGGGAATTTCCGAAAATAGGGGACCCTAATATAAGACCTGAAATAGTAGGAGCCTTATTATAAGGACCCCAAAATAAGGTACCCCTAATTTTCGGAAACTCCCATTTTGAAGGAAAGGGCTTCGTTAAAAGGGGTCTATAAGGGATCTAGAAGAGTTCTATGATATAGGGGCCTTCATAATTTGAAGAGGGTTCCCTTAGACGGATCCTTCAAAGGGGTCCATAAGGGATCTATGACAAGAGGGTTCTATAGTATAGGGGCCTTAATAATTCGACTAGGGTTTCTTTAAAGGGATCCTTTAAAGGGGTCTATTAAGAGTCTAGAGTAAGGGGAGGCCTTTTCAAATCCGGGAAGATGAAGTAGGCAAGGTTCAGGGTCGAGCCACGACTCAAGAAGTACTGGTCGGTTTAGGGTTTAGGGTTTTGGGTATGAGGCTGCATGCTCACGACATGTTTTCGTGCTAGCGGACAAGACATTTGGGCAGGTTCAGGTTCGACATTTCTGCTGTTCCTGAAGATACTTTCGTTGCTGAGGACGAAATCTGCTGTCAACATAGTCACTGTAAGGTCAACCCCAGGTGCTTAGGGTAATGATTCGAAACATCGCCTGGTTGACATCGCAGCCCGGATTCCTCGAAGAGGATTGGCAACAGGCAAATTTGAGTCCTTTGTTTGGGGCTTCAGGGTTCGGGAATTCGATGCCCTATGGCTTCAGGTTAACTTGCGGGCTGTAAGGGGCTAAGCCATCCCAGGACCCTTGTTTTTGGTGAGGCTGGGGGCTGGAGAAAGGTTGCGCATTGGCAGAGCGAGACGATAGTGTCGCGTCGTGCCCTTGCTTGGACGTTTGGCCGCTTGCTGATCGGCCGCGTGCGCCTCTTCTTGCTTGGCTGCGCGCACACACCCCAACACTAAAGTTGTCCCAGACAAGCTCCTCTCAAAATCCTCTTTCAAGATAACCCTAGAGAACCCAGACCAAAACTTGACTCTAAGAATGACTTTCTGCTCATGAGAAGTTTGAGTCCACCCGTACCCTGAAGCCCGAAATAATGAAAAACATAGATAATCACCAATATCTTTCCTGGGGTTCCTTATACTACTTGTATTATCCAGGGGCCCAAAAAACCTAGTCTAATTGCTATGAAAGCACCTACATTACAGACCCCTACTGTAGATCCCTTACGGAACCCTGAAAGGAACCCTGTTCAAATGCTACAGTACAATAGAACCCTAAACCCTAAACCTTAAGGAACCCTATTCAAATACTACTCTTAAAGAGAACCCACGGAGCCCTGCTGCCCTTCCTCGCGGATGGTGATCTCGATGCTGCGGTCCAATGGAGACGATTGCCTGACTGGAGTTCACTTAAAAGGGATTACAAGGCTTCCTTTAAAGGGGATCTATAATGGTACAAATAAGGGTACTATACGGGACGATTGCCTGACTGAAGTTTGCTGATTAGGGTTTAAGGTTTAGGGTTTTAGGGCTTAGGGTTTAGGGGTTCCTGAGTAGCCCCTTTATAATATGGGTACCTTTCTCAGTACTGTTTGGTTAAAAAGGGAGCACTAAAACAAAAAGTGTAAAGGGGTACTACTCGGGAACCTAGAAGGATTTGCGACCCAGAACTTAGGCCTTTTCGTCCCTCGAGAGGTTGGGGACCATGCCAGGTATGTAAAATCTTGCTTATGTATATCTTGTTCAACTACTATAGGGGCCTGAATAATTACCTCTACTATTTTGGTGGTTCCTCACTGCAATAAGGGTCTAATATGCCCAAAAACCTGATTCTAAATATGTATTTCGGAGCCTGCCTTGCTGCGCCACTGAACAAACTGTTTCCTGCACTCGGGGCCGATGGTGTTCAGGAGCTTCGTTGGCCCCCGTGACCAACCGGCCGAAACTCGTCATGTCAAGCAGTGAACAAAGTTTTGTCTAGAGTCTAGAGTCTATTGAGGTTTAGGGTTTAGGGTTCAGGGTATTGCAGGTCCTAGGTTGAAGGCAAGACAAGTGCCAGCCTGCGCCCTCAGGAACATATCTAGCAGACGCTGCAGAGTCATTGCAGCCTTTACCATCCAAGAACGCACATCGTGCCTCTAAACTCCGAATCCCTTCACCCCAAGACCCTAAACCTAAACCCCCAACGAAGTTTGACATGGGAAGCCCTTAAAAGCACATCTCGGCACCACTCTACAGCTTCGTAGTACCTCCTGAACCCTAAACTCCTAGCCGCCCAACTCCTAAACCCCTAAACCCACAATTTTCCCCTAACCCCCACTGTCTTTGCAGCATCGTCACCTGGAGCCCTCGGCAAGGAAGGCTTCGAAGAGCTGCAGTCGCTTCGGAAGGGAGCCTTGGGGGTTCAAGCTACGACCACCATACGGGCGACTATGAAGGTTAGCGCAATGGCTTTCCTTTTCTTAGGTTTAGGGGGTTTAGGATAAGGGCTTTCCTTTTTTAAGGGTTTGGGGGGTTTAGGATAAGGGGCTTTCCATTTTAGGGTTTAAGGGTTCAGGAGTGTCGGAGCCTACGAAATCAGGGGCTTCCCGAGGGTCTAAACAGGTCGTGCAAGGGGCTTTGACCTAGGCCAGTATGTAGGGTTTAGGGTTTGCTTCTTTTTGGCTACTATTCTCGCCTAACTTGTCTGTTCGTTGTCATTGCTACTGGAACCTACGCCAATGCTGCAAGATGAAGAGTATCACCTCATTCTAGCGCACCCCAAGCTCTACCGCTACGCTAGCAGAACCTCCACTTCTGACATCAAACAGGTGATGCACAGGAAAGCAGGAGCAGAATAAACTTTGAGCTAGGGACTTCTGACTGAGTCACTGTGGCTTCATATAGGTGTGTTGCTAGGTATACAGTACTGTTGTCATATATGGGAGTTTCCGAAAGTAGGGGACCCTAATATAGTACCCTAAATAGTAGGATCCTTATTGTAAGGACCCCGAAATGAGGTACCCCTAATTTTCGGAAACTCATATATCGTAAAACCGCAGCTGCATCGGCTCAAGGGTTAAATCAAACATGACTTTCACGGGCTGCATAAACAACTGTCAGTTCCCAAGTGTTTAGGCAGACTGAGGAAGTGCGAGCACTTGCTTAGCACTTTGACGATACCGTGCTTCGCAAGGGCACAGCTTCCACCATAGTCTTGATCATGATGATAACGGTGATGAAGAAGAAGATGGAAATGAAGATGAATATGACGATGAATAAGTATAACACTATGATGATGATGGCGGTAGTTAGTGGAGGCCCTTGCGAAGACAGCAGTGACAGGAACAGGGCATGAATCGAATCACGAACATCACCTATGCCCCATGCGAGTACATGTCCGTGCAATCCTACAGCCGCAGACACAAAGCCTTCAGTCCTACACACCAAGATGGACACCCCTTTTGGGACCCTTGCCCCTGGTTCTTAAACTTCCAAAGATCTAAACCCAGAGCCCCCCACCCCTTGCAACAAAAACACACCAAAACCTTCACTCCCGAACCACCAGCCAAAAGCACATCCACTTTAAAGCTCCCGTACCGGCCTCCACTCTGCAGGAGCTCTGCAGGCGGTGGCAATGCCACCACCGCCTTCTGCCCAGCCTTTGCAAGGGGTCTAGTACAAGGGGTCTTTTCTGGCCGAGTGGCTGAGTCTTCGTAATAGGTTTTGCACAGCTCCCATGCCGTTTTTTGTATGGTATGAACAGGGATTCGAGAATGGGGCGATTGGATGGACATCAGGCTTTGGGGTGTAGTATGCCATGCTTCCAGGGCGACTATAAGGGAATAGCCGTACTGCCTATTCAGCCCCCTGGTTTTGGGCTTATGCTCCGGGTATATGGCTTCAGACGGGTGGGAGATGGGTGCAAGATATCTTCAACCCTCAACCGCAGCTCGTCTTAGGCATTGACGAATCAGGTCAACCAAACCCTAAATCATAACCCTTCAACTCCGAAACCCCAAATCCTAAACCCTGAACTCCTAAAACCTAAATCCTAAACTACTAAACCATAAACCCTGAGCTTCAAGAAGCCATCTGGGCGAACTTCCCTGCAAAGAGATCTCAGGAGACATGTATTAGCTAAAGTAACCCACCCTTATGGTCACCCTACCAGAAGGGTTAAGGGTTCAGGAGTTACCATTAGGGTTACTACATTAGTTACCTCATCATAACGGTCACTATTCAGAGCTACTATAGTTACTGTAGTTACTATAAAGGCTATCATACGGGTTTAGAGGAGAATAGCTCTTGTGATTACCGCCTCACAACCTTTGTTCACCAGCAGCTGAACCCAAAACCCTTGAACCCAAGACCGGTAATATTGCAGCATGATGCATCTTTAGCATTGCTCTGACGGTTCCCTAGCCTATTCACACCATAAACCCACTCGAAACCCTGGTGTCGTCATTCCAGCCCCTACATTACATCCCTCGAGGCGTCTGCCTCGTCCAGAACTGCACTGTCGCCCGCTACTGCAGCCGCCGTGGCCGCCGCAAGCCTCCGGCGCGCGGCTGCGCCGAAGGCCTGCCGAACTACAGCTCGAGCGCAAGGGTTTGGGATCAAATTTATGAATGATCTGCGGTTGATGGTTGAGGAGCAGCAGTGACGGGATTTTGGCTGTTGGATTCGGTTGAAGGCTAGGGCGAAAGGAATCTTAAGCCGCCCTGTCCCTGTCACGAAGCATGAGAGTAGCAACGCCTTAAGAGCCCAAAGCGCTAAACTGTAAGAATCCGAAACCCCGAACCCTAAACCCTAAGAGCCCCAAACCCTAAAGCCTGAATCCTAAGAGCCCTAAACCGTAAGAATCCAAAACCCAAACCCTAAACCCCCAGCGCCCAGGGCTCCCGATCCTCGCCCGGGCGCAGTCTCAGGAACTCGGCCAAGGCCTCGGCAACCCGAGGAGCTCTGAAGGTTCCAATATATATATATATATATATATCTATATATATCTTATATATATATATACATATGTATATACACATATATATATATATATGTGTATATTTGTTTTTCCAAAAGAATCTTTTTTTAACTTCGATGCCTGCAATCCAGGTTTGCTACAGCAAGGCCTAGGAAGTTTAGGGTTTAGGGCTCCTTTGCTCTAAGGGTCTAGGGTTACAGGGTGTAGGCTCTAGGCGTCTTCTTTTTAGGTTCTAGGGTTCTAGGGTTGGTTCTAGAGTACTAAAGCTTAGGGTTTAGGGCTTGATTGTTTTTTTAATTAAGTTCTATAAAGTTTTGTAGTTACGGTTTAGGGCTTCTCTTTTTTTGCAGGTTCTAGGATTATTTTACAGTTTAGGGTTTAAGGTTTCACTTTTGAGGTTCCAGGGTTCTAGGGTACAAAAGTTTAGGATTTAGGGTTGTAGGAGTTTGAGGTTATAGGCACAGAGTTCGAGGGTCTAGGGTTTGGGGGTTCTAGGGTTTAGGGCTTAAGGGTTTTAGGATTTACGGCTTTGGTTCTACATGTACTTCAGAAGGCTTCGCGTAAGATTCCCCTAATCAGGTCTAGGGTTCTTTCGTGCATCAGCCGGGTTGCCAGAGGGACTCAGAAGGGGGTGCTAGAGGGCTTGCTACAAGGATTTATGGGGCCTTATCGTAGAGTTAGGAAGTATTGGACTCGCATTTAGAGGGCTTTGGGCTGCGAAGGCTTGATTAGAGGTTTACAGTAGAAGCCAGAAAGTTGGAATATCATTATCGTAACCCCTTTAAGGTAAATTATGGGGGATCCTTTCCAACTTTCTGGAGTTCCCTTTAGAGGTTTAGAGGATCGGGGGTTTCGGGGGTAACGATTGCTGCCAAGCTGCTGCCGCCAGAGCACTGGCGACGGATGCCTGTGCATGGAGACGTGCTTGCCCAAATTGGTAGGGTTTAGGGGGGGGGTTTCAGGGTTGGGGTAGTCTAGGCTTCAGGGCTCAGAATTAAGTCTCTAGCCGGGTCCTCCAAGACCTACGTCATCTTAACACTTCTGCTTAGGGTTTCTATAGCGGTTGCAGCTTCCCTCTAAATCCCATGCTTCCAACTCCCTTGACCCTGAAATTCCTCAAACCAACCCCAAATCCTAAGCCCTAAATCGCCATCAACATCCATGAATACCGAACCTGCAAACACCTGAGAGCAAACCTTGTGAGCTTTTCTAGCGGTTCTGGGTTAGCTGTCCGATGTTGTCTGTCAAGTGATTTCTGTGACTTGCGGTCCGGAGCACTCATCGTCGGGGCTGGGCCTCGAGTTTTGTCAAAGAAGACCTCCCCTGACAAAAACCCTAAACCCTAAATTCCCTAAGCCCTAAACCCTCCTGAACCCGCAACCTAAACCTCGAACCTGGACAAAACCTTAAATCAAATTCTATACAGCCAAACAAAAGCAAAGCATGGCCTCGTCGTCGGCAAGTCGAGATGCCAAGTCCTGAGCGGCAGACTTTAGTTGAAGGCCTTCGGTTTTTCGATCTCTCAGTCTCTTACTTTGCTTGGCTTACAGCTAGGATATGTTTTGTTGGGCTCTTCCGAGCTTCGGGTTTGCTTCGGAGTTCGTGCTTTTCTATTTTTTGGGAGTCGAAGGTCCGAGCTCGGAGTTCTGGGTAGGGGGCAAGATTATAGAATAGTAGGTTGTTGGCACAGATTAAACAACTATATCTATGTATATCTTACTAATAGACTACTATTAGTGCTACTACGGCTCCTACCACTGCTGTTGCTGCTACTACTACTACTACTACTAATAATAATAAACAATATACATATATATGTTTATATGTAATATGTATATGTATGTGTATATGTATATGTATATGTATACGTATACGTATAGGTATAGGTATAGGTATAGGTATAGGTATATGTATATGTATGTGTATGTGTATGTGTATATGTATATGTATATGTATATGTATATACATACACACACACACATATATGTAAGTATGCATGCATGTATGTATGTAAAGGAACCACAAAAAAGTATTGTGAACTATTCCGGGATCTGTAGTAAAGTGGGTTTCGGGTGTTGGGGCATGGTTCGCTTGGGCTAACCACATGTCCTGCCTCTGGGTGTTTACCAAGACAGAACAATCCGGAGATCTCATGGGGGGCTGCGTTGCATGCCCGAGCGCGACCTCACATGACATGCCCCTGATCCCAAACTCCACATCTTAAAACTCAAAGCTCATTTCCTACACCCCAAATCCCCAGAATCCCAAGATCTTAAGCCTGCAGCCCCAAATCCCAAACCCTATAAGCTCTGCAAACCCTGCAGACCCGGCTCTCCAAGAAGAACTCACCAAGTGTCTGTCAGAACGGGGCCGCTCTGCACGACCTTGGCAACGGCCTGTTTCGTCGGATCCCTTTGAAGGTTCTGCAGCCATTTTTAGGGTTTGAAGGTCTTAAAGATGTCGGCTTCGAGGGTTTTCCGGGATAACGTTCTTTCTGGAGTGAGGGTGGCTTTGGCTCGTCTATTCGGCTTGGGTGGTGGGCTTCCAGGACAGTGCCATGTGCAGAACGAGCCGCGACAGGCTCTAACATTTTGGCAAGAATTCGTTGTGCGAGCTTCTGGTACTTGCAATTACTCGTTCCCTACACCCTAAACCCTAAATCCTAAACCCCTGCACTCTAAACTTCCAATGATTTCGGCCCTCAGAATTCTCGAAACCGGACTTCAACAACTGCGCCTCCGAGAGGGCCGGTTGCGTGGAGCCGAGTAGCGTCGCTGTCCTGCTATGGCCGCAGATTAGAGGTTCTGCCGCTCTTAGCTAGCGCTTTGGCCATGGGCGGCTGTCAAAATTTTGGTCCCGTTTTGGGCCCCTAACATAATACGGCACCTTATATTTAGGGTACCCAAAAAAGGACCCTAATTTTGACAACCACCCCTATGAGGGAGCCTGGAGCTCAAGGATACGAGTCGTTTCGGGTTTAGGGTTGACGGTACGGTTCGTGGGGTGGGGACTTGGGGTTGCCAGTTTGAGGTCAAGGTTACTTGGAGGTTCACGGGTAGTTGTAGGCAGGGTTTATGTGTAGGGTAACTATGCTTATCGCCCATATTAGGGGACTTATAAGCACGCAATCTTGTTCCCAGCCGCAACTCGTCAAAAATCCGAGCCCCAGTAATGTTCGGACAGGTCAAGGCTCCGCGTTCAGAGCAATCCTGAAAATCACAAATGTGTGTTGCAGGCTGATGTAACTGTTATAAGGCACAGCCGCCTTGCGCGCCGCGATTGCTGATGCCACCGGGATCATCTAGCTGGCGGGCGAGCCAAGCGTGGGAACGCACCTCCCAAAGTGATTTAGGTGTGGCCTCCCTCGGCCCGTTTTGGGCTTCGCCAGCAGGAGGCACCTGCGTCTTTAAAACAACATCAGCATGCGAAGCGACGCATAACTCGACTTGAGGGCCCTACGTGTGGCCTCCATTCACTGAAGATGGGCCCGCCGGTCTGCGTCCATGCACAATTATAGTTCTCGCGACATTGCAATGGTATGGCCAGCGGGTCTGTTGCCTTCTTCATCACGGCGCGGAGCGCTGAATGCAGGTACATCAGTTCGCCTCCATGCTACAGTGAATATGGCTGGAGCAAGCCTTCGATTGCGAATGAAACCTCAACCTGAGCCTCCAACTCACACTCACTTCCAGGAATTCGCCAGGCGTGTCGCTCGGTTCCTGCAGAAGCACCGTCCGTTGAGGCACACTGCCATGGACGGCAAACAGATGGCTGAGACTTGGGCCCATGTTGAAAACCGAGGGCCATCCATCTGCAGATCCAAGAGGAGCTCAATATGGGATTCGAAGACAAGCTCTGGTAGGCGCATGCTTCATAAGGCGACAGAGTGGTGCCGGACCCCGACCCCTTTCCCCCGATCGCTGTAGACTCCGATGAGTTTGTTACTTTAGGCATCATAACAGCTTGATGAGCGTTTATACTGTCTGTAAGGCTTCCCCCGCTGGCGGACGCCTGTTGATGCGTAAAACCAGTGGTTATACGAGGTAGCCCCGGGACTGGTGGGACTGTGCGGTGTTGTCACGGCCTCCGACACGCTGAACGACCGCGCCAGCTCCCCAGCGCTTGCAGCTACAAGCCGCTGCTGGAGCTCCACTGCCGCAAACGCAATGGGCCCAGAGGCGACCAAGTGGCCGAAAAACACATGGAAGACTTGGCCACTGGCCCACTGGATCGGCAGCCACATTGGGGACCGTGTCAACGTCAAAGACCGATGGGATTTCATATCTTGTTGTCCGGGACCAGCAGCTTGGGGTAGCTGAAGCTCACGCCCTCGGAAATCCCTCCCTTGCAGCGGAAGCAGTGCATCACTGTTCACGGTTCTTCAAGCGCCGGGTCAAGGCCGTTTTCTTTGGCACCTTGTCTATGCTTCTAGAGAAAAGCATGTCTGTAGGCAATGCCCATCTTGTGAGTCGGAACAACCAGTCACCGTACTATAGGGGTCTGCAGAATAGCTATACTAGAACTACAAGGCTATGGTACGGGGTTCCAGCTGTCATTGGCCTGCCAAACCTAAAACTCCTCTAAACCCTCCAATCCATAAACCAAGGTTCCACAAATCCACAACCCCAAAGCCCTAATCCCTTGATCCCTGTGAATACTCTCTACAGCCTAAATGCACCAAGGCCCTCAATACAAAAACCCAAGCCCGAAAACCAAACCCTAAACCCCATACCCCAAGCCCTATACCCAAAACTCTAAGGGTTGGGGTTCAGGCTTTGGGTGCTGTTCTGGCTGACTTTCTTAAACATACTGTCCTTGCTGATGATATTTATGGGCATTGATGGAGCTGTCGGGGGTTTCGATCGCAGTATAGAGTAAGTGGAGGCCTTAACACTTAGAACAGGGTCTTAAGCCAGTTCTAACGTATGTACAATCAAATATATACATACGGACGAACTATGGGTACAACTTCACTAACAGTCGCGATCCCTCCAGTACCCTACATAAGCCCTTCTACTTCGCATTTCGGAATCGCGCCGCCTGTGAAGAAGGCTGCCGAAACACCTGCCGGTCAGAACAGGTTCGACCCGACCCTTCACTCTAGGGTTTAGGGCTTTTAGGGTTTACGGATTTGTGGCTTTAGGGTTTGGGTTTTGTGGGCTTGGGGTTTAAGGCTCTGTGGGGTTTAGGGCTTGACCGACCGACCGACCGTTCCGGTATCTAACGCGCATGTGCCTCTTTCCTGCACTGTTGTTCAGAATGCAACGTAGCACGGCTATGCACAATCATACATACATGCATGCATGCATGCATATAACTACATGCACTTGCACAGGCACGGAAACTACGAACACATACGCGCAAAGAGCCTGGCTGATACCATGACTTCGCCCGTCAACTTTGCTTGAGCTCTCGCCTCAACCTTTCCCACAAAACTAGGTTGGGCTGTTAAAGCTGTTGAAAAATACTAGTAAATAGGATCCTCTTTAAGCCCATAAGGGAAAATATAAAATGTCCCAAATCCCTACCTAAAAAAAAGATACCGGCCTGAGCGCCAGAGCTCGCAGGGCAGCGGGAGCCGAAACTGCAGCTCGAAGGGCCTCCAGGTGGCCTTCCATCCTCGGCGAAAACTTGGAATTTAGAGGAGCCTTGTTGTTATTATGATTTTCCATAGGGCTTTGTACGGTTCTTGATGTAGGCCCGAATAAATCCGACGAGGGTTCTGTGAGATCTATACTTCTACTCTACTTCTTCCAGCGGACCCTGTCTGAATACTATTTCCATTCTGCCTTGCGAGCTTGCACGAGGCGTTTTTTGCTAGGGTTTAGTAGTTCGGGCTGTCCAGGCCCTAAACCCTAAACTCTAAACCCTAAACCCTAGGCTGTCTAGGCTTTAAGAATTTCAGGCTGTCTAGGCTCTAAGACTTGAGAGATCCAGGGAACCCTTAAAGCCCTAAAGCGGCTTTTGGGAGTGGAAGTATGGGGATGCCACGGCCTTCTACAGCCTCAGGGCGGAAAGATTCATGGCTAAGCACAGGTTTGGAGTTTTAGGGTTTTGGGGTTCAGGGTTTCGGCAGAGTTTTGCTGCCTTGTTATTGGTTTCGTTCCGGCTGCAGCGGTCTAAATCCATACAGTACAGCTCAGAGATTCAACGGGTTTGGCTGTACAGTCCAGAGTCTCGGGCTCGGTTCTAGGCTACAGGGCATAGCTAACTATCAGCTAATCGAGGCATTGCGGCGTTGTGGCTGGCTCATGTGTTTGGGGCTTTATCATGGCTTGAAGTGGTTTCGCACTTCTTGCTTTTGATGCTTTTGGGTTTGGAAACTTTGGGGGGGTGTTGTAGAACTCAAAGCCGAAGCAAGACTATTGTACGGGGCCCTCAATAACTAGAACAGGGCTTTTGGAGGCTCCTCACTATAACTATAAAGTATAACGTCCCACCAGATCCTATTCTAATAATTAAGGCCCCTACATTACTCATGCCAGGCAACAGCTGGACGGTGAGGTCTGTCGGAAGATCCTGCGACGACCACATCTTCGCTGACTAATCCATTTTCTGTGTTCGTTTGCTTCAAGGTCCAGGGCCGCAACAATCTCCATAATAGGGTTCCTTCAAAGGGATCCTTCAAAGGGGTCTATAAGGGATCTATGATAAAAGGGTTCTATAGTAAAGGGGCCTTAGTGGTTAGAATAGGGCTTTGGGGGCCCATTCTACTGCACTTATAATAAGGACCCCGCCCAAAAAAAAAAAAACACACTATTGACAAGTATTTAGGCCCCTACGGTCTGCTTGTTTGTTGACCTCGGGACCTGCTCCACGCTTACTCTTGGAGCTTCGGACAGTCTCGAGGAGCCTGAAGCCTGAATACTAAAGCGAACTCAAGCTGAGGTTTGAGGATGTGGGTTGGGTACTGCCCCCATACAGTAACAGTCTATAAAAGGGCTACTATTCAGGTCCTAATATATCTATATTATGAATATTATCAACTGTTACTGAGTGGGGGCAGTACCCAAGATGTAGGGCTAAAGGCCGAGGGCTTTGCATCTTGTGGCCATTTCTGCTTGTTTCTTGCTGGTAGTGTAGGATTTAGGCTTTTTAGGATTTTTAGGGTTTGTATAGGGCCTTAGGATTTTCGGGTGTGCCAAGGTGTCTTGTAGTGCCCGAACACGAATGAAACATGGTACACTTCAGCGGTCGACAGCTGCAATGGAAGGTTGAACGGTGCAAAGCTGTCAGCACTCAAACCGGCGATTATGGTCCGTAAGGTATAAGTCGAGAAGCACCGAAGCTCTAACCTCCTTCCCAGTGGAACCGAATCCTAATCCACGACTACCGACACAAGAGCTAGGCCAAACTCGTCGTCTGGCAGTCCCGCAGCGATACTGCCCGGGTCGCATAGACAGCAGTCAGGACGCCTGCAAGAGGGTTCGGGGTTTGCGGGTTGGCGCAAAAACATAGAGGCCTGTGTAACGTTAAGGCTTTGGGATTCAGGGTTCAAGGTTTATGGGTACAGGGCCTTTACAGGTGCAAGCGTGAGGGCCTCGGGCAGGAGTTGCAGGCGGTTTAGGTTTTTGCGATTGGGGGATCGAGAAATCTCTTTGCCAAGTCCTTCAAAGCATGCCACTAAGCCTCAAATCTTTGCGGGTTTAGGTCTCGGGTTTAGGGACCGAAATCTTTTAGTATCTTGTTGCGCCTGGCCGTGGCGGCGGTGCTGGGAACCCAAATTCCTCTCCATCACCCGGGAACAACCACACCCCGCTGCCCAACCTTCACCAACTGGGAGTTTCCGAAAATAGGGGTACCTTATTTGGGGGTCCTTATACTAGGGATCCTACCATTTGGAGTACTATATTAGGGTCGCCTATTTTCGGAAAGTCCCAACTATTAAGGGCCCTAGATTACACCCTTCAGCCCTCCACTCCAATGGCGGAAGACCTCTTCTTGCCGGCCTCAACAATGAGTACATTGATCCACTCCATCCCTTTGAAGTGCATACCTTAAGCCGGAATAACCTACCTTTTTAAGGACTTCTATAAGGCTTAATCATAATAAGGGACCCTAAAAAGGTAGGTTATTCCGGCTTAAGGTAAGCCCTGAGTTCACGCCTAGTTGTAGATTGAGCTTCAGCTCGGGATGGACACGGTTTCGGCTTCAACCCTGAACCCTAAACCCTAATGCCTAAGCTTCAACCCTAAACCCTAAACCCTAGCGTCTAAGGGAAGCTTCAACCTTCGGCTGTTCGCCTTGCAGCATCTCATGACGCCCAGGCGGAGCCGGTTGCTTGCCTCTGGCAGGACTAGGTGTCTTGGCCTTTGACCTCCCAAAAAAAGTCTGAAAAATTAGCATCAATAGCATGCAGTGTTCGTCACGACATCCGCATACTGTAAAAACTGATTCATATTGTGAAGGCCGCGATGTTCTGACGCACCCATTCGACCCCCTTCAACGAATGCTGAGACGGACGAGCCCAAAGAGTCAGCCTTCTGAATGCTTGGGGAAGATTGCTTTAGGAGCGAATCAGAATAGGGTGTTAGAGGCATATTATGTTGGTATCACTATGTAGGCACGTTCATGGCGATCACTTGCCACTAACTATATTCAGACCGGGGTGTAAAGCTCCATGCTCTCAATCATGTCAGTGAAGCAGCTGAAGCAGGTCCCTGTAACAGAGTTTAAGCATGTAGATTGGTTCCATCAAGTTGCTGCTCAGTCACGCTTTTTGGGCTTCTTCTCTTCGTGCCCGTCGTCACGAAGAGCCTCCTCAAGCTTCAGAAACATCGCAGCTGCTTACGCAAGGCATGCCAAAGTCTTTGCGGCTTTGGCAAGGGCCGGTATGAACACAACTACGGAACTTTGTGACAGTTTCGTGTGTCTTTGTTTGGTCGGGGAAGTCGGAAGTGAGCTCAAGTCTCGGTCTGTTCAGGTCCTGCAGGACCAGGCCAAGCCACACTCCAACAGCCACAGAACCCACCACCCGAGGAGCCCATGAACAAACACCATAAACTACATAAAACATATTAATATGGTATATATCTATAATATATATATATATATATATATATCCCACATGTTTAGGTGGCTTTTGGCTGACCCCCTTGTGCCTGCTCCCGAGAGGTCAGACACCTGAGGGTGATAAGCACAAGAGGTCGAGATAGAGGCGAAGCCTTCCGGAGGCCTCCAAAGGTGGGATGAAGGTAGGTAGGATTAAGGATCCCTTATATAAGGACTCTTATTTGGGAATATCCCACCTACCTTCATCCCACCTTTTGAGGCCTCCGAGCCTTAAACCTTAAATCCAATACCGCAAGCCCCCACGCCGTGCATGTAAGCCCAAACTCTAAACTGTGCCCAAGAGCCCCAGGCTTCGCATTCAGCGTATCGATCGCAAGCCTGCTATTCTTAGGACGTTTTGGACTTTTCTGCTGAGAGAATTTTTTAGAACAACACTGAGCAACTCAAATACTAAAACCGTAAAGCCTAAGACCCTAAACTAACCCCTAAACCCCCCAAAACCCCCCAAAACCCCTAGAACCTAAGCCCTTAAAGCCTGAGCCCAAGCGATCGCCAGGCTCCTATTCCTAAACCCCTACAGTAGAAGCCAGAAAGTTGGAATATCATTATCGTAACCCCTTTAAGGTAAAGTATAGGGGATCCTACCATTAATCCATATTCCAACTTTCTGGAGTTCCCTTTAAACCCTCAAAACCGTAGCCCAAGCAGACCCCGAAGATCGCCTGCAGACGCTCGGCGAGGGAACGCAGCAGCGGTGCCCGCAGTGCAGGGGCCGCCAACAGCGCCTGGGAAATCCTACTTTTACTGTAACAATCATTGCTAATAATGTAATTGTAGATATACCAATATAAAGCATTTATGTCTTTTTCTATTATTGGTAGAGTAATAACAGTATTTAGGGAGCAAGGCTTCTCTGATCGTAGTAAAAATAACACCCAGTATGATAATAACAGTTTCAAATATCATTAGGTATAACAATACTAACAGTAGCAATATTGATTTTCATGTTATTACAACGAAGTATGATCATTGCAATACTATTACTTATCACACTAATACACATAGTAGTGTTCAGTAATTATGATTATAATGCCAATAGCAATTAGAAGCAAATGTATTGAGGACAGCTCTGTGCGAGTCTTACAAGGTCTATGGACTCGGGTACTAGAGTTACACGGCTTTATGATAGCTTTTTGGGGGTTTATAGGGTTTGGCACGGTCCTGCAACAGTTGAAAAGAAACTAACAGGGTTTATACCAGTGTCCACGGACCACGCCGCGTACGACCACCCATCATTTCTGCAGACATCTATGTTGCAGGATTTGGAAATTGTAATGCAAAGGTTCGATAGAGATTTAAAGTGTAAGGTTTGGAGGGCTGAAGCTTTATGAGGTTTGAGGTTTAGCGGCTTTGGGGCTCGCAGCTTGCATTATCGGGGTTAAGACGGTTTGGGGGTTGATAGAGTTTGTGGGTGAAGGGCAGACACCTGCTATAATAAAGCGATAACTCCGTGCGTAACACGCTAGAACATAAATTGAAAATATAGGGGCCTTAATAGTTAGAAAAGAGTTTTGGGGTATACTATACCTTCATTATAAAAAGGAACCCCAAAATATCATTGGTACTTATTCATTGTAATCATACTTCCCTGTATCACCTCATCCTATAAGCCTCGACTCCGACCGGCCCGGCTGCCCGAACCTTGGTTGCAACGAGGCGGCTTCACCATCCTGGCACCAGCTCAGCTTTGGCGGAAGCCTTTCCAAGGCAACTGGATCTCTAGGGTGCACCTCACTTTGCAAGCCTTCAAGGCTTCATGTTTCGTACGTTTGGGTGTCAGCGCTTGGAGCTTGGAGCTTGGAGTGCCAGGGCCTTGGCTACCTCTAACAGAGGCAGCACCAAAGGAATCCGTGAACTACTAGCATTCATGCGGAGGCCCGTGGAATAATGCAGGTACTTAGTTTTGCGCTTCTGTGTCATTCGCAATTAAAGTCAACCTGCAACCCAAACCTTCGACACCCAAGCGCTGGGACGGCCGTGAATCACGCAGACCCTATACCACGACAGAGATCACCACTAACAAAATCCAAAGAACCGATCGTATGGAAACCTGAGTACTTCAACTATCGCCTAGGATTTCGGACCATCTTCCTCCCTAGGCCCGAAACTGCTGCTTGGCAACTTTGTGCCACTGAAGGCACAAGCACCGAGCTGACGCCAGGCAACTTTGTCCTCCCGGGGCAGAAATCGAAATTTCGGGCCATGCCCCAGGTTTTAAACCCATTCTAAACCCTAAATCCATGCGAAAAACCGGAACTAAAACCCAGAGCCCTAAAACCTCACGAGACCGGAGGCCTAAACCCTGGGAGTGGGCACGTTCAGAAACATCATAAAAGCTCCCCACAGACTAGTTAGGGATTGAGGGCCAAGGGCAAACTGTGGGAGCCGAAGTGTGGCGAGGGCCAAATTCTTGGCTTGGACGGAAAAAGCGTGAATACGAAGAAGATTGAAAGTGTGGCAGGGGATGCAAGCGTTGTATGCAATCAGTTTCCTAGTTCGGGTGGGCGGATGTGATGGGCTTGTAAAGCTCCAAAACCCGGAAACAGCATTAAAACCCGAAGCCCGAAAAAACAACACCTAGACCCTATACCCGAAAAAAACCCGGACTGACACCCCCTCGGCCTGAATTGTCAGCCGCGATGCCAGGCTTTCGAGGTCCTCGCCTGTCGTCAAACTCGGGTAATGTAGGGGCCTTCGAAATGCACTAGAAGGGCATTATAATAGGGTTCCTATAAGAGCTCCTTCCGGGATCTAACGTAAGTAGGGTCGTGGGCTCCGTTATGGTAGAAGTATAATCAGGAATCCTAAAGAATATTGGCTTCTATGTTGGGGCTCATATTCTAGCTTATGCCAGTTCAGGCTTATATGGGCCGGGGTTCATATTGGGCAGGGTTTGTATCGAGTTGTTTTGTGTATGTAAGGTAGGTCCTGAGCGCTTAGCCACCAATATAGAGGTGAGTCCCTAACAATACTATACCATCATCGACCCCCCAAAGACCCTTTCTTCAATTAAATTCCTGTCGGCCATACTCCTAGCAGTGCAAACCCTGAACCCTATAAACCCTAGACCCTACACCCCTGAACCCAAGCACTGCCTTCCTCTGACAGCACTGTGGCGAGTGTCGGCGCCAGCAGCTGCAGCCTTCCGCCATGAGCCTGCAGTCTGTCTGATATTGTTTTTTTCAGAAATGGGCAAGGATTCTCTTGTTTGTAATGAGCCAACACTTTGGGCTCTATTAAGTAACGGTTCTCTTATTTCACTGAGCCCATAATTTGGGCTCTATGTGCGTGTGATTATTTTTCTGAAACTCCCATAGACCGCGAGGAGGAGAAACTGCTACGTGCTACTCGTATGAGGTTGACCCTGGACTCTCACGTACACCCGAAACCATACCCTAATCCCGAATATAGGTGCCTTAATAGTTAGAATACATAGGGTTTTGGAGCCCATTATACTATAATTAGAATAAGGAACCCCAAAAACAGTATTGGTCACTATTGAGGCCCTTATATTACACATAAGCCCTGAACCCTCCGACATCCCAAAAACCTTCAGCCTTTTCCCCCGCTTGCGGCCTTCATCTGCAGCAAGCTGCGAGCCACCTGTGCCGAGATGAACTGCTGTAGGGCTACTATCCGGATTCATCACAAGCAGGCTATAGGGCCTAGGGTGTTTAAGACTTACGTAGGGCTTTGGTGCTTAAGGAACTAGGGCTTAGGATTCAATCCAGGGTCGACGGATTCTGGGCTCGCGATTTACGGGTTAAGTATAGGGCTTTGGGCTTAGGTTTTTTCGGGATTTGTGGCGGTTGAGGGTCCAGGGTTTAGATATCTTCCGGAAAGCATGTGTGTGGATGTTTAGGCTTAAGTTGGACCGGTGTGGGGTACATCTAAAGCCTTTCTACGAGCTGAAGTGTTTTGGTTTCAGGGGGCTTGTGCACGAGCTTTAGGGGTTCAGGTAAGTATGCTTGTAAGTATCTAAATTTGGGTGTACAAGTAGTTACCGCATCGGCACCATGCCTTGCACTCTGCTCACAATTGCCCATGAGCTTGCTTCCAAGTGCCGTTATCACCACCGATGCTTCTGTGGTGTGTACTTCTGTTAGCCGGTGGCACTTGCTGGGATTGGCAGCGGATTTTTTTGAAAGTGCCCATGTCATCAAGATTCGCCAAGTGCAAGCACACAGTCTTTTCGTTGGATCGTGAATATGGGCCGGGTGATGAGGCGTATGCAGCATTTGTTAGCAGTTATCGGCACCGTTTGGATCGTGACCTGGGCTACAATGCTAAAGTCCGTGGTCGGAGACCCTTTCGTGGGTAACACCTTCTATTCATATTATTTCAAACATACTTAAATCTATTGAACTAGACCGGAGGTCTTCTGCCTGAACTGCATAGGACTTCGCGTCTGCGGCTCGCACGCAAAGTGCTTGCACTCAGACAACAGGACTTGTCGAGATTTCTGGAAAAATACAGCCGCGCAGCATCAAGCTCGTGACATTTAACATCGCATAAGCTTCTCACTTGAAGCCAGTGTCCTCTACACACTTTGAACGCTCTCACTAAACACTAGTCCATCGACCTCCCGTTGCCAAAGCTCGGCATTTTAGGGTTTGGGCTTTTAGGGATTTAGGGTTTAGGGTTTCAAGGTCCTGTGTGCATGACTTCTTCACATGCTGTGCTGGTCATCGTTGTTTTCATCGTCCCAAGGTTCGGTCTTGAGGTAGGAACCTGATTGAGAAACCTTGGGTCTTTATTGGGGTTCCTTATATGAATCCTACTATTTTGGAATTATAGGCCCGGGGTTTCTTAATCAAGTTCCTACATTACAACGAAAAGAGTGGATTGATACCACCGTGACCTTCCATCACCCCTCAAGCTTTATTGGAACGATGCCCCGAAATACCGCAAAGCTAAGCTAAGTGAAAACTGAAGCTCAGAACCTTAAACCCTGAAAACCCTTAAACCCTAAAACCTAAAAGCCCTTGAACCCTACACCCTTAAACTCTTTAACACCTAAATCCCTCAACCCTCCCCCGGGGTGCATCCGACCTCGGGCGCTGAGCGTTTTCGCCTCTTCTTCCGCGCAGCATGTTGGTGGTCCTGCGCAGGTTTGAGGGTTCGGAGTTTCATGTCCCTAACCCTGAATCCTGTAACCCTACATCCCAAACTCTTACCCCTAAATCCTAAACCCCAAACCCCAGTGAAGCCCTAAACCCTAGGGGATTTCGGACTTTGGAGTTTAGGCGTCAGGGGTGAGGACATTAAAAACTACATTTGCAGGCTCCAAGAGAGAGAGAGAGCTCCCAACCCTGCAACCCTCAGTCTCGATACCAGAAGGCTTGCCATAAGGGTCCTATAAGGAGGTAAAATCTATGTAAAAATACTGTGAGCGTACTATAAGGGTAGTATAATAAGGGTAGTATAGAATACTATGAGGGTCACTGGGTTTTCACTGGGGTTTGCATTTAGGGCTTACGGCAACCTTAACGACGTACACACGACTTTCGGACGCGATAGCTGCATCACAGGGGGCCAGGGAATGGGTTCAGAGTTCAGGGTTGACCCTACCCCACCATAAGTAGATCAAACAGTAAGCTTGACAGGGCGTATCTCTCAACCATACACCCTGAACCCTGACCTCTAAGCAGTTCTTGGAGGATCATGGGGCTTAGTAAGTAAGGTTATAAGTACCTTAATTGGTGTTTTAAGTAGTCATAAGTATAGCTACCCTCATTATAACCCCAGTTACTAAGCCCCATGATCCATTAAGTAGACCCTAAACCCTAAACCCCATACATCCCTTCAAGGAACCCTATAGATCCCTTTAAAGAGCCCTTTCAGAACCCTTACTAAGGGATTAAGGCATTTTTGGCTCGCCTGCAAGGCCGCCAGCAGGACGGAAGCAGCCTCGGCCTGCTTTGTAGGTTTACTGATGGGCTCCATAGTAGTCCCTTTTTTGGATTACCTTATAGGGCTTTAAATATGAACCACAAAAAGGAACTACTATGGAGCCTCTGGGTAGGGTTTAAGGTTTCGACTTAGCTTTGTTTTTTGAGCAACCTTTTTGCGCCTTCCGCAGAGGTTTGTAACGAGCAGGTCTTTAAGACCATGTAATGTTGTCGACGACCTGTGTATCGAGGCCTGTTCCCACTATGCTTCTGCTATTCTACCCTTAATTCCAGCCAGGATCTGTACGTCAATCTAACAAACCCTGAACCTCAACACGGCTTCGCTTGCTGCTGGTGCCAAGTATTGCTGGTTTCTAGAGGCTCGGTTTTCCTGGCAGCCACTTATCAACTACAATGCCATGTTTCTGGTATTCAGCTTCTATAAGGATACTTGAAACAGGGGTAAACGGGTTCTACCTAGTATAGTTACTGAACCGACACATTGTGCACCCGACCTAGTTGAATTATTTGCTTCTTTCTAGACTTGGAGCCGTTGTCAAATGCGGACTTGCATGGGGTAGGGTTGAGGATGTAGGAATCCTCGAACAAGTCCGAAACCCAATAAAGCACCCGAAACCCTAAACCTATGCCCACAAGAGCCTGCTCATCCGTGGCTTCTGACTCCTCTCGGGAGTGGCAGTGATAGGGTGCAGGACCACACGGTTTCGGCCCAGGGCTTATCAGTTTTCTATACTATCTGTTGTTTTTGTCTTTGTTTGAGGGTTGTGTTTTAGCATTAATAATTTCAATTCAAGTTTTTAGGTTGTGTTTGCAGGTGTGTTTCAGAGATTCGGCCGAACTATTGTGAAGACACGAGTGCAGAGTGGGATGTACTATGCAGGCCTTAATAATTAGACTAGGGTTTTGGGTATATCATACAATAACTATTATCAGGAACCCCCCCCCCAACAAAAAAAAAAAAATAGTATAGGTAATTATTGAGGCCCCTATAGTACAGAGTGGGATGTATGGAATTGGCAGTCCGGGAGTCCGGATCGAATTTTGCTAAGAGCTTGGCCTTTCAACTTCGAGCGCAGCTCATTGCCCAAAAAGTCGTACAGGCCTGAGCCACAGCGTTACTCCAAAATCCCAAGCCAAAAAAAAACACAAAATCCTGCTCTAAAGCCTAAGCCCTACATAACCCTGAACCCCCAAGCCCAAAACTACTACAGCAGTGCCCGGTGTGTAGTCCCCTGGTTCGCGGCCACTCGAAGGGTCTACTCGAAAGTTTCTGGCTTAAGCCGAGTGAGACCCCCCAGCCCCCACAGAAAGGACGAGGAGGACCCTACAACCGACGGTTTAGGGTTTAGGGTTTAGGGGTTTAGGGTTACTACAACCTAGACTCAAAACCCCTACATCCCAAAGCCTAGGCTACTGAAACTCACCCTGCACATCTCATCTTCCTATACCTGAAAGGAAGAGGAAGACTCCAAATGTAAGCGTAATGTCAACCTCATATTTAGAATCCCCTGCGTAATTGCAGAATCCAAGTTGTGGAACGTAATTAGAAACCCCCCATATCTGCAGAATCGAATTGGCCGCAGCGGAAACTGTTACCAGAATCTTGTTCGTATAGATAGTATAGATGAAAGCTCAAAGGAACTGAGAAGGATTTAAGTGGAGGTCAATGTCTCTGATGAAGATCAGGACTCTTACTACGAAGGCTGGGGTTTACACCCTTGGGGGTTGGGGTTAATATGAAGTGAACATTAAACCCTCACAATCATTTTGCACAGACATGGCGTCCTGGAGTGCCGTAGCTGCCAGCTGCTCCAAGCCCTGAGGGAAGGCTTTGTTTTGATTCAGGATTTAGGGTTTCCTTTGTGGTCGAGGATTTTGGACTGGAACTTAGGTGTAGGTGAAGTCTGGGGTGGCGGGTCTGGGTCAGAAGGGTAGGATGCCCCCTACACCCTAACACTAAACCTTTAAACCCTTACTGTAAACCCTAAACCCTGAGCCCAAGAACCCCAAACCGCTCCTTCAGCGTCTTCGCCGCAACGGGAGAAGCTTTCTGGAGCAGTGGTGGAAGATCGAAGGCGGAGATCTTGCGGCCAAGTCGGCACCTCGCAGCTTAGGGTTTTAAGGGTTTAAGGTTTAGGGCCTGGGGTTTACTTAAGACCTGCCTACAGATTTACAGACCTCAAAGACATAGTCCGCTTTTGTATGTATTGAATCGGTTTTGGGGTTCCGGCTGGTCATCTTCTTGTGGCGGCGTGATGGTCAACATCATATAGGCCACACTGGGGCTCGAATGAAGGTGCACTTTGAGAGTTGCTATGACCAAGGGCCTTAGCAATGTCGGAGCGTGATTAAGAAACCCTGCTAAATCCCAACTACCAAGAAAACTCCGGCGACCCCCGGGGTTCTCGTGATCGAATGCCCTTTTCGTGTAGAGCTCAGCTCTGGAGCTTGAAACATCCGATCCGAGGCACAATGAGAGCAGCAAGCTATGCAACCAGCGCGGTGGCGGCTCAAAACCTTCACAACGAGCAGTCCGGCTTTGGAATGGCTCGAGGGCTGTTTCAGTTGATATTTATGTTGACATTTGCCCCCCTCATTGAAAAAATCCATCCAAGAATCCGCTATTCAAGGAGTATTTCTTCAGGGTATTGGACTCTCTGGGGTGTTCATTCGACAAGTGCTTGTTTGGCTCCCTAAACCCTAAACCCTAAACCCCTAAACCCTAAACCCTAAACCCTAAACCAAGTATGAGAAGGTTTCTGCATGCAATTGCAAACACAGACAAACTCAAACCGCATGCTTGCATGTGCAGCCCTGTCGATGCCAAGCCTAACACCCTAAACAAAAATCAGTAAATCCTAAACCCCAAGCCTGAACCCAACCGAAACTCCGAAAAAACATAGTTGCGTCAGCACCGCAAGGGGGGGTCTGGGTGTACTGGGTGGCATATAGTTCAGTTCGCATAGAACCTAGTGAAGCAAACAGTTGTATCACAATCATTGTCATCTGCACTGGGTGGTTGTCAACATTAGGGTTCCTTTTCGGGTCCTTGTTATAATACGGCACCTAATATCTAGGGTACCGAAAAAGGGATCATAATTTTGACAACCACCCATCTGAGAGACTAGCGCCTCGAAGATCCAAGCGCCACGAGCTTAGAATTTGAACTTTATACCCTGAAACATTCCACCAAAACCTTATGTTTTAGGGTTTAGGGATCAACCGGAAATGTTGAGCACCATAATTTTAAGCCCCTAAATCCGTAGAGCCTTGAACCCTCAAGGCCCTGAACACACAAAGACTTCAAGCCTTACGCCCCGTGCTTAAAGAAAGATCAAAAAGTGAACTCTAAGAAGTGCCTTCCACACGGCTGAAGGTCTCCATGAAAAGCTCTCGTAGTGGTTCGAGGGTCCTTGTACGATAGGTCTTAGGAGGGTTGTGGAGATGTCGAATGTCGGGCTTTGAGGTTCAGGGCTCTCGTTCCCTCCATCCTACTCTATAAGAACCCTCATAGAACCCTTACAGAATCCCTTCTTGTACCCCAAAAAAGGGTTAAAGGTTACCTACTCTACTACTAGGCATCTTTCCATGCTGCGGGAAAAGAGGCCCCCTCGGCTTCGAGACCCAAGAGTAACCTAGGAATATAAAACAGGGGCCCTTTTTTGGATAAAGGGGTTTATACGGGAACCTGAACCCGAAAAAGAGGGAATAAGGGCCGACTCTAGGCCCTCGGCTTGCTGCTAGATGGTTGCCTCTGTGCTTAACTCTCGTATTCGAGACCCCCTGCTCCTCCCACCTCAGCTGAGACTATCCTAACCCTAAACCCTAAACCTCAAACCCTAAATCCTACGCCACAAGACCCAAAATCCTCAACCTTACTGCCCCTCCAACCCCGTTTCCGAAGGTTTCCTCATATTTTCCTTCTTGGAGCCCATGAATCACCCTAAAACTCTGAAGACCCACTTAGACGATATAGAACGCTTGAGAACCCTGATGAAGCCCTTTGAAAACGGTGTAAGAACACACACTAAGCCCGGACAAAGCCATACAATAATGTTGCAGCATCTTCTCAACACCCTCGCAAGAACTCCGAGGTAGCGGGAAAACTCTATAAAACCATCACGCAACTTCTAAACCCTAAACCCCTTAAGCTCTAAAAGCCCTAAACCCCTTGAGCCCTACAGCCCTAGACCCCTTAAGCTCCAAAACCCTAAACCCCTTAGGCCCTAAACCCCTAAACCTCTAAACCCCAAACCCCTACACCCCAACCCCCTTAAGCCCTAAACCCCTTAACCCCCTATAAACCCTTAAGCCCTACAGTAACCCCTGAGACCCCCTCCCCTAAGCTTCCGGCAGCTCCGTTGGCTGCAGGCCGGCAGACAGGTGCCCGAGGAGACGAGGCGCCCAGGAGACGGGCACCTGGCTCTAGTGCTCTTAGGTTTATGATGGGAGGCCAAAAGGGGGGTTTAGGATTCTTGGGGTAGGGATTCCTTAATACGAGCCCTATTATGGGAACCCTAATCCCTACTACTACACCCCCATAGGCTAAAAACCCTTTTGGCCTCCTATGAGTTTAGGGTTTAGGAAGCTTAGGGTTCAGGTTTAGGGTTTAGGGAGTTTAGGGTTGAGGAACTTTTGGGGTTTAGGTTTTGTATTTAGGCTTAGGGTGAAAGCTTAGAAGCCTAGGTTTGGGGTTTAGGAAGTTTGGGGTTTAGGTTTAGAGTGTAGGAAGTTTAGAGGTTTAGGGTTTAGGCTAGTAGGGTTTCAGGGTTTAGGGGTTCAGGGGCTAAGGGCTTCAGGCGTCATATTTTCGGGTTTAGGGTTTGGGTCACATCCCGGGCCCGATATAAACTACCTTCATTAAACCCTTGCATTATCTAATTACTAATTACTAATGACTGCTGTTGAACGGGGAAGAGTCACCCAACCACTACATGACGGCGTCAAGCTCAGCAGGTACAAAACTCAAAAGACTCCTCATCCGACATGTTATCTTCGTCGCTCCTGTTCGTGCTGAACGACCGCATCCGAAAGACAAAGTCTTGCTGGCGTGGGCAGATGGTCGACAGCATGTAACACATCCACGTGCCCATCAACGGCCTGTGCATTCCGTTTCCGGATAGGCTGAGGCAAAAGCGATCCTGGCCGGGGTCAGTTGCCACCTTATTGCTTTCGATAAAGCGGCACCAGGATCGATCGCCAGGCACCGGGTTTGGATCCAGATGCCTCATCACTGGAATGCCCTGCATGGCCAAGTGCTCCACCGGCAAGGCGAAACGCTGAGCTCGGTGAAACCAGGCCGTAAAGGAAAAGCATAGGCTAAATCACAAGCTTAGCCTTGCAGAATACGCCAACTTAAGAAGAGTCTGGAAGGTGAGAAGCTGTGTGCTGAACCACTCGGACGAATAAAGTAGGGTTTGGGCGGTATAGTAGAGTAGTACAGTACCAAGATGTCGGGCTAGTTTAGGGCTCTTCCGAACAAGAATGTCCGAACGAGGTATGAACGGTGTATAGTCATTGTGTAAAATATAAAACTGGGGTAGTATGAGTGCTCTGTGGCATATTGAGGGCATCAAGCTTCAGTGCCGAAACTCTGAAGACAGCCAATCAAAGGGGAAAAGGAGGGACCCTTAATAGGGACACCTACCCTGTAATGGCCTATATAATGGGTATATAATAGCTATATTAAGGGTCTATACCTAGGGGTCCTTATTAAGGGTCCCTCCTTTTACCCTTGGACAATGCAGCAGGCAGACCTGATCTTTCGGCAAGTGCTGGAGGAACAGCTCCCATGCACCTGCGAGACATCTGCTTCCTTGTTACCCAAAGCCTGATTCCTAAACCCTCCTGGGCCGTACCTTACGAGACCCTTGAAAAAACCGGAAAAGGGTAATGTCGGGGACTGAATGATCCAAATGGGGATTTTCAGAATATTGTGCTACGACTGCAAAAAGGGGCATGTGTAGGGACTCAAGGGCATGCGGGTACAATATACTCAGACTTCTATGATATACCCGACAACTCCACTCTCGAGGAAAAGAGACCCTGTACCCCTAGCCCCTAAGCCTAAGCCACATTCAACTGTTAACCCCTAAGCCCTGAACACTTATGGGTGGTTGTCAAAATCATGGTCCCTTTTTGGGTCCTTAATATAATACGGCACCTAACTGCACCTATTATTAAGGGTACCCAGAACGGGACCCTAGTTTTGACAACCACCCTTATAGAACGCTGCAGCGCCCTTCTAGAACCCTGCATGGCACCCTTCGGAGACCCTAAAATAAAAGGCCAGAGAAGGGCAATGGTACCCTGCTAGAGCCCATCATTTACGGCCGTGTAGAGACCTTTATGTAAAGTGGTAGAGAACCCTTGCATAGTAAGAGTAATTGTCATAGCTATAGTTATAGTAATAGTCATAGTAATGGTAATAGTCATAGTAATAGTCATAGTATTAGTAATATTCAGTAATAGTAATAGTAATAGAACCCTTTTAAGTCCCTCTAAACCCTAAACCCTGAAAGCCCTCTAAACCCTGGATCAGCCTCTCAGTTGCTGCGGCGTCGACAGCTGGCTTGCCGCCTTTTCCAGGCCTGGCTAGGGTTTAGCGGTTAAGGCTTCAGGGGTTTAGGGTTTAGGGTTTAGGGTTTCGCGGTCAAGGCTTCAGGGGGTGGGTTCAGGGTCCAGCTTCGAGGTTTAGGGTTTGGGTTCGGGGTTTAGCGTGAGGGGACTGAGCCTGGCACCGGGCCGGAAGTGCCCGTCGTTTGATGATGAGCATTTGCTTTAACAAGGGTTCTCATGAGGTTTTCTGGTTTTACACCCAGTGAGAATCGTAAAACTAAAGTGTTGATGCGATAGGGAAACCGCAAACCCTAAAGCCCTAAACCGTAAAACTAAAGCCCAAACCCTACCTAGACCTAGACCCCCCAACTACCCTCCAATATACCCCGAATCCCATACATTTCAGGGACCATAAAGAACCGATTAAAGGGCCCCTGGAGGGTAACCTTTAACTATACTGAACTTAGAACCCTAGCAAAAATTATAATTTCAGCTGTTTCTTAGGGAGTATAATAACCAAAAATCAAAAATATTTCTAAGTACCCCTAAGTTAACCCTAACCCCTAAACCCTAAGAGGCAAACCCCGAGACCCGATCCCGAAACCCTCGAAAGCTTCAACCCCTATCTTTTAAAGGTTTAGTTGTGTAGGGTTTAGCGTTTCAACTACAGATTCGCATTCCTTCTGTGCGGTTTCTGGAACAATCTAGAGGTTCTAGTAACCTGCACAAGAAATTCAAAACCCTTCAATCCCCAAACAAAGTTGTAGTCTGAAGCCCTAAACCCTGAACCTAAACCCTAAATCCTATTCCTAACCCCTGAACCAAACCCTAAACCCTAGATAGGAGAGTTTTGGGGCTTACGGGTTTAGGGGTTCGGGCTTGGAGAGCGAGTTTGGGGTTATTTAGGGTGTAGCCCTCAAATAAGTAGGGTAACTATAATTATACCCATATTAGGGGACTTATAACCCTACTTGTAAGTCCCCCTGAACCTCCAAGTAGCCCCCACATGAAGCCCCAAACTTTGAGACTGAAGCTATGAAACCTAAGCTCCGCCTTCGAGGAAGGTCGGAGAGTCCACGAGATCGGCTTTGCAATCTTCTCCTGAGAGACGGCCATGCTTGCTGTTGTTGCCATTGCTAGCGATGCGAATGCTGGTGATGACGACGAGAACGATTATGACGTTGTCGTTGCTATTGAGCTGCTATTGATGATAATGATGATGGCCGTTTGGTGTAAGCCGACGACAGTACCCTACATACTAGGAGCCTTATTTATAAGGACCCCCAAAAAAGTACCGTGTTGTGACGGCCCCTCTCAAAGTCAACAAACACGCCAACTGATCTAGCATGATCCACTATATACCCGCATGCATACTTTCGTCGCTGGACATTAAAAAAATCTGCAACCATATCCATATCCATGCACATATATATATATATATGTACAAACTGTCGTTATGTACGTATATGCCACACTTGCATGGGAGTGTCATTCAATGATAAGGGAACTTGGTACAGACTCGAGCTACCAGGATCCTCATCATCAGTACGGCACTGGATGAAGAAATCCCCACATGTTTTGATGCTCATGGGTTGAGCTTCGTTACTATAACAAGAGTATACATTAGGTACTGCCCCTATACAGTAAGAGTCTATAATAAGGCTACTATTAAGGTCCTAACAGATCTATATTATGAATATTATTCAACTATTACTGAGTGGGGGCCGTACCCAAAGTATACATTCCACAATCTGCTTTCCTTGCTTTGGCACCTCAGCCCCTCAGCTCCTGAGGCCAAGGCCCAAAACCACAAACCAAAGCAACCCAAAACCAAGCGACAGACAAAAACTCAATAAACCAACACCTGAACCCGAAATCCTAAACCCTAAACCTCTCTTTCATACCTCATTACACTCTGAAGGAACCACCTCAACCGGCCTTCTTTGAGCAGTGCCTGCACAAGGGCTTCCAAACAGGCAGGCAAGTCCTGGGCTGTTGAACCAAAAGCTTTGGCTGTTGCGTTTTGCGTTAGGATTTGGGTTTTTTCAAGGGCCAACTACGCGGTTTAGGGTTTAGTTTAGTGTTTGAGTTTAGGGTTTCGGGTTGAAGTTTAAAGGCCTTGGGCTTAGGGGTCGTGCATTTAAGGTTTCAGGCTTAGGTGGGGGGTTTAGGGTGTGGGGACTGCAGTATGCAGTTTCACCCGTCTGATCGACGTAGGTTTCACTGATATTTTTGCTGCAAACCCACAAAGTTGGTTTTGTTCAAGAACAAAGACCCGCTCGGAAACTCCCGGTCTCAAGCACCAAGGCAGATATCGGAGCACTAAACCGTAAGCCCCTACCTGGATCCAAACAACCTACCTTTGGGTTCCCTGATATGATTTTTATAAAAGTCCTTAATGAGGTAGGTTGTTTGGGGTTAATGTAAACCCTTAAACCTAAATCCTAAACCCTAAATATTCCTGGTAGCGTTCATCTCTAAGTTTAGGCTTTGGGGTTTAGGGTTTAAGTTTAGGGTTTAGGGTTTCGGGTTAGGGTTTTGGGATCCAGGGTTTAGGGCTTTGATTTTTTTTAAAGTGCAATGGGCTTCTTTCGATTCCGCAGAACGATCTCAGACCTGCCACAAAGGCTTACACTAGGCTTTGAGTTTAGGGGCTGGGGTTTAGGGGTTAGACCCAGGAGCGAGGTCAAGCCTCCCCCCGTAGCTGTCGTTTTACAAAATGTGGAGTGGTGTGAAAGGTTTCTGTCAGGGTGAAGCTCTGCTAAATGGCGCACATAGTTAGGGGCCTACCCGTCGCCCGAAACCCAAACCCCCTAAGCCCTAAAGGCATAAATCCTAAGACCCCGAACCACAAGTCCTAGCCTACCCTTCACCCTAAACCCTAACCCTAAACCCCAAACCCCTATATAAATCCACCCCAAGCAGCTTTGATGCCTACCCTCACCCTAAACCCAAACCCCCTAAGCCCTAAACGCCTGAGTCCGAAATCCCTGTCTCCAAAAGGGTGGTTGTCAAAATTATGGTCCCTTTTTGGGCACCCTAAATAACAGGTGCCGTATTATATAAGGAACCAAAAAAGACCCCCTAATTTTGACAACCATCCAAAAGAAGGCATCTGAGTGGCGGAGATCGCTGCATAGCTCCTGGGACTGCAGGTGCTGTAAAAAGAGTGCCTTTTAAAGGGAACCATAGGGTTCTGTAAAAGAGTCCCTTTTAAAGGGAACCATAGGGTCTGTAAAAAGAGTCCCTTTAAAGGGAACCATAGGGTTCTTTTATAGAGTCCCCTTTATTAAAGGGAGCTAGAGGGTTCGTTTATAGAGTCCCCTTTAAAGGGAACGGTACGGTGTGGTTGCATAATGAGGTCCCCTTGAAAGGGAACTACAGGGTTCTGTACTAGGATCCCCCTCACAAGTATAGGGGGTTTAGGGTTCAAGGGTTTAGAGTTTAGGGTACCTTTTGGCATCCCTAGGTGTTCCGTTAATAGTTAAAGGCTCCAAAGAAATTTGGGTGTGATGCTTTCAAGGGGTTTGGGGGCTTAAAGGATTTCAGGTTGAGAAGGTTTGAGACGGTTTTTCGGACTTTGCGAGGGCTGGGGGAGACCACTCCACCAAACCACCTCCCAAAACACGAATCCCTATACTTAAACCCGAAACACCCCAACTCCACTAACCCCTAAACCTTAAACGCCGGAGCCCCAAAGGCCAGAAACTTATAAAGGGAGAATGCACCGCTCACACAGCCGTTGAACACATCACACATAACAGGGGAACTCTCAAGATCAGGCAAGATACAGTACAACAACCCTAACCCTCCAAAACTCGAAATCCTGAACTAGGACCGCACAACCCTCAACTAAGAAGCCTAAGCTCCACCCCTCCCTGTCAACTAAGAGTCTCAACTTGCCTCAAGCTTCATAGTGTAGTGGCCTTAGAAACTAGAATAGGGTTTGCGGGTAAGTTATAGCTATGGTATAGGTATAGGTATCATATAAGGAATCCTAAGGAATAGCATTGGCAAGCAGATTTCGTCCCCTAAGAACATCCGAAGCCCGATCGGGTCTCCGAAGCAGCGCTGCACCGAATGGCGCGCCAGCGCTCCCGCGCAGCGCCGCCGCCCAAAGGGCCGGCAACCTCGGCACGTCGGGTTCAGGGCTTTGTGGGGCTTTAGCAGGTTTTAGGCCTTAGGGCTTTGAGAGGCTATGGGAAGCTTTTTTGGCTTAGGGGCTTGTGTAGGCTTTAGGCTCTGGGGGCTTTAGAGTTTAGGCCTGGGATGTTCGTTGGGCTTCATGGAAAATATGTAAAGGTTTAGGGTTTAGGGTTTAAGGTTATTATACAAACGGCCCGAGGTATTAGGGGTTCAATAGAAGGAATGAGCAAAAGGGATAGGGGCTCAGGGCCACTTTCGTTGCAGTTGCAAGGTTAGCTTTATACTACTTATTTGTGGTAGGGTTTCGGACTGACAAGTTTAAACGAGGCAGCCTGGAATTAAGCACACAGTACATACGCAGAGCCCAGGACAGGAATAATCCCACGCACATCGTGCGTTTAGAGTGAGGGCTTTCGGAAAACCTATATCCCAAATCCAAAAGCATGGTGCCGCAAGCCTTCTGGGCAAGACACCTGGACTCAAACGGAGCCACATCAAGTGCCAGCAGTTCCTGCCACTGCAGAGAGGTGCATGACTTGAGCTCTGCACTGGCCGGAAAGTTCGGACTGAAAGACGCCTAAGTGGTCCAAGATCCCACGCCCTGGATTCTGAAGCTTCCAAGTTTCATCGTTTAGGGTTTAGCCTTTAGGGCCAGGTTTAGGGTTTCTAAACCCCAGGCCCCTTAACTCTAAACACTGAGCTTTCGGAGGATGCTTGACGTAAGCCTGCTGTGGCCTCCAGGCAGGCCCAGGACAGATCTTCGTGCGGGGCTCCAGTCTGCAGCCGCTTCCTCAGCAGACGTCGGAGCTGGTGATGTTGACGAAAGCACGAATGATAATGATAAGGAACTACTACCAGTAGTAGTACCACAAACGATGAGCCATCATCAAAATACTATTTCCATGAGAACGAATGATAACACGAGTAAGTACGTACGTGAACCAACTCTGATATTTTCATTCGCAAACCTCAGCAGCACCACCCGCACTCTCCTCACCCCAGGCCGTCCTTTTCGATGGCACCACAGCATAAAGGCCCTACCCCCCCCCCCCCCCAACCCCTAAACCCCTAAACCCCTAAACCCCTACACCCCTAAACCCCTAAACCCCTAAACCCCTAAACGCATAAACCCATATACCCCCAAACCAAAGCCTCAAGAACTGCATGCAGATGCCTTTACGCACATTTTCGTCTCAGGGGCTTTTCTAAGTTTTGGGAGTCGTAACCCCGAAGTCGAAAGTCGGCTAAACTCCTAAAGCCTCCAGCAGAGGGAGGGTCTGTCTCCCCAGAGACTCCAATATCCCTTAAATCATCTTAGGGATCCTACTATAATTTAAGGTATATTCCTTAATTAAGTGATATTGGAGTGTCTGGGTCTTCCGAGCCAAGCATCAGGAGCAGAGCCACAGAACCTGGCAAAACTGATTCTGGAGTTGAAGGCTTCTCCAAGGCTACTGCGAGGCTTACCGTAGGGTGTTCTCCGCAGATCCCAAGACAGCTCCACGGCCTTCGGGTGTTTAGAATTTAGGAGTTCAGTTCGAAATCCTGCCAACAGCGCCCGTTCTCCTAAGCGGGGCTTGCAAGTGAGAGACTCCAAGGAAACAGAAACCTCAGCGAACAATTCTGAACCTGATTGCACAGAACAATCTATCCTAAACCCGAAAGCCTAAATCGTAGCACAGACCTTTCAAGGCAATCCCTGGCGTAGGCTGCATCTAGGGTGTAGGCTTTGGGGACGTGCGGCAGTGCACAGAAGCATGCACGGCTGAATTCAGGTCCTTGTATTGGGAACTGAAACTGATCCCATCCTAAGCCCAAGTCTCAAGGAACGCCGGCTCAAAGTAGCCTCTGACCCTTCGAAGAACCTCTAGAGTACCCTGATGGAATGAACCACATAGCCGAAAAAGTGCCCTCACCCCTAATCCTAAACCCTCAACCCTAAATCCTAAACCCCTACACCCTAAACCGCCGGAGGTCCTCCCAAAGCTTTGCTCTGACGCCCACAAGGATCTTCCCGCGGGCGATAGAGGTTGTGGCCTCACTGGTAGTGTGGCTTGGGGTTCTTGGTGTCGGGTTTGGTGATAAGGTAAAAGCCAGAAAGTTGGAATATTATTATCCTAACCCCTTTATGGTAAATTATAGGGTATCCTACCCTGAAACCATATTCCAACTTTCTGGAGTTCCCTTTATGTGGTTTGATAGCTTTAGGAAATACGGAGTTTCGGTTTGGTGGCGTCGGGCTGGCGGTTTTAGGGCTTGCAGGATGTAGATTTTGCTAAACCCTACACCCTAACCTGCAAACCCCACCCTCTAAACCCCAAGCCCTAAACCCCCAAACCCCTAACCCCTAAACCTTAAACCCTAAACCCCACGTGCCCTTGCAAACCAAAGCACGACGCACAACGCGCCAAAGGTCGCCGAAGCTTTGCAGCGCTAGGCGCGGGCATTCGCTGCCTTCGTGGCGTAGGGTCGGCTGGAGCTGCGAGCAGGACTTATCAGCTTGGGGTCTAGGTTTAGGGTTTAGGGTTAGGAGTGGCAGGGTTTAGGGGTGTAGGGGTTCAGGGTTGTCTAGTACTCGTTACACGTTACAGCACCTTCATCGTAGCTACCCTTAGTTACAGTATGTTGCAGTATAGTACGTTCATGGTGACCCTCGTAGTACCTCTTGTAGCAGCACCCGTATAGGAATCCTGATACTACCTTCAAAGTAACCCTTGTAGTACCCGTTTGGTAACCCTGAAAGAAGCCCTTCTCTGTGTCATTACTGCAAGCACGAAGAACAAGAACCATCGTGGTCCACCTTAGGACCAAGGGTGGTTACCGATTCGTACAGCAATCGTTTACACGTCGTACCCGCTAATGGTCAGTATTGTCCGCAGCTTCTCCTGTCACAAGTACTTGCCAGTATTTTGTAGGATTCGGGGTGACATGAACCCTTAACCGGCAGTGTGCACCCCATCCTAAATCGAATGCACCCCACTCCAACAATCCCGAAACCTTTTACAGTAGAGGCCAGAAAGTTGGAACATCATTAGCCTCATGGCCTTAAAGTAGAGTATAGGGAATCCCAGCATGAACCATCCTAAATCTACGTTCCAACTTTCTGGGGTTCACTCGAATACGCTATGGAAGCCAACGAACACCGAGTTAGAAGCTGCCCCCACCCTGTAATAGTGGTATAATAGGTATGTAATAGGGCCCTAATATAATCCTTATCGTCACTATTACAGGGTGGGGGCAGCTTCTAAGAAAATCGATAAAACTCTGACACAGCCGTACAAACGCCGGGGAATCTTCCTGCTCAGGGCCTCAAACAAAACCCCCAAAATCGCTTCCATCAAAACTACTAGTGTAGGGGCCTTAATATTTCGAACGTGGTTTCGGGGCCTCCTTATTGCACTTCCAGCATCATATACATCAAAACTACTACGTAATGTGGGTAGTTGTCAAAATTAGGGTCCCTTTCTGGGTACCCTAAATATTAGGTGCCGTATTATAAATAAAGAGCCCAAAAAGGGACCACCATTTTGACAACCACCCATGTAGGGGCCTTCATATTTCGAAGAGGGCTTCGGGGCCTCGTTGTTGTACTTATAGCATCATATACACCCCGCAAACCCTATTCTAATCATAAAGGCCAGTATACTAGGGCCCAACAGTCCCCTAAACCCTATACCATAACCCCTAAACCCCTAAACCCTAAACCCCAAAGCCCTAAACCCCTAAACCCCTTAACCCCAAAACCCTCAACCCAAAACCCTAAACCTAAACCCTCAACCCAAAACTCTAAACCCCTAAACCCCTAAACCCTCAACCCAAAACCGTAAACCCTACCCCCAAAATCCTAAACCTTAAAACCCTATGCCACCGTCCGACCAGGATGGCAAAGGAAAGGCCTCGCAGCTGAGGCTTCAGGGCCTTCCAGAACCTGAAAAAACTTGGAGGTTCATGGGTAGCTATAAGTAGGGTCCCTTTAAAGGGATCTATAGAAGTTCTATAAGGGTATAGGGTTTAGGGTTCATGGGTAGTTATAAGTAGGGTCCCTTTAAATCTATAGGGATTCTAGAAGGGTATAGGGTTTAGGGTTCATGGGTAGTTATAAGTAGGGTTTTTTGTCCCCTAATATGGGTTATAAGTATAGTTACCCTACTTATAGCCCTATTTAATTAAGAATACCCATGAACCTCCAAGTAGGGCCATGCAGGGCTCCCGACACGCTCTATTGGGTTTAGAGTTTATGTAAGGTTTAGAGTTTAAGGTATAGGGCCGAATTAGGGTTTAGGGTTTAGAGTTTCAAGATTTAGAGTTCAATGTTTAAAGCTCTCGACACGCTCAATTAGGCTGAATAGGACCAATGAGGAACAAGGCAGTTTCAGGTTACAGGAATCGGGGGGAATCAGAAGACCGAGATGGGGGTGTAAGCGTTTCAATTTCACAGTCTGAGTCTGTTGGTCTTTTGCTACAGCCCTCACAATCATAATGAAAGTGCCAAAAATGGCCCTTAAAATCCACACGAGCGTAACGACAGTACCAAAAATCTCAATCTTGACTTTGATCCTGCTTCCCCAAGATGGCAGAGCAGAGATGGCAGAGAGTCTTTCAAACCGTACACCCGCGGAGGTTAGGAATGTTCCGCAGTTAAGTTCTGGGTTATTTAGCTCTGTACGTAATGTCCCCCTGGTTAACGATCCATTGTTCTTTGAGTGAACCCTGGAATCCTGCACCAGGGATCCTGACTAGCTCAGGGTGAAGTTTCTGGGAACCTATGCAGTGATTGGAGTTCCGTGTCGAGGGTGCCTGGTCTCTTTGTCGCAGTGCTCCCTTTGAAGAATGGTATCCGAACGCCCTGGGTCTCTCCCTCGATGACCAGGTATAGCCGTGTAGCCAAACAAAGTGCATAGTTGATCCAGCCAAAACTTCCAAGCTGCCCTTTGCCAGCTGCGCTGATCGTAGGGACCGTGGCTACAAGCTGTACAAACTCTTTTAAACAGTGAGCAAGACGGGGCTTGGCTGTTACCTGAGCAGGAGTCTTATTGCCAGCCTGACCCCATGCTTGGGGCGATCGCGCGAAGATACTCAGTAGTGGTGTGCGCGAAGAATAAAACCTGCGAGTTGCGAGCAATAGTAATTACTACGAATCTTATGGTGAGTTTTGTGGCTGCTACTCTCATGAGTACTGCAGTTCGTACTGCTCTTTTGAGGTAGAGCCCCCCGTCGTCGTGGTCGTAGCAGCAGCAGCAGCAGCAGTAGCAGTCCCAATGGCAGTGAGCAGTAGCAGTGAGTGGCAGTGGCAGTAGCCGTAGCAGAAGTAGTAGTCTTCATCGTCAACCCTAAACCCTAAACCCTAACCTTGCGCCAGGGGGACTGGTCGAAGATCAAAAACTCTTTCGGCGTCCGCTGGGCGCCCGCGGCCGCTTTTTCATCGATACCCTCTGCCTCGCAATGTTTAGGGCTTGAGGGGTTTAGGGTTCAGGGTCTTAGGCTTCTTCAACGTCCGGCAGAGAGAGGTCTTATTGGATTTTGCACGTTTCTATAGCTTTCGGGGGCTGATGGTGCTTTATGGACCCCAGACAGCTCAAGTGTAGGCCCAAGTTCAGGAATATGTCGTAAGTCATAGTAAGCTTCAGAATCCCAATGCGGTCCAAGGCACTGCAGTCTTTAATGGATGCGTCAGGTGTCTGGGATTTTCTGAAGACCTTATGCTACCTTTCTAGAACCAGTAGACACCCTGTTGGGGCTAAATTGACTGCAGAACACCAGCTGGCCGCCTTCCGTTGCCACTCCTTGCGATTCTGCTCCTTCTGCAAAAGAAAGTTTGCGGGTAAGGTATGGGGTTTGAAAGCGCCTTTGCACGGTTGAAGAAGGTGCAACGCACACTACTCATACCATTGTTAGGGCTGATGAGGACAACGATGCTGGCTCAAGCCATCTCGAGCCAAAGGTTGCAGTGCGCAGCCGTCAAGCCCTTAACCCGAAACTCTCAGCAACAGCCCATACCCTAACATGGGACGATTTTCTTAGAATAGGGCTGTGGAGTGCCTTCCATGAGTCCGAAGCTTTCCCTAGTACTCGTCTTGTCTCTCTCGTTATCGGAACTGCTACTACCCGCACTAGCCATAGAAGAAAGCAGACAACAACCACCACTGCGACAAGCACGACGACGACGAACGGCTAAGCCCCCACGTGGGAACGAGCTTTCGTAAGATACGCACGGCTTGCACGGTGACAAAACCATCCCGAAGAAGGACCGTCTTCGCTCTCCTGTAGCCGCTGCCGCCGGAGTCCCAGCACGAAGGCCTGAAGAGAGCGTCGCACAGCTCTTCGAAGAATGAAAAACAGAGCGTCCTCCCTAAACCCGACATCTGCTCTAGTTGGAGGTTCAGGGGTAGTTCTAAGTAGGGTTAGCAGTCCCCTAATATCGGTTATAAGTATAGCCTCTTCAGCCTTCTCTGGACCCAAGAGTAACCTAGGAATAAAAGGGTGCCACTTCTTTGAAAGTGGCCAATAAGGGAACCTGAACCCTACAAAAGGGAATAAGTGCCTACTCTAGGTCCTAGTACATCAGCTCTAAGACTCTACACACCAAGCCCTAAACTCTAAACCATAAATCACATTCTGTGAAGAAGCTCGCCAAGCCGGCATGACGCAAATTACTCCCCTATACTATACTATGGGCCCTTAACCCTGGGATTCCTAAATACCTACTATATACCCTACATAGATTGTTAAGGGTGCCTAGAACTCCCTCAAAAAGGCATAAGCGTCCATATTAGGGGCCCATACTTCTAACCTTAGATCTCGACCACAGGTTCAAGTACTGCTGCCTATGGGATGTGACAAAACCCGAGTATTTGCATATCATCCTGGGTTCTTGACAGTGTCGAAACCACTCCGTGAAATATCTGACCTCGCAGACTTTCATGAAGTCTATGCGAATGCGTCCTCTCCTATACCATGCTCGTGAATGCCACAATGCATGCTGTTTGTGCTGCCCTCGAGCATTTCCACCAAGTTCTCCCTATGCAGACGACCTCGTCTCCAGCGGAACCTCCGAAAAACACCTCCGTTCAACTGCACGGCCTATTGCTTTCACTTTGGGTTCCCTCGCAGGGTTTGTCTATACAAGGCCTCACAAGGTCCCAGAGAACCCCAACCCCCCCCCCCCCCCCCCCCCCAACGCCCCGTTCCAAAAAAAACGCATCGACTTTGACTCAGGTCCTCCAAGAGTGGCGTCAGCAGCTTCGCGAAACGGGCAGAGTCCTACTTGGAGGTTCATGGGTAGTTATAAGTAGGGTCCTTAGTAGGGTAACTATATTTTTGACCCAGATTAGGGGACTTATAACCCAACTTATAACTACCCCTGAAATTCAAAGTACCCGAGGCCTATAGTTTAGGGTTTCCATGAGTCAGACGAAAGGTTTCTGTAAGGTTGCTATCAGAGCAACCCCGATGTCAGATGTGCAGTTCTACTATTCTTCGGGGTTCCGTATTATACGTATAGTATGCTATACCTTGAAACTCTGTTCTAGTTATTAATATTAAGTAAGCCCCTACATTACTTCCATGGATTACCGCAATCCTAAACTCCTAAACTGTGAGCTTTATCGGGGTTCGGGCTGGAGGATCGTGAGTCTTCCGGCCTCTGCTTGCCCGGAGGCACGCTAAGATTCGACATGCGCATGTCCAAGGGCTAAACTTGCAGCCTGACAGTTAAAATTTGATGAACTGGAGTTTTCTGTTGGGGCTTGCGGCTTGGGTATGAGGGCTTCCAGGTCTGAGATGTTCGGGTTAATGAGACTTTGAATAAACCTTTGATCTTTCAAGGCCCAAAGCCCCGAACCCTGAAAAGCCCATGATAGAACTTAAAGTGTGTTGTTCGAACAAGGGGTTGCAGTGGAAGCGGATATGGTGAGCCACTTCTTATTCAGGCCTCTTTCTCAGTACCGCACCGTAATTAAGCATACGCCATAAACCCTAATAGCCCTTAACCTGTGCAGCAGCCGTTCTGCATGTCCTCTGCGAGCCATCGCTGGAGATCTGTGAAAAGTTGTGCCTCCAAGCAAAAGCTTCGTTTCCGGAATTTCGGTTTTGCCAGTTGCACATTTTGGGGCTTCAGGGGTTCAGGGCTTTGCGATTAGCATCACGGGTTGAAGAGGGGCTCACTAAACTAGGGCAGGAGGTTTTCCAGGTATCTGTGCCTCTTTTTGCATAGAGAGCTAAACCCCTAGTACCCAAACCCCTGAGCCCCCCAAACCTTAACCCTGAAACCCGAAAGAGTTTTCGGATTCGTTCATGCGGGTCAACCTACGGCGTAGGGTTTTGGGGTTCCTTTGAATGAAAGATATTCGGCCTGGTCCCGATACAGTTAAAAACCCTTACTACCTTGAAGCAAGGGGTTTAGGATTTAAGGGTTTGTGGGTTTAGTGGTTTAGGGCTGACCTTAACCCTGAATAACCTATATACCGTTCTAGGGTTCCCTATTATGATTTCCTTATATAAGTCCTTAAAAAGGTAGGTTCTTCAGGGTTGAGGGAGGGTTTAGGGCACCCTAAACCAGAAGCCCAAACAGCCTGAGCCCTCAAACTGTAAATAGCTTCGGCCTGGTACGCTTCGGCTTCATGCTTCCGCTTCTTTGGCGGAGCGTCGCCGTTTGGGTCCTACCGCGGCGTTGGGGTTTTGAAGTTTAGGAGTTTGATTAGGGTTTAGGACAATTCAGGGTGTAGAAGGGTTCAGGACAGTTTAGGGTTTAGACGTTTAGGTTTTAGGACAGTATAGGGCTTCGGGTTTGCAGCGGCTCCACGACCCCTTGGTTATTGAGGTGTCCGCTATAGTGGGACTGCTTTTCTACTGGTTTGCAGTGGGGTTGGGTAATTGTGGCTTACAGGGTTCAAGATCTCTCAATGAAGGTTCCTTGACGCAGATCCCTACCAAGATCTCAGGAACACTCTTTCTCATTACTGGAGTAGGCGTCTCCTGGCTTTGGGTTTGGGGATCTCTCCGTGAGGTTTGACTGAATCTTCTGCAATCGCGACTTGGCGAATTCGATTTTGGAGCTGCTTAGGGGGGTCGAGGCTTCTGCTGGCTTCAAGCCTTCGAGTTTCTGAATACGGTTGATTACGACGGCCTGCATCATGAGACGCGGATCTGCGGGGTTCATACTGGGTGTAATAACAGAAGGGCACAGAATGACTGAGTATCCGGCACCCGTGGAGTGAGCAGTGCCAGGCTCTGGCGTAAGGAATTCGGGACGATGGTCCCCAAAACCGGTCCAGTGTAGTTGCCTTTTGGGCTTCTCTAGATGACATTTCAAGGCCCCTTACAGCCGATGATATACAGTATGATATATCCCAGAGCCCTGTTTCAATTATGAAGGCCCCTTTTTGGATCTAGTCTCGATCCTGGCTCAAGGGTGGAGGTCCTTTGGAGAGTGCAGAGCAGGGTAGGGTCTAAGGTTTAAAATGGGTCAGGGGATAGGGTTTAGGCTAGGATATGGGTGCGGGGTTTCCGGCTTGGACCTCAAGGAGTACAGGGTGGCTAAGATTACCAATGCACCTGATGCCTGAATATGAAGCTTCATGAGGACAAAACAAAACTGTTACTCTTTCTGCTCTCGTGTCCTTCTCAGCCAATGAGACCCTATCATACAGACTGCTGATGCCGAAGGTGCGTGATTGCAGGCTGAGGGCTCAGAGGACGCAAGGATCTCAGTGGTTCAAGTCTGGGTTCAGGGTTTCGGTTCAGGGTTTGGGTTTTACGGTATCCGAGAAAAGCCATAACCGTTTAGGCTTTCGGTGTGCTGGTGCTTCTAGACCCCGAAACCCTAAAGTTTGTAGCCCGACATCCTAAAGCCGTAAAGCCCGACATCCAAATCCCAACCAAACGGTAAAGTCCATCTGAAAACTCCAGATGAGCTGGGGTCGGGTTTTGGGTTTCGGGTTCTGGCTTGGGTCATAATCCAGGTGTTTTGAATAGTTAGTGGTATTTCTCATTAACTATTCCAGGCAATCGCCTGCTTCTGTCTAACTGCAGTCCAAAGCCCCTAAGAAAGCCTGGCCTTTTGTGTCTCACCACGCTCCCAGCTGGCGGAGAGGACCTCATCGGCGACGGGTGAAAAACCGCTTCAGCAATCGGACTGTTGTTGCACTCGTCTAAGCCTAAGCACAAAAGGGGTTTTGGTTACAAATGGTTCCGACCCCTATATTCGAAGGCTTTGGCGCGCCGGCCAAAAACCTCAACTCGAGCAGCCTCTACAATTGCAGGCCGACATCCTTAGCTCAGCTCGCATAGGCCTCACAGAACCGTGGCAATGAACCCTCTGTGGAGAGGGCCAAGCAAAATCTACTAAACTACACCCCAAATCCTAAATCCTAAAACTCCTGAACCTCCCAAAACGAGTCTCAAAAGAACCCAAAACCCTAAACCCTAAACCCCAAAACTCCTAAACCTCCCAAAACGAGTCTCAAAAGAACCCAGGGGGCCTCCAAGCCCGGTAGCTGCTCGGGAGCAGCGAAGACGCTGAGGAGCTCGGAGATGGAAGCCTCTGAGGGCTCAGGGTTTCGGGGTTTAGGGTTTAGGGCTTTGGGGTTTAGGGCTTTGGGGTTTAGGGTTTTGGGGTTTAGGGTTTTGGGGTTTAGGGTTTTGGGGTTTAGGGGTTTTGGGGTTCAGGGTTTCAGGGCTTCAGGGCTTCAGGGTTTCAGGGTTTAAGCTTTCAGGGGTTTAGGAGGACCAGGAGGGTGTAGGGGTTTAGGGTTTAGGGTTTCATGGTTTCAGGGTTTCAGGGCTTCAGGGTTTCAGGCTTTAGGCTTTCAGGGGTTAAGGCGGACCACAGGGTGTCGGGGTTTAGGGCTTTGGGGCTCAGGGTTTCAGGGTTTAGGGTTTCGGGGTTTAGGGTTTGACGTTGGGGCATAGGGCTTTATGGGATTTAAATTTTGTGGTGTGGGTTTAGGTTGTTGCACAGGTTTGTACATGATAGGGCTCAGGACACTTTGAGACTTTTTCGGTTAGTTAGGGTGATAAATGCTACTATAGTTATTATTGGTAGTATGATTTCTGTTTTGTTGTTGCATTCTGTTGTTTGTTTGGGTGTGCCTTCTGCATGGTTTGGCGTCCTTCAGGGGGCGTCGTGACGTCGTGGATCAGGCACATGAGAGTTTGTGTTCGCATGCCGGGGTTTCGATTCTTCGGTGTTTGAAGGTTTCCGTACTTTTCTAGGTTGGCCCCTTAAAGCCTCTGAAAAATATTCGTAAATAGGATCCTATGAAGCCCAATAAGGGGAAATATAAAATGTCCCAAAGGCCTACCTAGTTTTTCACTGAGCCTCGAAACTCAAAGCCATGATCTCTGCGTGCTGCCGGAGACACCCGGGGCCTAATCGCGAACCCTTCCTCTGGAAAGTTGCCAGTTGAAAGCCCTGAAACACTGAATCCTAAACTCCTTAAGCTGCAACATAGGTGTCTGTAACACTAGGTCACTAGCAGTTTGATTGATACTCCCTGATCGTCCATATATACATCTATATATGTATGTATATGTATGTATGCATGCATGTATGTATATATATATATATGCTATAATATGGACACACCCAATCCTTCAGGACCCTCTTAGTAGGGTTCCATACGACCTTCTCCCATGTTTCAAACCGCGCATGTCGGCGCAGTTCTTTACGCCGGGGTTCTGTTGTACAGAACGACGTACTCTATTAGGACACGCCAACAGGGATCCTGATCATTTTCAAAACGTACCAACATCCCTGAAACCCTAAGCCCTAAGCCCTAAACCCTAAACCCTAAGCCCTAAACCCCAAGCCCTAAACCATAAAGCTTGAGCCCTAAACATCGATACACACAATGGCCTGAAGCTTTGGATCCATCTCGCCTTCCACAGCCAGGATGCCTCGCGGCTTAGAGGCTCTCTACACTGGCGCCCTATGGAGGATAGGGCTTAGGGGTTTATAGGGGCTTGTAGGTTTTAGGGTTTAGCGACTTCAATCCACCATCCCAATCCGTAGCTCTCAACCTCAAGCCCTAAACCCTCAACAGTCGCATCCCAAAACCTCAAGCCCTATAACCTACACCCCCGAAACACCAGCAGAAACCCCGGACCGAACCACTCGCACCTGAATTCGGAAAACCCCAAGGCCGCATAAACCAGGACCTAGGCCCTCATAGTGAACTTGGAAGAACCCTAAAGAACCCTAGCCCCATGTCAGGTCAATGGTTAGTGGTAGTAGTAGTAGTAGGTGGAAGTAGCAGCAGCAGAAGAGGAGCAGGAGCAGGAGCAGCAACAACCATTACACAATCGCAACAACCGCAGACACAGCAAACACGGAAAAAAGGGTTCCTTCTCGTAGGCAGATAATCACACCAGGAAATCATCATTAGGAGTCATACTGATCATGACTGTAATAGACATGCTCCATTCGAACCCTGAAACGATCACGTGCAAACCTGAATGAGCCCCCCCAGCATCAAAGTAACGTAAGCCACGCCCTAAGCCCTGAACCCCCTAAACCCTTAGCCTAAAACCCTAGACCTTGGGTACGGCCCCACTCAGTAATAGTTGAATAATATTCATAATATAGATCTATAGATATATTAGGACCTTAATAGTAGCCCGATTATGAACTCGGGGGCAGTACCTAACCTAGACCCAAACCCCAAACCCCTAACCCCAAAACCCTACTTGGAATACTTGGAAGGGCAGGGGACTTAGTAAGTAGGTTGTAAGTAGGGTTATAATTGGGGTAACTCCATTTAGGGTACTTATAACTCTACTTATAACCTACTTACCAAGTCCCCTGCCCTTCCAAGTAAGCCCCTAACATGCAAAATTAAATTCCAAGACCCGCGAGGCCTCCCACTGCGGGCAAGGCCTCGACTGCCGATCGGAAGGCCTCACATGCCATGGAAGTCGTATGGGTGGTTGTCAACATTATGGTCCCTTTTTGGGTACTCTAAAAAGTAGGTACCGTATCACAAAAAGGACCCAAATTTTGACAACTATCCATACTCCATACATATATGGGAGCTTCCGAAAAAGAGGGGACCCTTTAAGGGTTCCTTTCAGGGATCTATGAGGGTTCTATAAAGGGTTTAGGGTTTAGAAATATGGGAGTTTCCGAAAATAAGGGACCCTAATATAGTACGTAGCCTAAATTGTATAAGGTATCCCATATTTCGAGCTTCGGGCTTCAGGGTTTAGGGCTTTCGTACTATTTCATATTACTTTACCTTATGTTTTACTATACTATAGTATCTTCTACTACATTATACTATACTCTATATATATATATATGCACAGAATTTTGCTATAGTATACTACGCTATAGTTGTGTTCATGTTACATTATACTGTATCAGATCATGTGATCTTATTCTATCATAATGAATCATACTATACATGGGAGTTTGCGAAAATAGGGGACCCTAATATTGCACCCCTGAATAGTAGGATCCTTATTGTAAGGACGCCCCCCCCCCCCCCCCCCCCAAATCAGGCACCCCTAATTTTCGGACACTCTAAACCCTGAACCCCGTTATAGAACCCTCCTAGATTCCTTTAAGGAAACCCTTGTAGATCCCTTTAAAGGAGCCCCAATGCCCTAATGTATGGCTTTCGAGGTTCGGGCTTAAGGCTGCGGCGGGTTTAGGGGCTTTCAGTTTGGACCGTCGGGTCGAGCTTCGTCTTCCAGTGAACTCCGCCGGCCTGGCCAGGCACCTGGGCGTCACCAGCTTCAGCTTGGTCCGCAGGCACCTTGTTCTGCTTCCACCAACGGCGCGGGGCGTCGTCATTGCCACCACTGGCCGTTGTGGAATCTTGCGGCTTTGGCCAGCCACCACCTGATGGGCTTTCATAGTCGGTGTCTTCTCCTTCCGACCAAAACTCCACGCGCGGCTCTGGTCTCGAGCCACTTGATCCCGCAGGGTGGCCTTCATTCGTTTGCACCCATTCACAAAGTTCGCGCCAATATTTGCAGATTACCTGGGCTGTACTGTAGTTCTGGGACCCCTTAAACTAAATAAATAGTTATGAATATGTAAAGGGCTCGAATTGCTGGCAATAGCGCCAGAACATTGCAGCCCCAGCACTTAGTGCGCTAGATTGCCCTCTGCCATACCGTCGCCGACGTGGCATCGCAGGGCCAGGCGACAACGGTCCCGAACCAGGACGGCTCTACATCAGGGCCGACAGCCGTCAGCAAGACGGCTCCACGAACTACATCGCCACCACGCGACCAATCCGCAGCTGCAGTTCAAGATCCGCAGCGCCATGGGAAAGAGCCACAAGTATACAAAGAACTATGCCAAAGAGGACGAAGGTGCGTGGAAGCACAGAAGCCAAGGCAGTGGCTACCACAAAGACAGAGGCTATGGCTACGAGCAGGGACGTGGATATGGGCATGGCTGGTCCTTATGGCCGGGGGCTTGGAAAGCCTCTCCCAAAGGAAGCCGCCAGGATCGCCACACAGCCTTTCCGCCTTACGACGAGGGATGGAGACAAGCTGGACAGATCATGGAAGTACCGGCCACAGCCACCACGACGACTACGGCCAAGGGAGGTATCGTGAAGGATGTGCAGGCGGCTATCAACGCCGCCAGACGCCTCGAGCAGAAGCTCCTCAAGATGCAGAAGGAAATGTTACAAAAGGGCCAGGCCTGGGAGTCATGGGTGTTAGAGATGAGGTCTACCTATGCCAAAGAATACGACCGCCACCAAACAGAGCAAGCCCGCTTACAGCAGGAGATCCAGGAGCTCGAGCTGCAGACACAGACTGCTTATTTACAGGTGCAGGATTCCGCCCTACAACCGCCTCCCCAAGCCACGCCGCCCCCCCCACCACTCGAGTGGGAGGTCGGCATGGAGGTAGACGAGGAGCTTACAGAGGAGCAGACCCGCAGCGAGCTCAACCGCATATTGGGCAAAGCAAGAACCTCGGAACCCTACTACAGCACCGCGGTCGCCCACAGCGGCGCCTGGAGAAGCTTTGCCACGCCCACCAGCCTCACCGAAGGCCTCCAGCGACGCATATCCTACACCCCCGGACTCTGCCAGCAAAAAGCCTACAGGGCCAGCAGGCCTACTTGGTGCCCTGGATCCAAGGCAGCCGCCTTCGAACAAGGACATGCCCTCCTCTCTTGCTGGCAAGCTCTCCGAGAAGCGCAGGGCATATCGCTCTGCCATGGGCCCATTTGGCTTGCCCCGCAAAGCCGAGAACACCTCCGACGCTACCCTCGATCCCAGTGGCAGCGGAGCCCCGGCGAAGGGGCGAGGCCACGACTACATCAACGTCGACGAGGAAGCATCAGACGAACTCCGCTCTGCATCACCCGGCTTCGGCAACATGGAGTAGCACCAGGCATTAGACAGGGAAGCCAGCCGGTCTTGAATTCTGGTACCTGGATAAGCAGGCTGGAAGGACACCACAGGCTGTGTGCTTCATTGGGGGAAGCACCCAGCCGTGTGGGCCCCTCTCGGCCAATGCCTACGCCAGTTACAGAGTTCAAGTGAAGCTGTCCTTCTTCTGTGGTTTCACAAGTTGTACAGAGCAGGTAGGCCGTCAGACTCGTCAGAAGGCTCTTGCTGCTCAGCACACATGGACTTGTGCCACAGCCCTCCAGTTGGACTTCTACCATTCCCCTCCTACCCTGAGGTCCCACTGACAATCAGTTTCTTCCTTGGATCTCTTTCCCGGGACACACATTCCCAGCCGCAACCTTCGCCGCTTGCATCGCCCTCCTGGTTTTGGGGTCCCTCTGAGGGCAGCGTTTTTGCTTGCGGGGGTTATGTTGGCCAATCCCTTTTGTATCCATCGTTTTGCAGGAGCCTAAGAGGAGTATCGGTGGCTCAGGGACTCCCTCCTGCAGAAGCTCCGGACCCACGGTCTTCAGCTACGGTTACGATTTGCCTGCCCAGCTGCAGCCATGACTTTCCTAGTCCTTCAACTTCCTGCCCTTTTCGCACATCACAGCTTCGGCAGATGTGCCCCTCCCAATACCTGCGTACTCCCGCACGGTACTTTGGCGCGCCTAAGAGACAGATCGGTGGCGCTGGGCTGTCCGCGTTCAAAGTACCTGTGCCGCACGTCACGCTTGCATCTTCTTGCGAGCTACTTGGGATCATCGCTATCCCTGTTGTCTCCTTCTATGCGACTCTGTTGGGCATTTTGTGCATAGCCCTTTGCCACCTCCAGTTACGCAGCATGTGCTATGGTCGTTTTTGCCTGCGTAATCCAATTGTGCGGGCAATCAACAACAGCTTTGCCAAACATACCCTTTGCATAGGGTTAATAGCAACCTCCAAGGATCCTGTTCCGCCTTGGCGACCCCCTAATCCCACACTCAGGGCTCCCACAACAGGTCCATGTAAGACACGGAGATCTGTTGCCGGCTTCTGGGCCTGGCTCTTCCTGTGCCTTGCTAGTCCAGACCAGGTTTGGAGTGCTCCCCCAGACATACTAGGTCCTGCAAGTCCCACCCGTGAGGCAATTGCGGCCTCAAACCTTGCATTTCCTGGGGAACACCCTACACATGTGTCGGCTGCTTCCTGTGCAGCTTTTGCAGTTGCCCGTTTGCCCGACCCTCTACCAGAACCTGTAATACTTGATTTGCCCTATTCTGAAATGCCCAGCATAAGGCAGATCATCGTCTATGTTCCAGATCATACGTCCTTACAGGCGCAGATCAATGCCTCTGAGTGCTTTAGCGTAGAGCAGCTCCTTAAGACCATAGCCGCGCAGCTTGAGAGCCCTCTTCCATCACAGGCATGGTGCCTTGCAGCCGTCTTTCCACAGACAGCGCCCTCTCACGGAGAGGTCGTAGCCTTCCCAAGGTGGACCCAACACTCAGGCACAAGAGTTGCTATCTTGGATTTCTCGGAACATCAGGGTCCTGTTTATGCACAATACGTTTCGGCAAGCCTTACCCTCGATGACCTAGAGCCGTTTGCCAATACACATGCTCCCGCGCCCTGGCTAGCATACATAGCTGACGACTCCCTGCCTGTTCAGCGAAGCCAGTGCTACTCGGTTGTTACCGGCCAGGTCATCAGGTTTGCACTTGCAGAATCGCAGCATAGGGATACGCCTTCCCTGTTTCAGCACGTCCAAGCTTTGCCACCACCCATTGAGTGTCGACCGCCAGATGTGCTTGGACCTGATCCCCGCGCTTGGCTTATGCTCTCCCCCACCGAGAGGCGTTTTCTTTATGTCGATGATAATGACCATGATAATGTCCGGCTCTTCGCCGCAACCAAGCTACATAGAAGAGTTGAACAGACAGGTTTTCAACTTCTCACTCGGCAGGAGTTCTTGAGTGACTTCTTGTATCAAGGATGCCGTGTGCGGGGAGTTATAGCAGCATGGCCACTCGGCACTGAAGATTCCCCTCCTCCCACTTCTCTATGTGTCTTCGTCGACCTGCGCGTTGCTGCTTTGGGACTTAAAGTTCAATACTACCCAATCGGGACACCTGTTCCCGCCCTCTCAGGTGTTGAGCTCGCTCCCCGCCTCCCGGACGGGTACGAAGTTTTCTGTCTGGACTTAGATACTGGCCGCCGTACCAGTCTCGAATCAGGCATGCTTCTTTCCTTCGGTGTCAAGCCCACAGTCCTTACCATGCCCCATAGTGCCGCATCAGTACCCTCAACAGTTCGACCAAGGTCAGGTCCCTCAACAGCGCCAGAGCTTGCTCTAACGCCCGACTGCTCAGGATCCGCATTCTCGATACCCGACGTCCCCGCCACCCTAGAGGCCAGGAACGTTTATTTTCTAATTTTCGTTCCTGATAGGAAACCGGAGGCTCTGCAGTGTGAGATCGACTTTCCTGCCGAGCTTTATGCCACGGGAGACCTGTTGTCTCTTGTACGCGAGCCCAACACAGCTACTATTTACGAACACATGACCGTAGTTGAGCCTCAGCCGGATGCCAAATTTGCCTGTGTCCTCGCCAGGCCGCTCTGGTCAGGAAATCAGGTTCAGTTGTTGATAGACTCCAGGACATGGGACGGCCGACTTTTTACCATCATGAGCGCACCTTGGGTACAGTGGGGTTCCTTTCTCTTACAAGGAGGTTTTGGTTTTCACAGCCTGCCGAACGTCTACGTTAAAGGGATTCGCGCACTGCCAGGGCGGCCATTGACCTTTGAGGATGGTGACCTGGTTACCGTCTTTCCGTCACAGTGCCATATGCCACCCCTACAGACTCTTGCTCATATGCTGTCCCAAGCCCAGACTTGGAGCGAGCAAGCACCTGTCTTCCTTCAGGATAGCAGCGAGACCCTGTACCTCCTGACTGACGGAGTCCCTACTTTCTACCATCTGTGTCACTGGAGGAGCTATCTCCATCGCTATCATCTCCTGAGGCTCCTTCAGATGGTAGGTCCTCTATGTCAGTGCCGGGTGTGTATTCAACAAGGAGCACAGAACAATGTGCGACTTGCAAGTAAGTAGTGTCTCCTGACCTGACGGGGATACCGCCGTGGATGCACACATGATACCCGTCGGGCATATCGGCTTGGAATTCGGCCTCAAGTGCAAGTAGGGGAACCCGCGCACTGTCGAGTATGCGCCAGGTCAGGCCCCGGAGCAATGGGCGCAGATCTAGAAACACTAGGACTTGCGGGCGGCGAGGACGCCCTGGTGGGACTGGCACGCAAAGTAAGGTCTCTGTAGCAAGGACAACTGCTGCACAAGGCCGGCCAAGAATGCTACAGTCTACAATGCGTGGTACACTCAACTTGCAGGAGGTCGTATGTTCTCGGTAGCCGAGTGCCTGTCCAATGGAGGATCTGAGCGCCTCCATGTCCCGGACTCTTGCTCTGTCAACCGGGCTGGTGCCTTCGCCCATCCCGCCGTCTACCTTGCATACCCTGGCCTCTGGCCTTGCCGTTGTGACCCTTGCACTCGTCCTTTATAAGGTCTTGCGCGAACCTATTTCAAGCTCAGCCTACCTCCGCCAGGCACTTGCCTTCTTACGTTTTGATGCAGCCGCACTAGGCCGAGATTGGGGATACCAACCTGCAGAGGACGCCGAATATCTTGCCGAGGAATCCTCTGACGCCTCAACTTCAGAAGCTGAGCATGGGGTTAGGTGGGTCAGCTTCTGTATCCTCACCCATTGCTATCAGCCAGAATATGTTGATGTGGCTGTCCTGTTTCCTTCCACAGTTGGAGAGGCCTGTGAGGCTGTCCGCAATGCACGTGACCCCCTACGAGCATCCCGACATCCCCACCTTCTGCCCGCTACTCCTCAGCCACATCCAGGAGTAGGAGTCCTCATAGCGGGTCCTCCATGGACCACAGCCAAGTGCCCCGTGTGCATCAATGCGAGGCTCTTTGACTCACGCCTCTTTGTTGCCTATGCGCCCCGCTATGTCACAAGACGTGAGCTTTTGATCCTCGCAGACATCCGAGATAACCTTGGGGTTGATGTCTACTTTGGGAATGCTTCTCATCCAGCTAGCAACAACTCCCAGTACCACCTCTTCTCAGGGATAACAGTTACAATACCCCTAGTGTAGACCTGCCTGACTTAGGCCGTCAACTCCTCCATCGTCAAGTTTGGAACGAACTGCACCTGAGGCCCCCACAGCCGGTATCAGATGCCTATTGCCTCGTCCACGGCACTGAGACCATTTTGTTTATCTCGGATTTTGGTAGACCGACCGACTATAAGGTTCAGATAGCTACATGTGTCGACATCCCTAGCAGTAGATTGCAGCTTTTCCCGGCCAAGCCGCGAATACCAGATCTCGCATTGGACGGCGTGCCTTGCCGCACTGCCCTGCTAGTCGTTGATCAACACGACATCCACACACCAAATTGTTGCCCTGTCCTGCTCGACCTGCGAGCTTTCGAAGCGGGACTGCACGCACATTATGCCTTTCGGAGTCAAGTCTTCCTTCCAGCAGTCCTCCAGGAAGCGGCGGAGTGCGCACCGACAGGATGGACACCAAGCTTTGCCGGCAGAGATGCACTTAGGGACTATATCCAGGTAGTGTCAGGACAGGTCATCTCCCTGTATGCGGGGCCTCAGGCCTCATATGCTGCCCTGAGCCTAACTACATACGCCGCATCTTCAGCTGACGCGGCGCCCCCTACTAGTGCACCCGCAAACTCGGTCGCCGAGCGCCAACAAGGCGGATATTCTCATTCTGCCGTTGAGATACCCGCAGACCCCACCACCAATGATGAGGCCGTAGCAGTCGGCAGACCCACACCCCCTAGTCTTACCACTGCAGCCGACTTCTACACAGCCTCTTTCCTCATCTTCACACCGGACTATCAGGCTGAAACGGTCAGCGTCAGGCTGCCTCACGAGGTTACCCCTCACCAAGCTCTAGCCCTAGTTTCAGCCAGCCGACTGCCTCTACACCGCCTGCGGTTTCCCAGACTCATCCCAGCGAGACCACAGACATGCGAAGGCCATGCGGTGATCTTGGCAGCCCCGACGTGGCAGCACTTTGGTGTCAGTGTCCTTGTCGACATGCGGCAACTCAATGGGAGGGTTTTTGCTCTCCGCGTACCGCCTGACCTGCCAGCGACAGACCTTGCACGCATTGCTCAGGTTCCGGATCAATCTCGGGTTTTGCTATTCCTTGGTGACGTACCATGGCCTGCCGACCCAGGCGGAAGATTGCACCTAGCAGAAGGCGATGTCGTCCAATACCTACCGGCCCGACACGCCTTGACTGTCGTTGTTTCCCTTGCAGACATGCTCCGGGACCCTACAGCCTGGGCCCCTCTTCCCCAGCCTCCCCCTACCCCAGATGAGGCCGCCTGGGTCATATCTGACAGTGCTAGTTTTTTGCATCTTGTACCTCCAAGCAGACAGTCCTTCTTAAGGACTGACATTGCTGCGGTTTTAGATTTGCCGCCGGCCTCACTGATCTTCCAAGCAACAGCACAGGCCGTCGCAGACTTTAACCACAAAGGCGTTGCCATACATGAGGTCCTATTCGTCGGGGAGCGCGATGTCTCCACAACACCAGATCCACCGACACCTCGAGGCTTCTTAGACCTGAGGCCCCTGATGCTAGGTTTCTCGTGCTTCCCCATTGCAGGGGACATGCTTCAGCCTGAGACTGTTCTTGACCGTCTCCAGTCAAGATGCCCCAGTGGCTATTGCATTGCCTGCGCTGTCGGCCAGGAGCTGCCCATGCCTCTCAACAGTGCCATCCCAGCCTCTCCGGGCATTACCATAACGGTTGATTTCTTGCCACTCAACTTTTCTGAGACGGACTGGATCCACCTTTACTCTGCTCCATCTCCCTCGCAGGGATCTGGAGGCACGGCTTCTCCTTCGTCGGACACCGAAAATCACGCGTCCGCCAGTCGTCAGCCCGATGCAGGCACCGGTAGCACCGCTTCCTTTTCAGGAGGCCCTCCTACAGGTGGTCTTTCACATGCTGCTCTGCCCATTTTCTGGGCCATTGACAGTCGAGTAGTTAAGTGTCTACAGTTCTACGCCTTCCATTTTAGTCGGCGCACCCTGGAGTACACCTCTATCCTCCTGTTCCTGTTGGCAAGCAGTGATTTGTTCCGCCCAAACGCAGGCTGCGAAGCACATGTCGAACCCCCCCCAGCCCCTCAGGTTCGTACTTCACTACAGCCAGGTCGCAGCCAAAATCCAGTTGTCCTTACCCGGCTCGGTAGCAGTGACCCTGCTGATGCAACGCCCCTGTCTTCATTGCTGACAGGGCTATCACTCTGTCTCCTAGCCAGCCAGCCCCGGAGCCCCGGGCTTACAATCGGCCACAGGCTAGCGAGAGCCCTTTTTGTTGTGACCTTTATTCTTCAGGTCACGCCCGCTGCCAGTATGCAACACTTAGGACATGACCGTCTGCCTCTTGCTAGGCCCTTACCCCTGGGTCCAGCCCAGTGCTCCCGCCTTTCCCACACGGAAGGTCAGTATAGACGACCCATTCCTACTCCCTGCAGGACAGCCCACCCATGGGGTGCAAAGCCGGCAGAGCCTATAGACCTTGACTTTCTCCTAGTCGAAACACAGATAGGCCCCACCCTACTAGAGGAAGCTCTGTCACTCTCAGATGAGCCGCTCTTTGCAGCGTGGACATTGCTTGAGACCCTGCAGGAACATAGTCCAGCGACAGTGCCAGGGACTGTTGATAGCAACGCACCCTGCATTGATCTCGCTGCTCACCTTCCTGTCTCCGCGCACCAGTCCAGCTGCCTCACGTTGGAGCAGCTCTCCTTCCGCATTCGTCTTCATGCGACCCAGCTGCTGATGATTGGACGGACACTGACATTTCCAATGTCCTCCGAAACACATCCATCAGCCTTGATCTGCGTACTGCCTTCGCTAACATCCCGAGCTGGTATGCGCGGCTCCCCAACCCCTGAAGCTCTGGACATATATACGGACGGATCAGCCTCTGTCGCAGCTGATGATGTTAGGCCACGTGCGTGGGCCTTTGCCGTATTTGCTCGCTGCGGACAGGACCTCCTTCTCCTAGGATGTGCAGCCGCGACCTCCGTACCCCCTTCGGTTCCTTTTTACCTTGGGGAGGTCCGTGAAGATGCGCTCACAGCCGAGTTGCTTGCCCTAGCCTGGTCGATCGCCTGGACTGCCCAATCAGGCCGTCGTTTCCACGTGCCAATTCACCTGCACTACGACTCACTTAGTGCCGGAGGTGGAGTTTTCGGCCTATCCAGCCTCCCCACAGGAGGCGTAGAAGCTGCTTACGAGTCGCTAGCAACTCTTGTCGTCATCTTACGACAATATGCTAGTACCCTAGCCTACATGCACCCGCACCATATCAAAAGCCATCAAGGCATCTTGGGCAACGAACTTGCTGACGGCCTAGCCAAAACAGCCCGCAGTCAGGTCATTCCGTATGACCAGAGAGTTCTCCCTACGTGGCCCGCTCAGCTAGCGCGCCATCCACTCAGGGCTTGGGCCTGGGCCTGCGTGACCGGCCAGACGGATATCCCAAGGCCATTCACCTTCGAAGTAGAGGTTGCACGCGCGCAAACCTCGCCTCCAAACATCGATCAAGCGCCAGCCCAAGGCATTAGGCCAGTCCGACTGCCTGAAGCTGATGTTGAGTTTACTCTGAAGGCCATTAGCTTTAATGTCCTTACCCTTAAGGACCCTAAGCTTGACTCACGCAAGCTAGCCCCGTCGGACTTAGGATCCTAGGACGCAAGGGTGTGCTCAAAGCTTCGTTGGCCGCACACCAGCCCCACATACTTGGCCTACAGGAGACCAGACTTGGCATGTCGGAGGTCCAGCCTGACCCCGACTACTTGATCTTCAATTCCCAGGGCGACAGTGCAGGGGTTGGAGGTTGTGCCCTATGGTTATCTCGTAAAAAGCATTACGCGACCGCCACAGGTGTCAAGGTCTTCTTTCAGGCCGAGGACGTGACCGTCCTAAGTTCCTCGCCACGGCACATCACAGCACATGTTTTTACGCACTACCTTCGGCTACATGTACAGGTCGTGCATGCCCCGTCGCTTTCCAACTCTACAGTACCTGCAGTACAGGCCTTCTGGTCCGAACGCAGACGTGAGCTCGCCGAACGCCCGCCGAATACTGACTTCCTCCTCCTATGTGATACTAACGCTAGGGTCGGCAGAGTCTGAAGGCGTTGGTCCTCACAACCCCGACACCGAAAACACTGCAGGCAGCATTTTCCATGAATTTGTCACGGACATCGCTGCCCTGTTGCCATCTACCTTCGAGGCCTACCACACAGGCGAAGGCGGCACATGGCGCACACCCTTCGGTCAATGGTTTCGCCTGGGCCAGATAATTGTGCCACTAGCATGGCGTGACTTCAGTTTGCAATCCTCCGTCCTATACCTCGTCGAGACCTTGCAAAAGAAGGACGACCACGTTCCCGTGTGTCTGCAATGCACTTTCTCACGTTGGCAACCTGCTAAGTCCTACCACAGTAATCAGCGCCGTGCAGTTCGCCCGGAGATCCCACAGACACCAGATGAGCGCGCTGCCGCCCGTGCCGTCCTCGACAGCTATACGCCTACGTCGTGGCTCGTCGGGGTTGACCACCACTACAATGCTCTTGCAGACCATTGGCGCCAGGCCGGACAAAAGCTAGTCACTACTCCAGCAAAGGCTCCGCGGCAACCATTCCTCACGCAGGAGACTCTAGACCGCATTCACTGGCGCACAGCGTTAAGGCAATACTTACGCACAGAGTCCAAAGAATGTAGTCGGCGCCGCTTGCTCATAGCATTTGCGGCCTTTGTACACCTGCACAGGGGAACTTCCTTCAGCCAAGATGCTGTTAGGCGCGCAGAACAATGGCTTCAGGACATCGACATCAGTGAAGCCCGAGCCTTGAGCGCTCTCCACACCTCCACCAAGGACATTCGACGACAAGTCGCGACAGACCGTGCCGCATATCTTGAGTCCCTTGCCACCACTGCTGCTGCACATGACCTAAGGGACCCTGCGTCGCTTTATGGCGCCATTCGCCGGGCCTTTCCCCAGGCACAGTCTGCGCGCCGTCGCACATTGCGTCCCCTTCCCTCGCTTTTGCTGCCTAATGGCCGTGTTGCTGTGAGTACTGCAGAAAGAGCTGAGGGATGGCGTGCCCATTTTGCTGCACAGGAGGCTGGCAGCCTTGTCACCGACGAGGAATACCTCCTGCAAGTTAGAAGGCGTAAGCCCCTAACAGCCTGGCAGCTTGACGTAGCAGCAGTTCCGAGCCTTTGCCAAATCGAAAGCCTCATCAACACCCTGCAAAGGCACAAGGCCGCAGGCCCTGACGGCATAACTGCAGAACTCCTCCGGACAGATGTCATTACTGCTGCGCGTCAATTATTACCAGTACTTACCAAGGCGGCACTACGTGCCACCGAACCCGTTGCCTTCAGAGGAGGGGACTTAATGCTCCTTGCAAAGAAGGCTGCCCATGTCATGGGTTGCGACGGCTTCCGTTCAATCCTGATTTCGTCGGTGCCAGGTAAGGTCTATCACAAGTGCCTCAGGCAGCAACTCATCCCAGCTTTCAAGAGCCACAGACATGCCTTCCACGCAGGCATACTCCCTGGGCAGGGCATAGAGCTCATTTCCATCACCGCCAAAGCATTCTTCTCCCTCTGTAACTCCCGTGGAGGCCATGCCTCGCTGGTATTTTTTGATTTGAAGGCTGCTTTCTATCAAACGATACGCCAGCTTGTCGTCAATACCGCCGACGACGACCAAAGTCTTTTAGCACTCTTTCACCGCATGGCATTGCCCCCAAGTGCATTGGCCGAGCTCAAGGCCAAACTACAAGCAGTCACGGCACTAGAGCACTCCGGAGCTTCTTCCCACACCAGGGCCCTAGTTTCCGATCTGTTCGTAGGCAGTTGGTTTAGGCTCTCCGGTTTTTGCGACCTCACCCTGACACGGCGAGGAACCCGACCTGGCGACCCGACAGCTGACATACTATTTGCCTTTTCAATCGCTGCTTACATGCGCGCAGCGTCGGCAGCTCTGGATGAGGCCGGCATGCTAGCCGACGTCCCCTGTGTTGCGCACCGGCCAGACTTCGTTCCATTCGAAGGGCCAGTGCCGCTAGGATGTCCAGCCTGGGCCGACGACTTCTTCTTCCCTCAAACAGCACCCAGTGCCGAGGAGCTACTTTTGAGATCCAGGAGTGCTGTCAACATTCTGTACACACAGGCTTCAGCTCTGGGCATGACCGTCAAGTTTGGAGTGGATAAGACTGCTCTCCTCCTGCCTGCAGGCACATCCCGTGTGAGTAACCCTCTCATTACCACAGACGCGGACGATCGGCCTGCCATAACGGTCACTGACGCCACCGCCGGGGAAACGGCTCTGCTACCCATCGTGCATGTTTACAAGCACTTGGGAGGCGTCCTAGCTGCGGATGGCAATCCCGCGCCAGATCTCCACTACCGATTCTCCCAGAGCATGTCCATCATTAAACCCCTACGAAGGCGCCTTTTCGGGGCACGGAGATTCGATCTTGGAGTTCGACGCAGTTTACTGCGCGCGCTAGCTGTCTCCCGTTATACGCATACGGCAGCAGCCTTGGTGTTGCCCTCCGCCCTCCACAGGCGACAGTGGGAGAGACAATACCTCTCCCTATATCGCGTCCTCATCGCACGCACTGTTGCTGACGATCAGGCGCACAGCTACACCGTCCTCCTCGCGGCGCAAGCACCTCCCCCCAATCTCGCTATAGCCGCTGCCAGGGCCCAATGCTTGCAGAAGCTTTACCAACAGGGGCCGTTAGAGCTCTTAGCCCTCGTGTACGACCACTGGGCCCTGCACCCCCGTACATCGTGGCTGCATCAATTCAAGGAGGACGTCGAATCTGTGATCGTCTACCTGCCACATCTCCGTGAGCTTCTGCCATACGTTGATCCGGTTCCAGCCCTCTTAGAGGCCTATGCCAGAGATCCGTCTTGGTGGGGACGGCAGATAACGGCATCGACAAAGCAGTTTTTGCTGGATGCCGAAGTGTGGCAAACCACAAGACGCCGTACTCCTAAGGGTGCCCCATCCTTCGTCGACACCGGTGACTTCTCGTGTTATCTGTGCCACAGCAGCTTTCGACTCAGGAAACATTTACATGTGCATCTCGCACGTACACACAGGATCTTCAGTCCCGCCAGACACTTTGCGCTAGGGGAAGTCTGTGTCTCGTGTATGCACGTGTATCCTGATCTACGCCAGGCGCAGCAACACCTCAAGGCTTCACCTGCATGTCTTCAACGGGCTCTATACGTGCACCGCCCGCTCACCGTAGATGAGCTTACGGAGCTCGAGGCACCAATCAAAACAAAACAGCGTCGCCTGAAAGCAGGTGGATGGCGACAGTACCAGGGAACAGGTCCGCCCAAACGTACCCCTGTTGCTTTTGGGCCGCTCGCTCCCACCGCAGACGAGCGCTTGCAAGGACTCGCGGATGAGGAAGATGCCACACTGGATTTGTTGGCCTCCCTTTTCCATCCGCTACCACAACATGTTGTCTGGGTCAGTGACCACCTCGATCAAAAGAGCAAGGAAGGTCCACGGCAGACAGCAGAGTCCTTCTGGCGACATCGTCCAACGTCTCACCCAGAATTCAGCTAGCATTTTTGCGATGCGCTGCCCCGTGCCGTAACACGCGGCCCGCAGCCCGAACATCGGACACCAATCCAATCCAATCCTATGAATATGTAAGGGAAATCAAGCAATGTCCCAAAGTGCCACATCGTCACCTTGCTGATGTCAAAGAAGACACGCCCGTAGCCACTATTGCCAATACTTGCACAGTTGCTACATTCCCGAATCCCAAATCCTAAACCCTAACCTGAACCCCAAACCCCAAAACACCAAACCTCACAACCCGTTCCCGATTCCCGGAGTCTCAGCCTCAAAACCGTAAGCCTAAGACCACCATTTCATCTGCCAATGAAGCCTTCAACCCGTCGTCCCCAGTCTCCTTGGGAATTTGTTGTTCATACAAAGCGCACGAGAATATTAGAACTAGTATTTGTACTATGGTTCTAAGGGGGGTATAGAACCCGCCTTAGGGTTTTGGGTTGAGTCCGAAGCCCAAACCCCGAAACCCCGAGCGTCCAATCCCAAGCCTTGCTCTTCTGAGCCAGTAGAAGTAGAAGCCAGGAACTCATAGTGGGAGTAATGACGGTCATGAAAATAAAAACCATTATCATGGTCATAGTACTGACTATGAGTGCAGAGTTGGCACTGTTAACAATAGCATATCTCCTGGATCCGTTTGAAGGTTTCCGCAAATTCGGAATTCCTTATTTGGGGTCCTTATAATGAGGACTCAAGAAGGCATCCAACACTCACACTGAGTCCAAATCTACGCCCAACACCTGCGTGGAGCAAAGATCAGTTTGCGCCCCCAGGTGCCCGAGCATCAGAATCTCCTAGCAGGTGGTACCCCTTCTGGAATGCTCATGGGACAAAAACCCAAGCCCGCAGCTCTAGCAAACCACTAAAGTAAAAGCCAGAAAGTTGGAATATGATTATCCTAAACCTTTTATAGTAAATTATAAGGTATCCTATCAAGAAACCATATTCCAACTTTCTGGAGTTCCCTGCAACCCTGAACATGAACCCCTACAACTCAGAACCCGAAATTCCCAAAACCCCAACCCGGGGCCTGAACTTAGAGTAGGGTTTTGGGGCCATTATACTATATAGTTATAATAAGGAACCACCAAAATAATGTGGGGAATTGTATATTATACTATATATAATTACAATAAGGAACCACCAAAATAGAGAGGGGAATTGTAAAATATGGACCCTAAAACTCCGCTCAGCGCCTTCTTGGCTGCCGCCCCGGCGAGGCTGCGGCACAGCAACGTGGAAGTCGCGGCCACGGCAGCAGAGGTCCTCGAGGCTTTAGCCTTTAGGGCTTCCTTCGGTCTAGGGTTCAGGATTTAGGGCTTAGGGTTTAGGGCTTAGGTTTTTTTTTTTAACTCCTTTTTCCAGGGGGCGACAGTTTGCTGCATCCTAGGGTTTAGGGCTTAGGGTTTAGGGCTTAGGGTTTAGGTTTTGTTGTTTAGGGCTCTTGGGTTTAGGATTTAGGTTGACGCCTTCAGCGGCTCTGGGGTTTATGTACAAAGTATATAGGCTTTTCGGTATTGTCTTGGGGGTGTTAGGATTTAAGATTTAGATCCCTGCGCACTAGACCGTAAGCCCCACCAGCCAGCTTGGGGGATGCTTTATGCGGATTCATCGAGCTTCATATGCATGCATCCAATTATGGATGTATGCAAAAAAAGATGAACCCCAACGAAAGCTCGAAGCAGCCGCGGATAGCCGCGGACAGGACCAGGATAGCTACTGTGCTTTTCATGGTGTCAACCCATACCAAGGTCACAGCTTCAAACTGCAAACTGCAAAGCCGAATCCCCAAACGGCAAACTAGACTGAAGCAGCGAGAGCCCGAACTTACCACCTGATTATGTAGGGTGTAGGGTTTAGGGTTAGGGCCATAGCCAGAACCCAAACCTGCAGACCCTGTACGAAAGGAAGGAACATCTCCGTGCAGCGGAGGCTCTCTGCGACCGCGTTTGCGTATCGGCTGGCAGCGTCCTTTGTCGAAGGGGTGGGGTGAGGTATTTTGAGGCGACAGGTTTACGACGAACGACCAGTCACCAGCATGGATCCTGAACAATCGGATCCTGAATACATGGATCCCTGTACAGGGGGACTCTTAGCTCGTGGGTGGGAGTCGCTACCCAAACCCGACACCTCCGCCTGTAACTTCCAGTTAGGCAGCGTACTTGGGATCGGGTCTTGCGATGTGCGGGGATGTAGTATAGCACATTGATATGGGAGTTTCCGAACATTAGGGGTACCTTATTTTGGGTCCTCAGAGTAAGGATCCTACTAGTACTATATATCAGGGTACCCTATTTTCGGAAACTTCCATATTCATGTTGGGGGCTGAAAGTCTACTTATTTTGCCGACCCGTAGCCTGGTCTAGCGGCTAGGGGCTTCATACAAAGGTTTCTCCAAGCTTACTACAGTCAAGACCACGGAATGCCGCGGGAGTTCAAGCCCAAACCCTATCTCTGAACCCAAAACCCCTAAACCCAAACCCCTAAACCCTATGAACCCCTAAACTAAAAACCATCCAAAACCCCTAAACCCTAACCCCTAAACCACCCTAAACCACCCTAAGCCTCTAAACCCGAACCCCTATAAACCCCTAAAGTAAAAGCCAGAAAGTTGGAATATGGTTGTCCTAAACCCTTTATGGTAAATTATAAGGTATCCTACCCTGAGACCATATTCCAACTTTCTGGCTTTTACTTTAAGCCACCCTAAACCTCCAAGGCGGCTCCTGAAAAAGAGGCATGGCTTGCTCCGGCGTGGGCCGGAAGGCCAGCGGAGCCCTACGAAGAAGGTGCTCCTGTAGGGGCTTTAGGGTTTAGGGGGTTTAAGGCTTCAGGGCTTTAGGGTTCAGGGGTTTAGTGTTTCAGCGGTTTAGGGTTTAGGGTTTTACGGTTTAGGGTTTTAGGGCTCGGGGTTTAGGCTTTTAGGGTTTCGGGTTTGGGTTGACAAGAAGTAAAATGGCTCTGGACATGTTTGTGGGTCTTATCAGTTTCAGGTTTGCAAGCCTTCAACTTGCTGGAAGGCGTTTGGATGCACTGTTCTCGCACTTTTATACACCTAGAAGCCGAAAATCCTAAAACCTAGTAGGAATCTGAACGGCGCATTCGCGGGATCCTCCCAACTCTTCCCGAGTTGAAACATCCTCGAAACCCGGTTTCTCGACGACTGTAAAACACGTCCGGTGCTCCTAACCACCCTAGACCCGACGCCCACACCTGCTCACCTTTTTCAGCGCACCACACAGACCAAACATGAACACCCGCAACATACCCAAGCTTGCGAACGAGCAGTGGCTACCTGTCGCTGGGTTACCGATGACGGAAATTCGCTGAACACGAACTGAATTGTCATCACGATCACCAGGAAGCTAAACAAGCCGGACAAAAACAATTGCTTAAAGGCTCTGACTATAGTACCCTTACGCTCTGCAGCATCAACACGATGCGGAACAGTATGCAAAGCCCAGCAGTCCTACCCCTCCAAAACTCCGAAAGCAAAAGCAATCTAAACCCTCCCCCAGCGTCCCACCGACCATCTTAAGACAAAGGACACCAGGAAAGCCGGAGCCATCCACCAAGTAACTCCCTTTCTTTCCAGAACCCTAACCCTGGACCCAAAATAAGCCTTTTACCCTAAACCCAAACTAAACCCTATATAAACCTTGAAGGCCTAAAAGTAAAAAGTCACACCGCTCCGTCAGCGGCGCTTCCAGAGCCCCTGCCGCCGCAGCGCGGAGCTGCGTAAACAGCCAGGGCACCTCGGAACCCAGTGAGCTTCGGTAGGTACTGTAGTAGGGTTCCGTTTGGGTTCCGTTTAGGGTACCTTGAAAGGGTTCCTTTAAAGAAGCCCTACTTCAGAGGCTTACCCTACACCCTAACTCCCAAAATCCCTGAGCTTCCCCAGAGGGTCCATTTACAATACCACTATGGAATTAGGTCCCGAGAGACCATCCTTCTTATGGTTTTGAGGGACCTCATTCCATAGTAGCAGTGTATATGGACCTGGGTTTGTTAGGGTACTGTAATAGGGTTCCTTAAAGGGTTCCATAATAACAGGGCTCTATGATAATATAGGGGCCTTAAGAATTAGAACAGGGTTTTGGGGGATGTTATACTGTATAGATTATACTGTAAATATGTTCAGGAGCCCCTATTATAGTATACGTAAGACATCTTCTTTTTACCCGTTCATCAGCAAAAACGTTTTAGGGATGGAGTTTACGGTTTGGGGCCGCGAGATAAGGTCTACCTTAATCGGAATACGAAGTCGTATATAAAGGGCACTATCAAGGGGCTATAAGGGCATCTTGCAAAGCAGATCTTAACGGTTGGGTTTCGGGCTTATGGTCTTCAGGTTTCAGGGCTTGTCGGTGCAATCGAGCATTGTGCTTCTCAGTGCAAGGTATACCCTAAACCCCAAACCGGTGCAACAGGTGGTGCGGAGTCTAGGCGTAGGGGCTTGGTGACTACAGGCCAAGCTTATGCTGTTCGCACTGAGGGGGATGCCTCCCCTGCTCACCGCTCGGCCCAACACCCAAAGCACTGAACCCTGAGCCCCTGCCCCCTCTCGAAAAACAAAAAAACACTTCCCCGATCCCACCCCCAAAACCCAAAACACCTGAACCCCTAAACCCTAAACCACTTATCCCTAAATCCCCCCAAGCCCTCTAAACCCTAAACCCCGAAAACATAAACTCAAACCCTAAACCCCTAAAGGCCTTAAAAACAAACCTCAACCTTACACCCCTATCACCCGCGCCTGCGGCCCCAGGGGGTAGCTGACGGGCACCTGGGCCAAGAGGTCCCGGAGAAGCGCGAGACCTTCCCGGATGCACCAATCCTTTTGTTGGGGCTTTTGGGTTTTAGTAAT